CTAACTATAAATATCTTTATAATAATAAATAATTATTATTTAATTAATATAATTTTTATAAATTTAATTTATTTCTAATATAATAATCTATTACTTAAACTTAGCCTGTGTTCTATTAAGATTTTAATACTTATTTATAAAATTTAATATAAGTTAAATTTTATTTCTTTAATTTTCTTCTTATAAACTTAATATATAGCTAGTTTTTTAGTTTCTATAGATTTATAGATTAGGAATCCTAATCCTAAGCTATCTTATTTAGATTCCTAAATCTACTGCAGATTCTGACCTCTCTTATCTAGATCTGCTATAGATTCTGATCCCCCTATCCAAACCCAACTTATTGCGGATTCGGTGCGGATCAGATTAGTTTTTGCGGATTGGAGATGACACTCTAATCTAGATAAGTCTAATTAAAGCTAAAATATAACTTAAAATAAACTAGTCTACTTAAGAAACTTACTTAATAAGCTAATTTATAAGTAAAAATTATAAAAATACTAATTTTAGAATACTTATATAAATATATATTTTTTCTTTAATACATATAAAAATATTATATAAATACTTTATATAAAGGGATAAAATTAAGCTAATTCTATATTTCAGATTCTATAGTTTTTACTAAAAGTCTGTAGATTTTATTTTAAGAATCTGAATCTGCTTTAGATTCTGACCCCTTCTATCTGAATCTAACTTGTTATAGATTCAGTGCAGATCAGATCAGTTTTTACAGATTAGAAATGATACTCTAGTAATAAATCTTATCATTTATTATCTATTTTTATACTATCAAGAATATTATCAACAAAATTAAGAGGATTATAATACTTTAACCATATAAGTAATATATAATAGGTTCTAATGATGATTTTTTTTTCTATTTCTATTATTATCTTTAATATATTATAATCTTTCTTCTTAAGTATAAAGATAATAAAGTCTAGATTAATCTTATTAAAAATATTCTAATATTTCTTATTAATAATAAAATAAGTAATATATATTTATAGTATAGTAGTCTTAATTATATTAGAATATAATTAATTATAATAATAGTAATAAATATTCAGAGAGTTATTACAGAGGTTTTCAATATTAATATTATTTATTATAATTATAAGCAAGACTTGTGTTATATAATACAGAATTAAAAATTAATCATAATAAAATTGTTAAGCCATGCCTTGCATGCCTATAGCTCTAACAATTATACTAAGAATTAAATAATATATTAGAAGTAATAACAAAGAATTATATATAGAATATTAAGAAAAAGTTTATACTAGAATTAATTACTAGTTCTCCAAAGAATAAGAGAATCAGGGACTTATGTATATACATGTTAGAGTGTCATCTTGTATCTGAAACTGTTAAATTACACTACTTTTATTTAGTGAATGTTAACTAATAATTCTATGTAAGTTTATGTATTTAGATCAAAATTATATTAGAAAATTTATGAAATATCTTAATATAATTAAAAAACTTGATATTAGTAAGCTTATTTTTATAAAATACTCAATATTATAAATTATCATATAATTTATTTTAAAACAAATCCAAATCTAAACCTAAACTTGTTTAGATTATATAACCTATTAATTACTACTTTAGGAAGGTGGGTCTTATATATATTAGAGTTTAAATACTTAATTCTTTATATTTTTAAGAATTATATATATATTGAATTAATTAATTTTTTATAGATTTTTAAAATCATAACCTCAAAAAACTGCGGATTTCACCTTATCCACACCAAATGACACTTTAATACATATAGTCTATAGTATCTCCAATAACTCAGCACCCGCAGGCCTTGGCAGACAAGCTGCCTGAGGCTGCTGCCTAACACCCTGTTTCTTTTATCTTATAAAGATATCTATTAATAAGTAAAGGACTAGCCGCTGCAATAATATCTATCCCAACCCCCACCAAAATCGGCACACCGCCGCTTACAATAACCTATGTAATAATTATTTGACTAGCACAGCTTGTCAAGAGATTTAGCTATTTTCAAGGACTTTTGGGCCACACCACTGTTAAGACTCGAGAGTTTCCAAGAGGATTTCTCCCCACACTGAGCCAAATCCTAACCACGCTCAAATAGCTCAAATGAGACCCCACATATGGTGGGTCCCTCCACCCGGGCTAGGAAGGCAAGGTTTAATTAGGTAGTTAGTTAATCAACGATCACATGATCAATGATCAGCTTGGGCTCCTTAACCAGGGACCTTATGAACTAAGCCCTGTGCATAATTAACAGAACGAGACACTAATTCCTTGATTTAGCGGACAAATCGATTATTTATCTTGAATACTGTTTTATAGATATTCTTCACGCTGCATAATCAGCCACGATGCCGTCAATGGTGTCTTCTCGAAATGAATCTTCGTACATCCTGAACCAAGTGAGAACCAGAGCAGAATGATTACAAGCTTTGGCTAACCATAATAGATCATTATATCGCCATCTGATGCTGACTATCTTGACCAACTTATCCCATCGATTAAAGAATACAGTATCGGCAACCGAACCTCGCAGCTGCTGCAGTCACTATCTAGGTTCGCCGGCGACAAGGAAGCGGAGATCGAAACAATTTGCAATACACACCACCAGGAGTTTGTCAGTTCCGTCAATCAGCTTCTTCGGATTAGAGAAGGCACTGTCAGCTTGACAGGAGAAATACTAGATTTAAACCAATCCATTCAATCCAGCACGGAAAAGTTAGCTGAACAAAAGAAAGTATTAGTTGAGTCGCGGAGTCACAGACAGAATATAGATGAGACATTGCGTGCCATCCAAGATTGTCTGGAAGTTCTACGTCTCGCCAATCAAGTCCATGATCTATTGGCAAAGAAAAATCACTACGCGGCCCTTCGGGCCCTTGAAGAGCTCCAGAATGTTCATCTCAAAGGGGTGACCCAGTACAAGATTGCCGAAATGATCCAACGTTCCGTCCCAACAACCCAAAAGGCCATAGCTGAAGCAGTAATGTCAGACCTGAATACTTGGCTATACCGGATCCGTGAAATGTCGCAATATCTCGGGGAGATTGCTTTATACCACACCGATCTTCGAAAAACAAGGCAGAAAGAGAGGGTGGAGAGGCTACCATATCTTGGGCATTTCAAGTTGAATTCTGCCATTGAATTGGTTTCCGACGAGCATGAGGAGTATGATCTTCTACAAAATGAAGAACTTCAGGTTGATTTTACACCGTTGTTTGAATGTCTTCACATCCATCAATCTTTAGGGCAAATGGACAAGTTTCGCATTGAATACGCCAACACACGACGTCGGCAAAAAGAGCTCCTTGTCCCAGCATCAATAACACTCATTGACGAGGATGGCGCCAGCCTACACAATCTTCTAGAAGAAATGGCGGGATTTGCCATTGTGGAACGATCTACAATGAAAAGAATTCCTGATCTGAGATCACCAATTGATGTATGTACAACTGTTTTCCTACTTTGACCTTCAAACTAACATGTGAATCTAGGTCGATGAATTGTGGGACTCATTGTGCCAAACAGCAGTTCACTTGATATCACAATCACTCCATGAGGTTGATAACGCTGAGAGTATCCTAAAAATAAAAAACCTAATTGCACTGTTCATGCAAACAATGAATGTGAGCATTCACAGACTAATTGAAGTTAATATTACCACTAACTCCTTACAGGCTTGGGATTTCCAGGTTCCAGTATTTGACAACTTCTTGTTGGTTTTGTTTGGAAGATACGCTGAGCTTTTGAAGAAAAGGTTTAGTGATGATTTTCAAGAGGTACGAGTCATACCTAATTACCATCCTTTTCGAATGCTAAGATATTGAGATTGTGTCTACCGATGATTACATGCCCATGCCGATCCAGACATTGGAGGAATATGATAAGGTCCTCAATGTCAGCTGGTATACCCCCGAGAAATCTCGAGAAGAGCAAGCGTATGCTATCCATAAGACAGCATCTGTTATCGTGCCACTAATGCCTAGTTTAAGCTTCCCATGTGTCCTGCCGTTTTCTCAAATGTATCCGTTGTGTTGCATCGACATTCGGAACTTTCTGAACCAGTTCTACTTTTTTGCCAATGACGACTTTTCACACTCAGATGTTATTGATGAAACGCTTAAGGATGTGAGTTTTGCTATGGTGAGGAGTGGGACGCCCTGCTAACCATCGTAGGCACTGGACGAACTACTCTCAGACAAAGTTTGCGATACCTTAGTTGAGCGTCTTTCTTCCCAATACTTGGGGCAAATTGTTCAAATCCTCATAAATCTAGAGCATTTTGAACATGCATGCTATGAGCTTGAAATACTTCTCGCAGCTGCTAGGTCGCAAGGCTCCACCAGTGGTTCCACAGCTTTAAATGCTACCGAAAAATTCAGGAGTAACAAGAAAGCAGCAGAGAAGCGCATATTCGAAGTCGTCAACTCGAAAATTGACGATCTCGTTGAAACCGCAGAATACGACTGGACGGCCTCTTCTCCACCAATTGAGCCGAGCAATTACATGCAGACACTGACTCGTTTCCTATCGAACATTATGAATTCAACATTGCTAGGTCTCCCCACGGAAATCAAAGAACTCATATACTTTGATGCTCTGAGCCATGCAGCGGATACGATTCTTGTATGTATACACCGTATAGTCCAAACTCCCCCTTTACCAGAGCTGATTGCTTTCTTTTTGTCCAAGGCTCTTCCACTTGCTCCAGATGTCAAGAGAATCAACACAAATGGAATCATGGCTCTCGCAAAGGATGTTGAATATCTTCATCATTTTGTTGATAGCCTTGGTGTACCCATCCTTCGCGAAAACCTTGATGAGCTTCAACAAACAGTACAGTTGATGCAGGCAGACAATACGGATGAATTTTATGACATATCTACCCGCAATAAGAAATATGGTCGCGTGGATGCGATTAATGGGCCGATCTTACTAGAAAAGTACGTATCTACCGGCTCTAACATGGACCCTATAGCTAACATAAATTGCAGGGTCACACGAGCTCCCGAAAATGTGATAAAAAATGATAAGTTTCCAACACTTTCTTCCAGGTTTGGGAAACGGTCTTGAGATATAGTGTAGTCGGTGATTGTAATGCCTGGTGCTCCGATCCAAATTGGCCATAATATCGCTCACGACCCGGCCGATTAATAACATTTGGGAAGAGTCATTTTACTCATGTCAATAAAATCACTAATGTTTGGTAGAATATTCAAATCATTATTCTACTAGTTACTCAATTGAGCAACCCACATCAAGCGCCAATAACCTGTCCTTCAACTACTGAAATGCGAACTGATTAACTCGAGTCATGTCTCCTAGGTGGCTCACTTTAGACATATTAGCGAAAACAGAACTAACTAGATTCCGTACATTCATAAGGCACTCCATGGAAGCTTGAAACGGATCGCTTGGAAACTGACCTGTTGTGGAGGCAAATGCGGATAAGCAGCATACATCCCTTCGAACATCTGGGACTGCGGTTGTCCGTACGCAGCAGTTGGATCTGACTGCACAGCACCTGCGTAAATGGCTGGCTGGCGATATTCTTGGTCTTGAAGGCCATGTTGTCCCATACCATAATCGGGGTGTGCCATGTGGTGTGCGGGGTGCTGCACCCCGTGCTGGGAAGGCGGGAGTTGACTTGTTGGGCCTGTTGGACCAGAGGATCCCGATGGAGCTGCTGCCGCCTGGCTGGACCGTTTTGCATGCGACGTAGCTTCCTCGCGGGGAACTATATCAATGAGAAAATCAAACATATCTGATTTGGATAAAGCTGCCGCGATGTCCGATCTCTGCAAAGTACGCCGTTTGTTGTCTTCCGCATGGATCCATGCTCGCATGGTTAGCTCAGTTATAAATATATCACAGCCCTTAGCAAACAAAATTGGAGCCTCTGCTGAAATCATCTTTACTTCGGGGTCTGCCTTCATCACTTTTTTTATGCGAGCGAGAGGTAACTGATGGATCTTGTAGTCATGATTGTCGGACTCTAAGTGGTTGATGATGTGTTGCCAATATGTGGTAAGGATATCCCGGGCTGCTCCTTGTAAGCCCTGGTTGACCTAAGGCATTGTCAGCCGGTGCTTTAGAATTTAAACTTAGCAACATTGAAGAACTTACATTCGCCCATGTTCCCGTATAAAGCTCAGCAACAGGCGCATATCCCTGAGCGGATAGCTGATGGAATTATAGCAAGTCAGCCATACAGGAAAACGCGTAACTTTGCCTTGGGAACTATGAGAGTTGCTGCTCATACCGCTGCGCTGGCCCCTTCACAATCACGTCAGTTGATTCAGCACATTCTTCGTAATACAGATGTGATTCCTTCGGTAGAGAAGGGATATGGGAATAATTACCGTAGTGTCCACCATTTCTGGTGTCGTAAACAGGCTGCTGTCTGCCTTGGGGTTGCCCCGTATTTTGTGAAGGCTGTTCCATGACACGAGACTTCTCCAATGAAATTGTCGTTCTATGAAAGATGAACTTGTCCGATTATGCTGGCCTTGACGAGATCCAAAGGGAGACGAGCCGATAGACGATATAGCGGAAGACAGTACCAATCTTACGAGGGCGCCCCAAATATAATTGATGTTAAGCAGACGTGTGAATCCCGAGATAATGAATGCAACAAGTACGGTTGTTCTGATTCTCAAGGACGGGTCTTTGAGGATTGTTGATAGGAGAAGGTAATAAAGGGTCGTGTCTGACTGGTAAATTGCCCAAGGGTGGTTAGTAGTAGCGCGCGACAAAGAACGCCAAGTCTTATGCAACTCTGACGTTCGCAGACAAAGTGCCCGATAAATTTAGGTAGATATATGGGCTGCGTCGCATGAAGAGTAGTACGTACTGTTTGTTATAAAGGATCAACTAGTTAATCACGAGATAGGATAGAATACGCGCTCCGCGAGCAGCTTGGAAAGGGAACAAAAAGTGTTGGGGTGGGGTGGCAGAATACCCGGTGGCGGTGAAATCTTCTGTAACCAGCCGGTGAAAGTTTTAAGTCATGGAAGTAACGCAGCACTGCCTAGTAGTTACAGTACTTGGGTGGTGTATTTCAGTAATCTTACACAATCCGACATGTACATACTACCTGACAAGATGTCCTTAATACCTACCCGAGTTATCTATAAGCTATCTACTTGGTATTTTGAAGACTTGTTAGGTACTGATCTATTTTCTCACAGGAAGTGTAAACTGGAATCCTGGTATTACCACGAGTATCCACTCCTATTGGAGCAGACCACCGGGTATTGTACCTTCAGGTAAGGCAGTACCCACCTAAGCAGTTACGTACCTGGTACTGAGGTAGACAGATACGTACCTCCCTAAGTACCCATGTAGGTAATTTCTAAGTGCGGGTCCTGGAGGAAAATTTCGGTACATTACATTAGTGGGTCCAATGCAAAAATTTAGTTAACATCTGCGTGAGCTACAAGCCTCTACTAATATTTCTTAGTATAAGTAGAACTTTTTCCCACAACTCATATTTTTTCTTTTGTTAATTTTCCCAAATCTTCTTCACCCCCTCTTACTTGTCACCATTATCATTTCTCAGCTATCTCATAGCAGATGACAACATTAACATGTGAACATCTTGCTGCCAATATAAACGCCGACATCAATAACATGGCAGATCATGATATCCAACAGCTACTTCTTCAAGCCGAAGGTCGGCTTCGTGATCATAACATGAAAGAAACACGTGATTTAGTACTCCAGCATCACAACAACGAATACTCAAATGGCACAACATCTTCGCTAAAGTGAGTGGATTACGCGGGCAAGATTTGGAGCCAAGTCTTATGCCGGGCTGGTTGTGAATATAAGCTCACCTATATGTACAACCTAGAGTTCCCAAGTTAGCATCAGAGCATGCGCTGCAACCTTATGTCCGTGAGCAGGGCAATATCGCCACAGTTGATCCAGCACATGTCGCACGGCCTCCATTAGGCAAGTCAACAGTGTTTCAAATGTCGAACACTGAAAAGACTGGACCTGCAAATAAGGTAAATCATACCCTTTCGCTTGCAACCCGATCCATTTCATTATGAGGAAAATTATTCTGTCGCATAAGCGCTTGATGCGGCTTTAACAACTCGTTTTGGGTTGCGCTGCACTAGTGAGAGCTTTTTTTTTCATAGTTACTCTGAATGTCACATTGGAAACGATCTTGCATGTTTTGGTTTTCATAAACATGGTCCATACGCTAACATATTCATACTCGAAGGATAAACCTACGGCAGGGAAGGACTGGTTCGATATGCCCAGAACAGAGTTGACGCCGGAACTCAAGCGAGACCTCCAGATTCTCCGGATGCGCTCCGTGCTAGACCCAAAAAGACATTACAAGAAGGAAAATGCGAAAACCCAACCTCCGAAGTACCTGCAGGTGGGAACTGTACTTGAAGGTCCAACTGAATTCTTCAGTAACCGCATTACGAAGAAGAACCAACGGAAGACGTTTGTTGAAGAAGCATTGGCCGTGGAGCAGCAGGCCAGACGCCTCCGGTCAAAGTACAACGACATACAATCGAATAAACAAAGCGGAAAGAAGGCATACTATCAGAACCTGCGGTCTAAAAGACAAGGCAAGAAGAACACATGAAAAATTATGTTCTCTGGTGTGTTCAAATGATCATGAGATCGTGGCTCACCCAAAGCTACGGGTGCAGATGAGGTGTCGAGAGACATGGATCTGAGGTCAAACCCTACTGCTCACCCACGACCGCTTGTTCCCTGGGCAGAGCCAAGATTTAGACACTAACTACGTTCGAAGACGGTTGACATAACTCGTACAACGAGTTTCTACATCCGGTGTCAGTAGCTATACGAGATGGACGGGCTGGGATACGTACCTCCATGTCGACAGCCGCATCGCGGCCAGCCTCCAGGACCTCCGCATGGTCCGCTTTACCACTTTCCAGTATTGTGTTCAGGTCTTGGGCGCCTTTACCCTGGATCTCCTTATCATCTCCACGAGGCACGGGCGAAAGAACTGCATTGTTCGTTACCAAGCTCAGTCCCAAAACCCGAATTCCGCAGTGTCTGGCGACAACGATTTCTGGTACGGTCGACATGCCTACCACGTCAGCCCCGAGCGCCCGGAGCAAGCGGCATTCTGCCCTGGTCTCATAGCTACAATATTCAGCTCGGAACATGGAACATGGTTTAGATCATGCCTCAAGGAACTCACCTCGGACCTCCGACAAAGGCATACACGCCTTCATGCAATTCTCTGCTTCTTTTGGGATGTGCTATGATCTTCCAAGCTTCGTGTACTTGTCGACGAAGTTCCAAGTCATAGGCATCAGACAAAGGCGGAAACCGCGGTCCCAGTTCCTCAACATTTGGCCCTCGTAATGGGTGGTTTCCGGCCAACCCTGCTAAGAAAATGTGCTTTTAAAATTCGAGTTAGAATCCCAAATGTCGTCGGTGCTCATGGCCAACAGAGACTTACGTCATTCAGTAGTACAATATCGCCTACTGCATATTTTGGGTTGAGACCCCCAGCCGCGTTGGTCACTGCATATGTGGTGTTAAAGAAATACAAACAGGAAAGAAGTCAAATGAACACTCACAGACGATAGTATCTACTCCTAAAAGCTTGAATACCCGGACAGGGAATGTCACTTTATCAATGGAATGGCCTTCGTAGTAACTTGTAAGCAATTATTAGTTCATAAGTAATAATAACTTGATGGAATCTGCCTTACTGGGCCCGGCCAACCATTAGCACAGCAGGCACTGTTTTGTCAAGCAGACCAAACACAAGCTTGCCCGCATGCCCAGGAACTTAGCATATAACATATGTTAGTATCAACAAGCGATAACTAATTTGACATCGTGAGACTACCTGTGAGGTGTGGAAAGTGGGGGATAGAAGAATAATCAAATTCCTCGTGGGGTGTGTCACGAATACTGTCCGCGAGACCACCCAGACCAGAGCCACAGACAATTGCGACCCGAGGAACTTGTAAGGTGGCAGGTAAACTTTGCTTCAAGAAAGAGGCTGCCTCACGAGCCTGATCAAATTGAGACATGTTTCCTCCAGGTGTCGTGTTCCTTTCTTTTGGTTGTTGAGAATGATACACCGAGTCGAAAAGAGAGGGGTTTCGAATCGGGCATGAGAAATATATAGGCGCAGTGCAACACTTCTAACATGTTCTAATGGTTAAAAAAGATTTCAAACCTAGCTGCTTATGTACTAGAAGCCTCTCCCATCCTTGTTGTTCAGACCCACCATCATTTCACGCTGTCATATAAATTTCACTTCAGTACGTACTACGCAGGACAATTCAAGTTGGGACATAGACTGTTAACTACACCTGTACTCCGTATAAAGTACATGAAACGAACTACTGAATGTTAGCTAGTCACTCCGGCTACCTTCGGTAGTATTCATAGTATCATCCGACTAGGGTAGGCGGGTATAACTTACAGGCAGATGTACAGACATTACAGAATCAATTTCCTACACAATGTCCAAAGTATCATGACTCATCCGGTGGCATGCGTACGCCGTAGTTAAATAGTACTGATGCTCTACCTCTGGAGTAAGTACCTGTACGGAGCCCATGAAAATACATTTACCTACTGGTGACACTACGGGGTGGTACTCCGGACTACCGACGGAACACTAGCGGGAAAGCGGTGAGTCAAACAACCAATCACTTCAATATCAGACAAATCGTCAAAAATGGACTGCCGACATTCAGGGCGTTCTTCACTACCAGCATATTTACCCTTGTTAGCCAGCAGTTGACTCGTGGTGCAATCATGAGCTTATTGTCGAACCCATGCCTCATCTCCGGGGTTGGTAGGCATATACAGGTAAATGGGGCCTTAGACCGTCTATCTTCCATGTTACTGATGATACGAAGTTCTCTGTACCCATGCGCAACCTCGCATTCTCAGCTCTTAACAAATCAAACCAAGCGACTGTGCCCAGGCGCGGTATATCAAGTACGGAAAGCGAGTCCAAGAAAGATACAATGTGCGGCAACATCGTCTAATCAATTTTCCATTGCGAAACCCTATGCTGACTACTGATATATAGCTCTCCGCCCGATACTTCATCTGCAACAGAATGGTTAGTCGTCACAGCCTCTTCGCAGTCTATACAGGAGCGGGAGCAAATGATCAATCAATTGCAAACACCAACTCACTACTTCTCTTAGGTCCGAACGTCTGGACAGCCTGTCTTCTAGGGCTAGACTTCCTCGGAGCGTCCAGGCGGTCTATTTGCGCCCGCTACGGAGGGCATCCGAGTATGGTTTACCAAGCTGTGATCTCCAATTGAGATCTTACAGCGTACGAAATGTGGAGTTTTTCGCAGACTTCGCCATTCGTGCTGCATACTATCTCCGGCTCCCGGTTTCTGGGCCCGTGCCGTTGCCACGGATTGTTGAGCGGTGGACTTTCCCACGGAGCAATTTTGTACACAAAAAAAGCCAAGAAAATTTCGAACGAATAACCCTTCGTCGGCTTATTCAAATCAAGGACGGCAACCCTGAGGTTGTTCAGACATGGCTGGCATTCTTGCGGAAACACGCTTTCTATGGGGTCGGCATGAAGGCAAATGTTTGGGAACATGAAACTCTTGGTATGGCTCTTTCCCTACCCTGGGCTTAACCTCGAATACAAGTCAAAATGCTAACATGGCTTCTGAAGATGTTGCCAGGAATTTGGATGAAAGCACTTCGGATGTCGAAAAGTCCCTAGAACATCACCTGTCACAGTTCGGTCGGCGCAAGGACGGAGAAGCGCTCGGCTCATTATCCAACGTCCTGGATGCTGGAAGACTTGCTCATAACCAGGCCCCGTTAGCCAATATCCGAAGACACTGAAAATCTTCTATCATCTCTCCATATGTTCACTCGGCGTCCCAGCCTGTGCCTTTCTTTGTAGTTTTACTATGTCTAGTTATTGTTGCAATCATCATTCATTAAACCACCGAGTATTTAAGACCGAGCGGATTTATCAATTTCTTCGTATGTTATCGATTGGGTGGATTTCAATTAAAGCTCGGGCTAGCTTTTTCAATTTTTTTGTTCTCGGTCTGCGCATCTTGTCGGGGTCCTTATCGGCAGGTAGGTCACGTGTCATACCCTCTTTTAATGGTGGAGAATTCCCGGTCTCAGGTACTTGTGACCAGATAGAGCAGTGGTCAGTCGGCACCTCGGTCTATCAACACCGACTAAACGATGTCTGCCAGGTTCAGCCAACTGAGGCAACTGTCGATAAGCTTGCACCCGAAGGGTAGAGCCACTGTACATTTAGAAGCGGACCACTGGGGGTCAAAGGGTCACCGACGGTGGAACAGCTCATTAAGGACTCAATCATCAGCGGAAAATGGCAGTCGCATTATATTCTCTGGGATACAACCCACTGGTGTCCCGCATATAGGAAATTATTTGGGTGCTTTACGAGAATGGGTCAAGCTCCAAAATAATACGGCTCCAGGAACCAAATTGTTCTTTTCAATTGTTGACCTCCATGCATTAACGATCCCCCAAGATCCCCACCAGTTCAAGAAATGGAGGAAAGAGTCGTTTGCGACATTACTCGCTATCGGGCTAGATCCAACACGCTCGACTTTGTTTTATCAGTCCGCTGTAAGTTGTGCTGACATGTTCATATTTGAAACACTTGCTGTCTAATCAATTTCTAACTGCTTTGGAGGTTGCCGCACATGCTGAACTCTTCTGGATTCTCTGCACTACATCATCTATGGGATATCTATCTCGTATGACCCAATGGAAAGTGGGTTGGCCAAAATCAGAACTAGCTTTTTTAATAAGAGGCAAGCACAAAGGGTGTGATGTTAATATGATGGTCCTCTAGAGTAAACTTAAATTGTCCGACGACGCTACGTTGGAACATTCAACGGCGAGATCGAAACTGAGACTCGGTTTATTCTCGTACCCTGTTCTGCAGGCTGCAGATATCTTGGTGCATAGGTTCGCGCGCCAAAGATGACGGGGAAGATGATCCTTTACTGACACTATATAGAGCGACTCATGTTCCTGTTGGGGAAGATCAACGACAACACCTCGAGTTTTCCAGATCGACTGCGAATAGTTTCAATCATCTCTACGGCCCAATTTTCCCTTTGCCAGAAGCTCTTATATGTGAGATTATCCATCCTTATGACGACACCGGGGATGTTAGATTGTGAAGGGCATCAACTGACCGTCCCCGCAGCCCCCGCGAAGCGAGTAATGTCACTCAAGGATCCGCATTTGAAGATGTCGAAATCTCATGCCGATGATCGGTCAAGGATTCTGTTGACTGACTCCCCCGAAGACATTCATAAAAAAATAAAAGTAGCTCTGACGGACTCGGAGGTAGGTATAGCCTACGACCCTATCCACCGGCCCGGGGTATCTAACCTCCTCGAAATACTCGGTCATTTTGAGGAACGGCCATGTGATGAGTTAGCCTCGGAGTATAGGTCCGCTAGCCTTCGTTCTCTAAAAGAACACTTGGCTACTAGGATTTCCAAGGACCTCGAGCACATAAGAGAAAAATATTTTTCGATCATGGCGGACAAAACTGGTTATCTTGAATCAGTTGCAGAGCAAGGGGCACAGGATGCGCGTTGCAATGCTGAGCTGACTATGGAACATGTCAGAGAAGCAGTAGGTCTTTGACAGAGTTGCACTTCGTTTCCAAGAGTCGGAAACACTGGGAGAGAGGCACGTATCTACCTCCCGAGTTGTACATTAGGATCATCACGTAGTGAATCGTGGAAAATCAAATATTTCGAATCCCCGAACTCGCTGTCAAGGTAAAATCTGGCGCAAGAAACCTGACATGTATCTTTGGTACGAACACAACTACAATGGAAACGTAGTTTCATAATGTGCAAATAAATAACTTGCCTGTTTGAGCTTGGCCTGAGCCTCGAACCGGGACGGATGGGACTAATACGAGCCAGCAACAACAATCGAACTATGGTAATCAATTGTACGTGCTCCACCTCATAACACATCCTGGGCTCTTAGTACCATTTACTGTGCCAATGCGGAGTGTCATGAATACCAAGACAATATTCACGATAGATGACGACAGCATTTCTGTACAGTATGCACGTGTACCGGGGTTGTGGGTCTTCTACTGGGCCCTAAGAGGCCCAAGATGTGGATCTCCGAAATCTGGCTAGGTCTAAAGAACAGTGTTAGTCGTCACGACCTACTAGACATTGCACAGAAGACATCACTTACCACCTACCAGTATCCTTACTCTGCTGAAAGAGATTATGGGGAAAATGTTAATCATGCATTTGAAATCTTATATATATTCCGCGGCAAGGCTTGGATTTGGAAGTCCAGCATTGTCTCTCAAGTCATTAAATCTATACATATTGAAGGAACTGCCTTCTGGCAATTATTGCTTATAATAAGGGCCGTGGAGGGTTCAACAATCCATAATTATCATGAAAGCCATGTGGCGCCTTTTGTTGACGGCTCCTTGCATCTTACAGCATACGCATGCATTCACACTTTACCCCAGGGATGGCCCTGATGTTGTGGAGCTTATGATAAATCGCAAAGATGTCCCTGATCCTGTGGGCAGAGATAATGTAAGGCGCAAACGTGACAAGACAGTTGGTCAGGTACTTGATAATGAGGTGTGTGGCTGTGCCCTGTTATAGAATATCTATCATAGATGTGTTTACATACCAGCGAAATAGGAGATGTTATATTTCTGCAACGTCACACTTGGGACGCCAAATCAAAGCTTGCGCCTCGTTATTGACACTGGAAGCAGCGACTTATGGTGTAACGCGGCAAACTCGACTCTTTGCTCTTCGTCTAGAAACCCTTGCAGTGTTTCTGGCTCATATGATCCAACACTTTCCTCAACATATGCATATACGTCTTCGGATTTCAACATTTCCTACGCAGACGGCACCGGAGCAACCGGGGCTTATGTGACCGACAACCTCCAGATCGGAGGCGCAACCCTAGAACACTTCCAATTTGGCGTGGGGTATTCCTCTAGCTCACCGGGTAAGTCTGTCATGACCCTGGTTGTAACTGAGACCCAAGCCCGGTATCGATTTCTTGATCGTCAACTAATCTCCCCGTTGTTGAATGATCGTATCAGAGGGCGTTTTAGGCATAGGGTACCCTTCTAATGAGGTCCAAGTTGGTCGTTATGGCAAAGAACCTTACCCAAATCTTCCATGGGCAATGGTTAAGGCAGGACTACTCAAATCCAATGCCTACAGTCTCTGGCTCAATGATCTGGACGCCAACTCCGGCTCAATCCTATTTGGGGGGGTAAACAAAGCAAAATACAACGGAGATTTGCAAACCTTGCCCATTCAAACTGTCAACGGTGGCTATTCAGAACTAATAGTGGCGCTTACGGCAGTTTCGTTGGAATCAGAGTCAACGCATCACAGTTACTCTTCGAAATCACTCCCAGCTGCTGTTCTACTTGATTCCGGGAGCTCCTTGACATATCTTCCAGATGGTGTTGTCCAAGATATCTATGATGACCTCGGGGTGGTCTATGAACCTTCCAGTGGTGCAGGATATATACCATGCAGTATATCGGATGATGATATCCAACTGGTGTATACTTTTTCATCCCCTAACATAACAGTTGGGATTGATGAGCTTGTTCTTGATGCCGGTGATCTCCGCTTCCAGGATGGCACACGTGCTTGTGTCTTTGGTATTGTCCCTGCAGGTGACAGCACAGTTGTCCTAGGCGACACATTTCTACGCAGTGCTTATATTGTATACGATCTTTCCAATAATGAGATCTCCCTCGCAAACACCAACTTCAATTCAACGGGGGACGATATCCTGGAAATCGGTACGGGGAAGAATGCAGTTCCTGGGGCCACCCGAGTGTCCCACCCAGTAACGTCTGTGGTGGCTGATGGTCCTGGTGCTAGGATTGGCGGGCCGACGGGCAGTATCACGACTGATCTGCCATCTTCAGCAAGCAAAGGGAAATTCCATGCTGGTGTGCCAACTAGCATTCTGATGTATCTGGGCTTGACGATCTACATATTGGGGCATCTGTGGACTATTTGATTAATTTGTGCTGTCTTTCTCCCCCGAAAAATAATAGAATTGGCCAGACTTTATCCCACGAGCGGCAAAGGCAACCTCGACGGCCAGATTGGTGTCCGTTATATTGCTACTAGTGGTTGTAGTAGGAAGTGAATAGTCCTCATCTGAACATCCGGTACTAATAGATGAGATGATGGTCCCGAGTCTATGGCCACCCAGAAGGTCAGTTTAATATACTCATGAGAAGGCCTTTGCCGATCTAAGTATAGTAGAAGGCAGTAAAAGTCCTGGATTCGTAGGCTTTGTTGTCAAATTCCGAGAAACAGAATTACTACTGGGGCTAGTCGGTTCTGGCTGATAGCCTTGTGTTTTCAAAATTCACCACAACATGTGGATCCGTTGTTATGCGAGCTGGTACCTTGGCTTCGGAGTGTCTAGAAAGGTACCTAGCATATAGCACGAGGCCACATGACAAGTACCTGCTCTCGTTTCTACGGTTTTCTGTATCTAGGATCAACTGTTTATCCCGATCTGAAATGAAATAGCATGAGCCTCCAAATCCATAAAAAAGACCCTGATAGATCAAACCCTCATCACAGTAGTATGGGAAGCCTTGATGTCTACCTATCTACTTGTTTCCAGGATGCGGAAATAAAGCATCGAGAAGGCTTTCTAACTCATTCAGATAGTACTAGTATCTAGGGTTATCAACTGTGTGTTGAGAAGGTACCTGTCTTAGGATATTGTGCAAGGGTAGATTGTTTCTTCAACATGCGAGAGTACATGAATCCTGCTCGTTGATCTCTCTGTCAAGCGAAGACCACCATACAATGTTCCTATCATTTCGTGTCGCCCTTATTTCCCTCCAACCCTTTCATCTCTTGTCTCCTTCACCCCCCCCTGTCACCTCCATCTCTCTCTCACTCTCTCACATCTCTCACACATAGCCAGAGGAATACATCCGTGTCGCATGTAGATCCAACCTCTTCTTTCATTTTTTACATAATAATTGATCTCGCTTATCATACATTCCCTTTTTGTGAATACTCAGAAATATTCCATTGTCCTTGTCCTAGGCCTTGTCTCTCTTAACAACTTGGATTTTCATTTTCCGTGAAGCCTAGGCTCCGATCAGGGTTGAGTACCCAAGATGAGGACGAACGGGTCTCCACTTGGCTTGAGTAGCCCTTGCTCTACGAACGAAGTGGTCTCCCCAAACGGATCTCCAGACACAAAGATTACGGCATTTTCTCCTGAAGACGTACGTGCGAGAGGCCGTCCCGAATCTGGGATCTGCACTTCCTCGAATGACCCTGGTTTTCGAAAGCTCTACTCGGTGTAAGCTAAATATTCTCGTTATTCATATCAAGCTCTTCTAACAAGAGAAAGGGCATCTACCGATCCTTTTTTGGTGCCAGCATGCGTGAAGCTTTCGCCAACTGCAGCTACTTTCACACCGAGTGGAACGGCAAATTTTGTACTCAGTAGCAACCAAGCTCGTGGCGTTGGCCACTTGTTGGCAAATACACCATCCGAATCCACTGAAACAGGAACGAGTCCTCCAGAGTACCTCGAGAATGAGTCTTCGAGATATAGACCTATTGAAAGATTTCAACCAAAGAACACGAGTTTGTCGTATGGTTTCAACTTTGACAAAGTTGATGTCGAAAGACGTGCCATTGTGATCGAAAATGTCCCAACAAACCTTACTTACATTCTTTTGGCTGGATTTTTTAATGTGAGCCTACTACCACAATATTTGTATCTGTTTGGTGTACTGACTAGATCCAAGCGCCGTGAATTTACTACTGTCAAAGGTCCTGTCCTCACAGACCTCAGGTCCATGGGCAAGGTCTATGTGGCTTTCACAGATAGTCGAGAGACAAGGAGGGCGACTGAAAAAGTCCACCTTCTACGACCTGAATGGCGAGTCTCCCCACTTACCATCAAAGAATATGTACAACATACAGAACCTTCGAATGCCTCACAAGCATCTGATTACGAAGGTCAATTGCTCGTGACTGTTTACTACGATGGCCGTAACCCGAGTTTGAACAAATGCACTGTGGCTCGCTCGCTCGAGGCCCTTTTTATGACCTTTGGAGATATTAAGGAGTTTACAAACTTACCCACTGGACAAGAGAATATAAGTGAGTTTCACGTTGAGTTCTTCAATACTCGTGATGCGGAAAACGTGATTAGCACATTAAATGGATCTTCTGTTGATGTAAGTCGCGGATCTCAGCCCTCCAATTCCCAAAATTGTGGGCAAATGGCGGTATACTCTAACAAGTCCCGCTGTCTGTTTTAGGATTGTGTACTCGATATCTCTTTTTTCAGACCGGATGTCGAGGACAGAGCTCCGCTACCTCACCCGAGCCCATGCCCCGCAAGTGATAGTCTCTCACATGAGGATCCATTCCTCAAAAATATGCACTGGGTCTCCAATCAAAATATCCGTGGCCCATATATGGAACTCAGCCCCACAGGCCGCTCCACCGTTCCCCCAGGTGAACACGCTGGTCTCCTGGAATGGATGTCTAGGGCTGGCGAGAAAATATTGGCTTCGCCGCGCCGTGAGCTCAGCCGCTATGCTGACCTGCGCGTAAGCAATCAGAACGCTGTTGATATCGAGCGAATTCGCCTGGGCCTAGACGTCCGGACAACTGTACGTTCAAACAATGGCGACACTCACGAATTATCGTCTGTTTTAACCTTGACTTAGATCATGTTGCGGAATATTCCTAATAAAATTGATCAAGTACGTCCAGTAAACTGCTCATAGGGGTGGCTGGCCGATATTCTGACCGTTCAAGACCATGCTCAAGGCGATAGTTGATGAAACAAGCCATGGCAAGTATGACTTCATGTATCTACGCATTGGTAAGTTGTTCAATATAGGCCAGTGACTATTGGGAGTAGTCGAAACTAAATACATGATTGAAGACTTTGCAAATAACTGCAAGTATGTGGTATTTGTCTTCCTGATCAATCGCAGCAAGGCGTGCTGACCTGCTTCTTTAGCGTTGGCTATGCCTTTATCAATTTTGAAGATGTAAGTCGATAAAGACTCCCGCTATATACATTCCGAGTACTCTACGTAGTTGACATGAAGATAGCCAATCGATATCATTGATGTTAGTAGCCCTTGCCCATTCACTGGGATATGGCGAAGTGTCTTTCCTCATGCTCTCCTAGTTTGTCAACGCACGAGCAGGGAATACTTGGTATGTATGGTCTCTACGCATCCTTTAGATTTTTGGCACTAATTGGCTCACCTAGGAACTGTTTCAACAGCGACAAGGTTGCCGAAGTATCGTATGCTAGTTAGTAAATAGCCTCCCACGATTCTGTACCACGTGCTAAGACGCAGTTTAGCAATCCAAGGCAAAGACTGTCTAGTGCAAAAATTTCGCAACAGCTCTGTGATGTTAGAGCATCCGTCCTTTCGCCCAAAGGTAGCTGCTTGCTGCAACTGTTGGGGCAGATGAACTAGTATAAAGCTCACTAATCTTGTAGATATTCCATACGGGTATTGGGGGACTTGCTGGTACTGAAGACCGTTTCCCTGGCCCAGACAACCCGTCAAAGATGCGACGTAGTATCGAAAATGCAGAACACGTTGGTTAGTCATGGACTTCGGATTACGGTTGATAATCTATCACTGATGAGACATTGTTCTCAAGGCCTCTTTGCCCCTCGTGTTGGTCAGCAATACCGAGACGAACAACGTCGGCGTCGCTCACAATTTGACCGCGGAACAACTGCAGCCGAGCGTGAGGTAGTTTATGTTCGAACTCTTGCTCCGAGAGCTCCATCACCTGTCAGAAATGCATTGAAAAGCGCCCCTTGCACTTATCCCGCTATGAAAGTGTGGTATGGCTCGGCAGTGCCAGAGCGCGGCCCCAGGACCTCTTAACTGCAAGGTTGACTGGGCTTTTTCCCCTTTAACAGTTTTAGTTTCCCCTCCACCTCTTCCTCGCCAATAAGTGTATGTGTACATCCGTCTAATTCGTGGCTCGACGCTGGCATTAGCTGTTTCCTTTCGCCAGTACTCTCTTACCATTCTTTTCCTCGATATCGGCTTCCTCACTCTTGGCAGGGGTCAATAAAAAAGAGACAAAATCTATTTTTGATCCATTGAAGGAAGTCGGTTTCGTGCGCTGGGTGGCATTGATGGGATACTTCGGTATGAGACTTGATGTTGGGTTTATCACAGGTTGGATGCCCTTCTCTGTGAGACTTCAGCTACCATTTTCCCCCGCTCGCCTGAGAGATAATTTGTGAATTATTACAATAAGACATGTCCGTTGATACAGGCTTCAAACCAAACAACATGTAGGCTGTAATAAATCAAGACATGCGAAAACGATAGATATTCCATAATAGTATAAACCATGCTCAGCTTGGTTTGAACTATTGGCTTGTTTTGGTGAGTACTTGATTTTGACAAGTGACAAGACTGATATTCTACTCGAGTACAAGCATCCGATATCTGCCCTCTTATATCACAACAGACTTGCACAAGTGAGCCTGCTTGTGCAGTTCAACATTGGAAGAAGTTGGGCCTAAAGGATCACTTGGTATCTAGCCTAGCTCATATGACCGAGAGACAGTATAATTGGGTAAGATGAAAACATAACTTTTTCCTAGGATATTAGTAAAGTACATACCGTAGTGACTCGGATACAGGATTCGCTATCAATAAGATATCCCACTACGGAGTACCAATTGGGAATCCGGGAAGTGGAGATCCGTACGTGGTACGCCAGATGTCAAGGTATACCCATGTTGCCAGACGAAACAACCTGACGCATTAAGGATAGTGCGACCTCGACTATGATATCAATATCATCCTCGAATAATATGATTGTCACGGAATATGATTTTACATAAACTATCAGTTACCTTATTTCCTGATATCTATGACATAGCTTTCTGGTTCTCTCTCTAACTTACTCCGTAGTTGGTTGCTATTCAACCTATTAGTAAGCTGCCTTTGTTCTTCGATACTCCGATAACGATAACGTTGGGGGTCCTGTCGGTCAAGTAAGTAGTGCCTCCATCAAAGTGGTTCTTGCGTATGATAGTAAAAGCTAAATGAAAGCTTGACTTTCGGATCTTATCCACTATTCTAGATTTCCCCTCCATTTCATCTTTTTCTTTTTTCCCCCGAGCAATTTTACGCAGAACAAAGAGTATCGCGCTGACAACGCCGAGGTCTGAAAATCTGATATTTTGTGCCCTACTATTTCCTTGCCATGAAATGGACAAGGAAAAGGTAATTGCAGTGTATTCAATGCTCCATCTGGTTTTCCATCGGAATAAGAACCAACACGGGAAGACAAAATGGTGGAAATGGCTTTCTTTGCTCAAACGAGCCACTATGAATCTTTTGAAAAGTCTAGAATGTGAACTAGCACGCAGCAGAAACAAGTCCATTGTCGATAAGCATGCCAAACATTTAGCCACGAGTGTGGTACCCAAGTGTTATCGGTAGGTCTTGGAAGCTAGAGAAATCCTGTTTGTTTTTTAATCTCCGATTAAATACTGACTATCTCCCAGTGCGTTCTCCACAGTTGTTGCAGATGGGCAGTTTTCGACGCTTGGTATCGTTCTATTAGCAACATTGGCTCGCCTTACAAAAGCAATGGCGATCGATAAAAAATTGGGTTGTCCACCACAAAAGTCACGGGTTCCAGCTATTCCAGATCGAAGTTATACTCCAAAGGAGGATATTGGGGAGGTCCTCTCTCGGACCCAAGATCATTCAGGTGCGGCGGTCGACACCGAGACCCCTACCGCCCATCCAACGGCCTTAGGGGTACGCAAAAACAGTGATCTAGGGAAGAAGAAGCGCCCTGGTTCTACAGATGTGAAAAAACCGAAAAAAATCAAAAAAACCAAAAAGGATGCCATAGACGAGCTTTTCGCTAGCATTCGTTGAATAGCAGAATCCACGAGCTGTTCTATATAGATACAAGGCAGACAGCCATCTTTGGTATTGGGGCAAGAATATATGTGCATAACATGAATCCCCCTTCCCGGCTTTTTCATGGAGACTTGAGGACCGGCAATTCGGCGTTTCCCAATATGTTCACACCGAAGTAGTTGATGAGGATCCAAACCATAGTGTAAAGGTACTTCGGAGAAAAGACCGTCCAGATGAAAAGATGCGCTCTTAATACTGTACAAGAAACCATGACAGACACCAAGGTTGTGGTAGCATAAAATGTCAAAACCGTGATATGCGCTCTCTTGTTCCACCGCTGCGAATTGTGAGAACCTCGAAGGAGTCGGCTGGCTGAAACCCACCAAATTGGGCCGGCCCAATTGCCTATGAACATCAGGATACCAACGAGTATGACATTATAACTGCCAATACCATTATATGCGTTGGATAAATCAACCGATGAAATTGAATTAGAACCACCAAATGCAAAAAATGTAACGTGTTGCATTATCAGGGATGTAATGGTGAGCTCAGTTGCAGTGAGGTTTATTGAGGAGAGGATATTCGCCTGCAATCTGAGAACCAAAAATATGGGGATATTGGTTGCCTTTGACTGTGTCATCAAGAAAAGAGTGAGGGACTCATGGAAAACTCTGGTCGGCGTTGCTAGTTTTAATTAGCGACTGACTTGTGTTATCGTATTTATGTCTTCTTTGCTTACCACTATTTTGTCGATGCAATGTTTGAGGTACCACCATAGTGCAAATCGAGTACAACATAAGCAGGAGTAATCCACAAAGAACAAACCTTGCATGTGGAATGAGCGGGATTTCTCCGATGTTTGCCGCAAAAGGCTCCAAAATTGAGTCGGTGAGGAGCTCCGGCGACTCTGATCCCACAAACACGACTTTGTACAGAAAAGCTGCTAATGTGATAGACGGGCCAACAACATACCATAGCACGTTCTTAGGGAGGTTGGAAATAAGGCGTTTGCCCGTGACTGCGTACGCTAGAATGATCAGGAACCATAGGATGTCCTGATGGGACCGTAAAAAGTCTCGTGAGATATCTGGCTCTGCAGCAAATTTCTGACCGGTTTGATTCCAGCGTCTCACTAAACGGTGGGACGCTGCCAAACCTGCCAAACCTAGCCTAGCGAGCACCGACGAAAATGACCAACGTGGTCCTGTTTTCCCGAAGAAACTAGTGTGTTGGTGACTGAGTGACTTGATGTGTAAGTAACACATCCAGCCCGTTAATAACCAGTACCAGAACTGTTGTTCTTCCTCAACATAACTGCTCGCGAACATCAGAGCGTTATAGCTTAGAACGCTCATGACTAAGAACATTATGGACGGCCTAGATGTTGAGAGTAGACCATGCATCGCCGGTACAGATAGAAAAACAGCCAGGCTAGTGATGCCGATACCTAGGTAGAGATATTTCACGTCATAGTCACTAGCAGCACTGCTCATCAATCTTTGGGCAAGTCTCAAAAAACTGAGGAGAGTGGATTCCAGGTTGAGGTGTATGTCATTGTTGTGCAAGCCATCAGATTTGTGTAGCAAGTCATGGACACGGAACCATGCACATTGAACAGCTTCAATCCCATCTGCATGCCCACTATCGCAGTCGGCTGTCACTTTATTGGGGTCGAACTCATAACGTGGAAATGACCCCCTGACAGTTTTGAGCAGCTGTCTGGCATTGTCTAACAAGATCTTGGTTCTTTCATGACCTGAAGAGCGAAAGAAGAGATTAGTGGTAACACCCAGCTTATGTATATGGGAATAGCATCTTACCGTGATCCCACATCATAAGTAGCTCCGGGATGACAACACCCAAACTATTTAAAGGAATTGGCAAGCCAAGAAGACTTGCAAGAGTCGGCGTAAGGTCTGGCTGGTCGACGGTCTGATAATATTGTAGATCATGTATAGGCTCTATTGGGCTTTGGCCATGCGCGCCCTTGGGTTGAAATTTGGGTGATATGAAAAGCAAGGCCGGTGACGTTTCACCTACGGAAGAGCCACCGTGATTACCGGCGTCATTCATACCATGATCGCCGCATAAAACAAAAAGTGTTGATTCAAGGTGTTTCTCCTCCTCCAGAGCCAGATACACCTGGGATACAACTGAATCCATTTCATGCTGTTTCGGTATCATGTAAGAGCTGCATACATGTTAGAGTTGTTCTTAACTAATGAATGTACTTGGATACCTTTGAGGGCCTGATTTGTGCCCAATATGATCCAGGCCTAGATAATGAATAATAAATGCTGACCAGTCATCCTGAAGCAGCTCATCGCCTATATGGCGCGTAACATTGTTGTCTACTTCGGTAAAATCCTGTACATTATAAATCAGCCCTCGGAAAGAAAGTAGTGCCTACATGCCGACTGACCGACACGAAGAAGCTCGAAGTCCCGTCGGCCCTATCAAACATTCCTGGGAACAGCTTGAGCCAGGTGTCGTCTCCATACATGACGAGGCGATCACCTCGCCTTTTTAATTGCGCCAGCCATGTATCTTGATGGGCAAGTGTCGACGAAGTGTCAGATTCCGCAATATTCAGAATCACGTCCAAGAAAGACGGAACAGATCCTGTTGTCATAGCTTTGAGTCGGGGCATTGTCACTGTTGGTGAACTTGCATAAGCCGTGAATGGTAGAGCATTGCCATGTCGGATAAGGCTATGAAATTACATTAGATCAACTCTATGATAGCATACGCTCAAATTATCCAAACGAACCTTTGGGTAAATAAGAAACCAGAGTTATTGGAGTACACAAAGTCACTGATTTCTAGGGTTAACTAGGAGAATAAGATGCCAATCTGTAACATTATCATACCTCCTCAATGCATCGACCACCATGAAAATGACTTTATCAAATATCACCGGCGGCCGGATCTCCTCATCATCTGTTTCAAATATTGCAAACCCAGGAAGTAAAGGCTTATAGGGGAAAAAGCCGGATGAGAAACAAAGAATGGCAATCGGAATGAGTATATTAGCGATTAGTATCGCCCAACTTCCAGGGTTCAAATGCATTGTGTTGGTAAAAATTCAGAGTTATGACTGCTGCAATATGTCCATTGATCAAGAGTTCGAAATTTCGCAACCATGTCAGTATTGTGTTTCTTCTCTCTCTTTGTCCCCAGTAAACATGATAAGTTGCAAGTTGTTAACATGGCTGACAGGGGGATTTTGGAGTAATGCGGGCAGTATATTTGTTGTTGATGAGACACCGCCTGCCCTTCCTAGGTTGTTATCACGATAAGATTGCCTGATAGATGATTTGGTTATCATTCAAACCACTAATGTCTACAGTGATAAATCATATCCGTCCTTTATTTCGTAGTTGGATCGAATGCGATTTAGTATTGATTTCACCAGACGGAAGATAGCAATATCATCGAAAGCTTCCTGCTCCAACTCTACTATAGTAATTTTCATATACGAGTTCAAAAAGATATATCCTAAGGAAAAAAAGCATTTATGAAGCCCATGCGGAGAATAAATGACCGTCTTGGTATAGTTTGATGCTTGGCGTAAAGACTGACATGTCAAAGTCTGGTGAAAACCCATATGACAATCAGGTATTATGAAGTATAATGATGTGTTAGAAGTCAAGTCAAATTCGGCAAACTTTTGATGTCGTTGTTGGAAGGTTTGGGACGAGATCCAATGATCAATGATATACACAAACGTCGATTATCTCAGAAGGTTTTCACTTTCTCTTCGAAACTTTTCGTGACTTTTGAAAGCGTGGGGTAAAAGTTATAGATGAACGGTTTTTCCTGTTGCTGTGGCGTTTGTGGATACGTCCGGATTTCTGTGACGATGTTTTCTTTTCAGACGCTTTATCAAGATCCATATCTTGAAACAGTCAGTACGTGGAAGAAGCCTCCAGAGATAAAATAGGACACTGACCTTCATTGTATTCTGATAGTCCCGAAGCGCCGCTTTGTTCATCTGCAATCAATGTAAGTTTTTGTTTAAAAAATTCCCCCCAAAAATCATGTTAAAGACATAAAGATAAAGAGACATACCTATTCCTGCAGTATCTGACCCCACGTCGGATTTCTCATGTTCATTTGTCTTTGGCTGAGAGGCAAGCTCCTGCAATTTCGCCGATAATCTTTCAGTTCGTGCATCAACAACAGGCCCGAAAACTGTGGCTCGGAGCTTTGCCTTGTTGCGTTTGGATACACTGGCTCGAACACTTTTCGCCATTATTCTATTCCGCGACGGTTGAGGGAAAATGGAAGAATTAAAAGATAGAAGATCAGTATTCAGAGAAATCAATGAGAAAAAAATTTATCAAAAACAAGATGATATGAACTTTTGGTTTTGGTTCGCTTGGTCCGAGTTGGAAAGAATAAAAGTTTCAACAGTTGAGCCACTGCCCGATAACACTACCTACTGATCAAGTTAGCAGGGCAGCCTTCTTATGTCATCAACAGTCCCTGGTACTCCGCTCCGCAGACTTCCCCGATAGTATTTGATTACATGTCTATCTTCTCTTTTCCAAGTTTCTTTAGTGATACTTTTGGATTTAATCTTAATGCACTGATGTTGTGCTATTTTCATTCTTCTCATGTGCTTTAATATTTGAATTCAGAAGTGGGTTGAAATGTATTTCAACAAACTTGTTGCCAAACATATCGCATCTGCTTTGTCCTACATCTCTTGAAATTTCCCTGGACCGCGGTCGACCAGCAATTGGTAGCATACGTCCTTGAAACATGACCTCCGTCACCCAGTCTCAGGAGCTCCAAAGCGTAGTAGCTTTGGTCAAGACGCTCACAAATGTGCAGCTGAAAGATATCCTAAGGAGGGAGGGGCTCGCTGTCTCTGGGGTGAAGGCTTCACTGCAACTCAGGATAATCGATTGTCTGTTATACCTCTACTTCCTCTCTTTGCCGTTTTCTCTCCCCATTCCCCTTTCAACGATACTCTCTGTACTCTGCTATCTGCGACTTCTTCCCCCGACCGGAGCTTTCCCCAGGGCAGACTGCTGACTTGATTGCGAACCATTAGTTTTGGAGCGCCTCAGCCAAGCAGGACAATTCGAGCGTTATGACAGCCTGAGGAAATTTATCTACGCCACGGCAAATCGGTCAATGCCTTCCCCATCACACTCGCAGGTTTTTTCTGGAGAACAACATCGAACATCCTCGATCAGCCAATCCACGCCTGTGCAGCAAAGACCTTCTCCATTAGGGATTTCGATGTCCCCGCATGGGGTAGGGTCCGGTATGTGGACCAAAAATTCACCTGCTTTACAAGTGAGTGCTGATTTTCTGGAAGGACGTTTCAGTTTCAAGGATAGTCCCTTCTATACCATAATTGAGCAAATTACCCCGGCAGTTGAATGCAGAGGTGTGTTTTCAAATGGCAAATCGAACCTTGGACGTTTCATGATTCTGATATCACAAAGCCCGAGAACAAACAAGAGACAGTGTGGAGCTTCGAGTTGTTCTTAGCCCCAGTGTAGCGTCTAGGATGCAAGCAGACCCGAACATTCGGGTTATGGTTTATTGCGCTGCAGATTCTGGCCTTACCCAATATACCAAGTCGGATATTGCTTTTCCGCACCAAGTTGAGCTAAAGGCAAACCTTGACGAAGTCAAAGCCAATTTGAGAGGTCTCAAAAATAAGCCTGGGACAACTAGACCTGCCGACGTAACAAACTATATTCGCAAAAGACCAGGGTATCCAAACCATATCGTCATGACGTATGCCCTCACCCAAAAGGTCAGTACAATCCAAAAAAACCCATATAGATAGACCTCTCATCACCAGTTTTGCTGGTTTTACTTGAAATTTGTTGTTTTACTTTTGACTGACTTGCGCAGAGGTTCTATGTTCTTGCCAATCTCGTCCAGCGACACCCAGTTGAGACTCTCGTAGCCGAGCTGAAAATGAGGAAAACAATACCCAAAGAACAGGTTATACGGGAAAGTGCGTATATTTACCAACTAAGAGAATACTTCTAACGATCATCAGTGAGAAGCAGGGCGGACGATTCGGACATTGTTGCTACCTCGAGCGTGATGTCGTTAAAATGCCCTCTGTCCACGCTTCGAATCCAAGTTCCCTGCCGCTCGCTCATCTGTACCCATAACCGTTGTTTTGATGCATCGTCTTTCTTGCAATTGCAGGAGCAGGCGCCAACTTGGTCATGCCCAATTTGCTCCAAAGCAACTAGCTTCGAATCACTGCATGTTGACCAGTAAGCCCGACATCTCCACGTCTATGATGTTTCTCTAACGACGTAGGTATGTCGATGATATACTTCACTCAACAACATCAGATGTCGAACAGGTAGTCATAGAACCTGATGGCAGATGGTCAGCTCCAAAAGGCGACGATGCAACGGGTGCTGATGGCTTTAACCCGGCGTCAGATGAAGACGAGCTAATAGAGGTCAGAGAGCCCGGGGTCACTCCCATAAAGCAAGAAGCAACTTCCGCGCAAAGCTATTCTTTGCTTTGCACTCCTACCCAATCACGAGAACCATCAACAGCGTCTGCTGCTCACCAATCTACCAATAAGCGTAGCGTGGCTCAAGTAATCGACCTTACTGCAAGTGATGATGAAGATGATGATTCTCCTGTAAGACCGGCAAAACGACCGGCCTTGAATACCTTCGATCGATTTTTACCTGGACAGGAGACCCGGAATCTAAATAGTACTGGTTTCTCAAACGGAGCAGCTTTGGCATTTGCAAGCCAGACCAGTTCAGAATCCCCGGCCCAGACAGGTGGCTATGACGCGTGATCTATTTTCTTCTAGTCCCTGTGTGGTTTGGGTAGTCTTTCAAGGCGTCATGGTGCTTGCGGATATTGGAGTTTGGCAGTTGCATGGAGCTTTTGAAGATCATAGGTTAAACAATAGAATGTCGGCAGCTATGGAAGATTTTGTTGAGATTTGTCTAGGATCATGTAGAATATACACAAAATATAGCATCTTTCGACGAGGGGTTCGTCCGTATTGACTAGTATACTGGCTTCTTATATCAATATCCAAGACCTCCTTCCCTAACACATACTAAAAAGAAAAGCGAAGGCCCTGAATTCGATTCTCTAGTAAGTTTTGGCCTGATCTATGGTTTGAATTCCTTTCATAAACTACCACCAGTAATGTAGAACGGCGAGATGGCCCTGATCGTTGTACTGATTGTTGTACCGGCTTATCGTTATCGGCCGGTGGATATCATCGGGAACGCCGATCTAGCGACTCAACGAACGACGCTCTCAAGTGCCAGCTACAGTACAACCAGTGTAATCTTTCGCAACCCCCCTCACCCGCACCCGAACACATCAGGAAACCGCCTTTTTTATTCCCTCAGACCTCGGTAGAACCGACTCATATAAAAGACCAGCATGTCTTTCGAGACGACCAGTTCATCCCTGAATATCTCCTCCGATCCCCACGCGCGCCTCGTCAGCACATCATGTCTCGATTTTCTCCTCATAGAACTGGTCCCCATGGCCGAACGGCTCGCGAAAGAACTCTCGGACAATGATAGAATACTGGAAGATGAGGAAGTCCGAGAGACTACCTTCTTTCGCCTCGAGTCTTTGGGTTATCGGGTGGGACAGGGTCTTGTAGAACGGTACGTGCCTGGTGTTTGTTTGATGCGCCCTCGTTCATATAAGGAGGGGGGGGCGGACACCGTGATGGGTTGAGAATCCATGCTAATGTATGTCAATGGTTTTGATCTTGTGCAGATTCGCTCGCGACCGTCCCCGATTTAGCGACAACCTGGATGTAATCAAGTTCCTGTGCAAGGACTTGTGGTCTATACTGTTCAGGAAGCAGATCGATAATCTTAAAACCAATCACCGGGTAAGACTCGACCGCCTAAGACATCTTCTCCAGATTGAAAGGACGGAGTTAATTTGGATCTCAGGGTGTCTACGTGTTAACCGATAGTTCCTTTCGACCATTCGCGCGGATGAGTATGTCTGTCAGGGGTGACGCTGTAACAGTGGCTCAAGCGGTAGGCACAAGTCCCTTTGCAAATCCCCACACTCTCAACACCCATTAAAAGGACACCATCTAATTGAAGTTCAGTACCTCTGGTTTCCGTGTGGCATTATACGTGGAGCGCTTTCCAATCTGGGTATCAATACAACCGTTCAAGCAGAGACAACCGAGCTCCCCGGGGCAACATTCCAGATCAAGACGGTGCAGTCAAAACCGTAGGTTAAAGAGATCATCAGCAGCGAGTGAGGCAGTCACAGCTGCGTCTGGTCCTGCTCTGGCGTCAACTACAATAATGAGATCTACGGCCGGTTCCAAATCCATTTTCCTTGTGGGGGACACCACAGGGCCGGGTTGTGGTGAAAGAGAATAATAAATAGTAATTTCATTTCAGTATGTGTCTACATCCTTGCTTTTTGCACACCCGATATCATTCATCACGGGGCTCCAGCAATTCGTTTCATTCTTTCAAAGCCTATCTTTCGGGATGATAATGATTAGTAGGGCTCTTTCCATATCGGAGATCTGCGAGTCGATGGAGCCACAAAAGTATGTTCCGTCGAAGACACCAAAGGTGCGATATCAAGCAACCGGCCGGCAAAAGGGGATCATGTGTGCAGATGTGCTGGGGGGGTGGGTGTATTTACTTTGGCGGGGGGCTGTTGACGAATTCGACGCCTTTCGCAATGTTGCCCTTGAGGCCATCCGTGCAGGCCTTCAGCAGCTGGGTCTCCTTCTCGGTTACACCTTCAAGGATGTTGATAGCCTTCTCGGCACCGTTGGGCTGTATCGAGAGTTAGATAATCCTTATCGGAGACGAAAACAAAAAACAGAAAAGGAAGATAGAGACAAAAGGGGCGTGGAACATACTCCGAGCTGCACTTGAGTAGAGAAGAAATCAACGCCAACGGCCTTGGCAATGGCGTCACCGCCAGGAACACCAGGCAAGTAAACGAAGGTCGGTTCGACAACTCCGGACTGGCCCTTGGCGGCCTTGATAACGCTCTGGGCGAATCTGTAGTAGATTAGCAACAGCCGCTGCATATGAACACAGGGATTCAAACCTGAAGCCAGCGAAAGCCATCGACAAGGTGGCGGAGCCAGCACCATCCTTGGCCTGGACGACCTCATCACCACCAAATTGGACACCTATTGTGATGCTGTTAGGAGGGACTCATCATGGCGGGGTTCGATTGATTATCGAAGCCACTCACGCTTGATCAAAGCCTCGTATTTGTCCTCGGGGATCTGGAAGCTCGGGGAAGTCTTGCTGAACAGGGGAACGATAGTCTCGCCAGAGTGACCGCCGACCACGGGGATCTGGACGGTGGAGGGGTCCTTGGCGCCCGAGTATTCCTGGGTGAAGGTCTCCGCGCGAACGACGTCGAGCGTCGTGACGCCAAAGAGGCGCTGGGGGTTGAAGACGCCGGCGGCCTTGAGAACCTCGGCGGCAATGGGGACGGTGGAGTTGACGGGGTTGGAGATGATACAAACGAAGGCGTTGGGGCAGAATTCGGCGATGCCCTTGGTCAGGTCGCGCACAATGCTGGCATTGACCTTGAAAAGATCGTCACGGGTCATGCCGGGCTTGCCTACAGTTCGAGTCATCCGTTAGATGAATTGGGAGAAGTGCGGGGAAAGCGTGGACTACTGACGGGGAATGCCAGCGGGAATCACAACAATGTCAGTGCCGGTAAGGGCGTTCTTGAGGCCATCATCCTTGGGCAGGAATCCGGAGATTTTCTGCGAGAAAAATGTTAAAAAGGTCAACGGTCCAAGTTGATGCCAGGATGCCGGGGTGATCCGGAGAGTGGTGGTGCATTGGCACATACAGCGACGGAGGAGATGTGGGAAAGGTCAGCGGCAACACCAGGGGTGTTGACGACATCGTAGAGGGCAAGCTCATCAATCAGAGGGCAGGTCTTCAGCAGAAGAGACAAGGGCTATAAATAAACGAACAAGCATCAGCATTCAGTCAAGTGCCAATGAAGCACATTGGTGTATGCAAACCTGGCCAATGCCACCCGAGGCTCCGAGAACAGCTATTTCATTCAGATCAGCTATTTATTCCTTCTTGGTTATAATGATTTCGAGGCGGGATTCTCACCAGCTTTAACCATGATGGATGATTTGTTGGATGTGAGTTGTTCTTAATTGAGTTATTTTGGTGCAAAAGTTTCCCTTGTCTAGAGTTGGGCCCGGTCTGTTAGTTAACAAGACAATGGCAATAGATATATGAAGCCAAAGCCCGATAGATAGGTAGATTCGGTGGGAACAGGAGGGGGAAGGGGAGAGAACAATGTAAGAGAGGGGAGGGAGTCATGGCGGGGTGGGATGTCTCAAGACATCCATGACCGGCTAGCCTGTCGTGGATGGGGAGTTGTCACAGAGGTGACACATTCGTATAAAATGTGCACTTACCTTGCAGGAAAAATCAGAGAGGTGGCTTTTTTTTTTTGTGATGGTAAGAGTGGTAGAAAGAGGGATATAGAGAACGTATATATATACCCCTCGGAAGAGGGGAGGAGGGGGATTTAATCACATGTGGGGTTGTCAGGGAAGCTCCACTAGTGCAGGCTGTTCTATCCAATACATCATCCGTAGAACCATGATCCCTCCCTCAGGTAATCATGTTTCTTTCCAACCCATTGAAATGAACAGGCGGTGGCTAAATCTCTCATTATTTGCTTGCACTCTTCCCTCATTATAATAACTGAAATAGAACTCATCTAACCTGTCTAGTCGGATAAATTGTGCGAGGGACAGGAACGTATCGGCTTCTTTACTTTCCCGGCTGCCCGTCCAAGACCAACGTCAGTGCCGGGGCTCACTCCCTCTCCTAGTTTAGGACTGGTCCAGTGGTCACTCCCCGGACCCCGGCAGTTTTCGCCAGTGCCTGGAAATCTCTCCTGGGTACCGCCAAGGCATACCCGAATTGATCCATTGATCATGGGTGAGTTCGGAAAAAGGCGGGTGCCAGATTTCTCTTTACGACAAAACGACGGATAAGGTCGCGACTAATGATTCTCCATTATGCTAGTTTTGCTTCGGCCCGACAAATGGTGGTCCAACATCCCTCCAAACCCGAGACATGTGCCGTCTGGCTTAAATCCAATCGAGATCATATAACAGGTGGTACAGGTGAGAATTGATTAGTGAAGCTTACCCAGCGTATTACTACCCAAAAGGGTAGCGCTCAATTACATCATCTACAATGAGAATAAATACTAAAAAAAAAAAAAAAAAGCATATAGCGGTGGATCATGGTTCTTTTGATTATTTCCCCATTTTCACGTAGGTCATGCTTCTTGTCGTCTTCGTTGTCATTTCCCCATCCCGAATTGTTTTTTTTTTTGGATGGACTGCCTCCATGGCATCACCCGCTAAATTACATGGACATGCTGTCTATGTCCTGGATTGCCATGGAGTCATAATAAATCGACATTTTGTGGTTGCAACAAAGTTTCGCGAAGAACTACCCTTTACTCCGACTTCTCCTCGGCGGCCTTCCGGGCCTGAGCGCCGCGGGGCTTCTTGGCCGCGGCCTCCTTCTTGGCCTTCTGGGAACGACGGATGGCGCTGACGCGGGCAACGGCGTCTTCGCGGATATCAGCGCGGTAGCCGTTCTGAGCGGTCTTGCTGGCGACACCCTTGTAGATCCTATCCAAAGAAACCGCGTTAGATACATGGCACCCCACAAAGAGTGATGATATCAAGCAGAGCTTGTATACACCGTGGACTAGTGTCGGTTCTGCTTACTTGCGGGCGGAGGTGTTGGGGCCGTAGTTAACGGTGACCACGTTCTTAGCGGGCTGCTGGGGGTTGCTGGGCTTCTTGGTGATCACGGCAACGCCGCCGTTCTCAGTCGGCTGCACACCAATGGCCTAACATCAGGAGTTAATATCACGATTCATGCTGAGATGCGACGCCGTCAATGGATCGTATGTACCTTGTTGTTGGCATAACCAGCATACTGGAAAAAGAAACGAGTATTAGCGACTATCATTCATGACGAGAAGTATTCAACCATTATACCTTGAAAGAGTGCTTGTTCTGCAGGTTCAGGGGATCCCGGGAGAACTGAGAGCCACCGCCGGTGTTACGCTTGGCCAGAAAAGCATTCTGGTTGCCTGTGAAGAAATTCGATATACATTAGCCGCACATCGGAGTTTGAGAATTCAGCAAGAGAATGCAAAGCTGATAAGCGGTATGTAGTTCTTTTTTTGCAGGAAATGAGGGATTGTCTTCGGTCGATGGTTTCTTTTTTCTTCTTTCCTCTCTTTTAAAGTGTCGAAGAAAAAAAAAAAAAAAAGAGATAAATCCGCCGTCTTAAAAACGATTTCGCGCGAAAGTGTGCATGGAGCTCGGTATATTCAACTTACGGGAGATTTGCCAGACGAGGTCGCTAGAGATGTTGGTGGTGGCCATTATGAAGGTTCAACTGTCTCCTCACTCAAATTGATGGATGGTTCCAAGTCAGTCGCGATGAAGCATACCCAAGTCGGCGACTTGTGTGTGCCAGCCAAGAATGGCCAGCCACAGCGGCCGGCGGGCCTCGCTAAACGAGCCGAATAGAGAATAGTCTGTCACTTCTGCCACACTTTTCAGGCAGGAAACGTAGATTACCTACGCCGTTCACCGCTTTCTCTTTGCAGTCACTGATATCATTATAATGCCAGCAGGTACGGAATAGGAACGGATTTGCGGCTGCTGCCTCGATTACTTCGCATTTCCTCCACTCCAACAGCGACTCATCTTACATGCCTTGTATGATTCAAGGTCCATGATGTGACAGAACCTTGCCTGACTGGCACGTTGGATTATCGATTTTCACATCAGCCTAAACATCTCAGGAGATAAGATTTAATCTTGGGCCCGCTTTCAGCCACCTAGATTGTCCATCCTCTTATTACATACAGCACCCAGGTACCCTGGCCAGTAGAAGATGGAATACTATCTCTTCTATTCTCTATTGCTAACAGTCGTGATCTGCGGCACTGGTACGTTGAATCCATATCAAATCTTGCAACGCAGGAACTACTCTGACCAGGCGACAGCTCTTTATCTCACCCGCTCCCGATGGCTACCACTGATCACTGTGCCGGATTATATATACGATCGCCTCCCCTCAAGCTTCGCCGGTGATATCGAAGCCGGACTGACATCGTCGCATTTTGATCTGTCCGGGAACGTTGTGGACGGCGACAGTAGAGCAGGATTAGACGCCCGGGGCAAACGGGAAGTCCGGAAGATCATGAAACGACGGAAAGTCAACTTCGACGAAGCACGTCGCATTTATACGGAACGGACTTTCTCGAAACATAACATTGGGCCGGACGGCCGACCCAAGGACCCCAGATTTGTTTCTTTCTCGTGATTATTCATGCCCCAACACTCGTTTACTCTACGTCTTTGGCTGCGTTGCGTGCCTTACACATGGGTGTACTACCACTCTACCACTTCCCTAATATTTTTTACATTCTCGCGACTTCCTATCTATCGTCACGAAACTATCTTTCCAATTGTCTGGTCTGTTGTCCTATTTGGGGGCGCTACATCTCATTTGCCACTAACCCGTTTACGCTCCCTCCTTGGTTCTTTCCTATTATATAGCAATGCGTACTCAATGAAGTTAATGTTCTCCATGTTTTACGTGTTCGGACAAAATAATATAGAACCAACAATAGGCTTTTGGATTTAACGCCGAAAGAGGAGTAAAAACACCGTTGCAAAAATAAAATGGGGGATGCGAGAAAATTGTAGACGGATTGAGTTGCTCTAGTAATATAGCCAAGTTCCGCTAGCGATTATTATGGATTGCAAAGTGTTAGAAAAACTTCGTGTTCTCATACATGCAAGCGGCCATTCCGCTTATAATGAGTCAGTAGGCCCTTGTTCTAAGGTCACCACCCCGTATTCCAGGTTTCTCCTCCGCCCACGACCCTGGACTGGTCGTTTCTCACATGAGACGTACTCTCACCGACCACGGCCGTAACCGTGTTGCTGAAACCCTGGTGGTAACGGGGCCCCAGGAGTTGGTGTGCCTGCCGGAGGACCAAAGCCAGGAGGAGCGAATCCCGAAGGCGGCGGCGCGCCCTGCGGAGGAAATGGTGATTGTTGGCCGGCGTTGTTGAACCCTTGGGGAACAAACGGTGGTGGACCTCCGTATCCAGCCTGCGAGGGTGGAGGCCGTGCCGGTAAACCCGGAGGCGGATTTGCCAGCGGATTTGCAAGGACGGGAGGTCTGTTCTGGTGAGGAGAAGGTGCCGGGATGCCACTGTTCGAAGGCACAACGCCTCTTCCCATGCCCATGTCTGCTGGTGCAGAATGCATGGGCCGAGGGCTTCCGCCATTTGCCATCCCAGCCGGCATACCCGCCGGCCCTGCTCCGGTGAATTGAGGTGGTAGTGGCTGGGCTGGTGGTCGGACGTTGTGTTTGCGAGCCTGAGCGGCCAACATTCGCTCTGCTTGGTCTCCATGTCGTTCACCCTTTCCATCCTTCTTATACGCGTATTGAACGGAAACCTGTTTGTTCATCAAGTACTGGCCGTTCATATTAGCGATGGCAGCATCGGATGACTCGAAATCGGCAAACGATACGAATCCGTAGCCCTTCGATAAGTTGTTCTCGTCTCGCGCAATCTATGGCGTGTTAACAAATCATGGACACACGAGCAAACCCGAAAGCACTTGCCTTTGGGATATTGATCAGATTCCCAAACCGACTGAACGTATCGTAGAGCACCTGCTCCATGACCATAGGATCCAGATTGCCAACAAAGAGCTCTGCGCCAATTTCCACCGACTTCTGTTTATCGGCGGAGGCCTTGTTCACACGTATAGGCTTCCCGTAGAGACGGATGCCGTTCATTATCCGCGACGCGTATTCTGCATCTTCTTCGCTGATGAACTCCACAAATCCGTAGCCTTGGTGAGATTGAGTGACTCGATCTTTCGGCAGGTGAACGTTAACGATGCGCCCAGCCTGCAACATCAACTCCCATACCAAACTATCTGTGACCCGCTCGTCCAAATTTCCGATGTAGACAGTCGCCTCCTTATCTTGTTCCCTATATGAGCCTTGAATTAGAGATGCGCCGCTAGGGGGGAGGGAGGACCGCATACCAATGTCTTGCGCCCGACATGGCGCTGATGAATGCGAAGGTTGACCTGAGCGGCGAAAAATGGAAACGCGAGAAGCTCAGAGAGATTGAGAGGGGATAAAGGCCGAGAAATAATTGCAGTAATAGATTTCCTTTTTCTGTTCCCTTGTTGCTTTCTTTTTTCTTTCTTTAATCTTCACTGGACTGGAAAGCAATGGTGACTGTGGTGGTGTGGAGGCCGATCAACTCAAGTTGAGAAAGCTCCGGTACCACAGGTCATCGGCGGAGCTTTAGTCCTTCCACCCTGGAAAAAGTTTGTTTGAGCTTCAACCAACACCGTCTGTCATACTCCACCTTTCGTCCGACAAACCTTCAACTTCCACCGTCCACCTTGACAATACCACCTGAACATATTAAATCGTCGATATGGCCCAGTTTTCCGAGGAAACCAAGGTTCGATGAGACTCCAACCTTTTGTGGCAAGGGCTGTCCGAGGCATCTGCTAATGACTGTTTTTCATCAGGAGCGCATCTCCAAGGTCATTGATGTCTCCAGAGTTGCGATCCACTAGTAAGATACAGGCTTGCTTCCATTATAATCCTGGAGAACAGAGGATACTGATGCGCTGTTTCCACAGTGGCTATCTGCCCTTGATCATCTATCTCGGTACGCATCGCCCTTCCACCCCATCAATCCGAAAACCAGGCGACTGACGAAGACAACAGGCTACACCTACAGTGAACCGAGACCGTCTCTCTTCAAGTACTATTGTCCCTCCAACGACCGATTCGATTTCACCCGCTAACCTACCCTTTTCCCACGGCATAGGCTGTTCTCCCCGCTTGCTTAGATAGAACCGAAACGCCCGCGACGCTCGCCTGCACAATCACATCCAGACTTTTCAAGTGACGATACGCCTTGGGTGTCTTTGATTTTAGATTTGTTCCATCAAGGAGTTTTCTGGAACGTATATTCGGAAGATGAGGAGGGCTGGCCTCGATTGTCTCGACACATGGACATCTATGTATTTTTAAGGAATTATACCAAGGAATTTGTCTCTTATTGTATATCAGAGTCGAGGAATTATCTCCATTACTAGACCGTCGAAAGCAGTCTACCCTTGTCTGGTCCTTATTGCATTCGACCATCGCACCTGGGAAAGCCGGGGAAAGCCCGGGTAGACAGGCCGTCTCGGGACAAGAATTTGGCGATGGCCGCTCAATTACCCAACTTTCTTCTGTCCGTGTACTCTAGATATGAATTATGTGTGTACTCTGTTACTTTCTATTCTCTGATATGGTCTAAACGAATCTTTGGCGTAGTAATAATGGGATGTATCTGTACTTGACTACTCCGTAGTTCACGCCAGCAGGCGGAATCATCGGGCCCGCTCCGAATCCCCGGGGACTAAAAGTTTAAACTTCTTATCTCCCCAAGACAATATTTCTACCTTCAGCCTTTTCAAACCCCCAAAAAATCCTCAATCACCGGAGTGAGAGAAGATTCGCTCCGCGAAAGGTTCATGACTGGCCAGGATGGCCTCTCGTCGTCTTCGGTGGAGACCATAGCGGGATTCACGGCCGGAATCGTCTCTACTCTCTGCCTGCATCCATTGGATTTGATCAAGACCCGACTTCAAGGTACGTCGCTAATGCTGTTATCCTGTCGTGCAACGCAAGCTGATCCATCCTGTCCGTCCACCGCACAGTCGACCGATCCTCCCCAAAACCAGGCGCGTCGTTCCGCGTCATCCGGCGGATATTCCAAACCGAAGGCGGCATTGCGCCGTTCTACCGAGGCCTAACACCAAACATCATCGGCAACTCCAGCAGCTGGGCGCTGTACTTCCTATTCTATGGCAACCTCAAGGACGGGATGCGGAAACTCCGCAGCTCTCGCGAGCAGGAGCTGGCCGCTTCCGACTTTTTTCTTGCGTCGGGCGCCGCAGGTATGAAAGACCGGGCCCTAGTCCCTGCCCACCGCAGCGTTTGCGCCGTTCTTTTCCGCTGATACAGTTTTTTTTTTTTTTTTTTTTCTGTCTTCGCTAGGAGTCATAACGTCTGTCCTCACCAACCCGATCTGGGTCATCAAGACCCGCATGTTATCAACCGGCGCCGGAGCCCCGGGAGCATATACATCGTTCACGAATGGCGCCAAGCAAATCTATCGCTCGGAGGGTATCCCCGGCTTTTACCGCGGTCTGCTACCGGCGCTGTTCGGAGTCAGCCACGGCGCGCTTCAGTTCATGGTGTACGAGCGATTAAAAGTCCGACGGACACAGATGGCCCCGGATGGAGAATCAGGTCCGGCGCAGAGACGCGAACTCGGCAATCTGGATTTCTTCCTCATCTCGAGCTTTTCGAAGATCTTTGCCGGGTGCGTCACGTACCCGTATCAGGTGCTGCGCTCGAGGCTGCAGACCTACGATGCTCATCTTGCGTATCGCGGTATCCGCGATGTCGTCGTGCAGATTTGGACCCGCGAGGGTATCGCGGGCTTTTATAAAGGCTTAGGGCCGAATTTGTTTAGAGTGCTGCCGAGTACTTGGGTCACTTTCTTGGTGTATGAGAATACGCGGATACATCTTCCTCCTTTGGTTTCGAAGGTCTAGGAGATGGAGGTCTTTTGGAGCTTGTGTTTCAATATAAGAGACATGGGATGTTCAGCCGAATACGCTACTCCACCTCAGATACCCGTTGGGGTTCAGGGTCCCTAACTATGTTGATATCTTAACTATACTTTTTGTATCATAGGTCTATACACCAACATATTATGTATTCTATAAGGATTTTTGTCTGATTGGCACAGCGGCCATACTTATCAGCATTTAGTGATGCGCGGAGAGTGAAGGAACGCCGGGAATTGCCCAAATCAAATTGGCGGAGACAGTCCAGCCAGGAATATGGTATCGTAGTGGTAACATTAGCATACAAAGAAATACAACAAGCCAAAAATAAATTAAAAAAAAAACAAAGGGTATGTAAGGCAAGCCATCAATGAGCATGCCTTTCCAAATAATAAGGCTCCACATCATCTTCGTCACTACTTGACACTCCAGTGCAGGCCGAGGAGTCCTCGTAACTCGGACGCCTCGCCTTTCCATCGAGCCCGTCCAGATGTTGAAACTGGTTTCGACTTCCCGATCCCCGTTCTGACTTCGAAGTCGGCGAGATCCTGCGGTCTTTGCCGCGGCCTTTGATCCCTTTGTTGCTGTTTTTATATAGAGTGGCAAAGTACTCCCACAGTTTTCGATCCTGTGGAGTGACCATGTTCCCATCTGTTATTTGAGAGAACTTGATGGTCAGGTCTCGTAGGGTTGTGGCGTGGAATTTGTTTTGGTGGGACTATGATATAGTTAGCTCGGTGCCTATTTCAACAATATGCAGCGCCTCCCGTCGCACCTTCAGATTCCCCAGCTGGGTAAATTGCTTCCCACAGTCGTCCAAGAGGCAGGTAAATGGCTTGGCGTGTTGGTGGGTGATCTTGTGGGCACGGACGTTGCCGCGCTGGGCGAATCTCTTCTGGCAGATATCACAAGAGAAGGGCTTTTCCCCTGTATGGCGTCGCTGATGAGTCTGAAGTGAAAGTCCCATTAGACAACAACATCTTGATATGATTGTCGGTTTCCAGCAATAACAGGACTAACCTTGAGATTCCCCAACTGCGAAAAACGCTGCCCACAGGAAGGCTCATTGCAAATCTGTCATCACAAGGGTCAGTGATGACTCGCACGGCGTATCTTGGCCACACTCACGAAGGGTTTATCGCCCGTATGGGCCCTCATGTGAATATCCAGGTGCGTTTTCTGCGCAAAGTTCTTCCCGCAGTGTGGAAGGGTGCAGGTGTATTTGCGTTTCTTTCCGGATCGAGCCGCAGGCTCCTCGAACATGACGGCGGTACATGGATTCGGGACTTGGGGTTGGGGTATTGTGTAAGATTGGGCTAAAGTGTTGGTGACCCCGTGAGTCAAGTGTTGTAGAGGTGGGAGGGACTGTACGGTCGACGGTTGCGGATCGGTTACTTTGGCCTGGATTGCTTTCATGAGGTTGTCCACCTCGGTCGAGAACTCGGCTTCGTTGGGACTAGAAGGATCTTTGCCGTGCGAAGCGCTGCCTTGGGCTGACAAGTGGAGTGACCGTGCTTTCTGCAACGCCGGGTCGGGGTCATTCTTGACCAGTGGGTCTCTGGCCACCCGATTGAAGGCGTTCTTCGCAGGTCGGATGTCCGGGATGAGCTGAGCGGGTGGTGGCTCCGACGATAGGCGCACTGGTTGTGAATTGAGGTGGTGTTGATGTCCGGTTATGAAGAAATGCTGATAGCCCTGGTGGTGATTGTTGGGAGGATGATGATGGTGATGGTGATTGTTGAGTGTATGGCCAAATCCATAGGTAGCTGAGGACGATTGCTGGAATGACAGTGGAAAGGAAGTGGTTGGATTGGTGTAGAAGGGAAAGTTGTGGCCGACCCCAGAGTTCATCATGCGACGAGGTGCGATGGCACCAATGGGATGGCCTGGGAATTCATATGACACTGGTTCTGCGGTTTCCATCATCGATGGCAACCTGAGTGATGATGTAGGGTCTGTGTATACTTCTTCCTGAGCTGGATCGTCGTACTTCGAACTGCTTTGCTTGCTTCTGATCCAATCTCAAAGACCCACAGCTGGAGCAGAGGAAAGGTGAGAAGCCAGGCCTACCACGAATGTCAGGCCCTGAGTCCATCGCCACTATCTCCAGAAAGAGCCATGGAAGATGTAAGGCCAACTTACAGCAGAAGTTCCTCCGCGTCCTCCTCTCAATCTCTAATCGGCCTCTTTCGTCCGCCCAAAATCACCGGGGATTTCGAGCTAGTTCTGTTTGGGTCGTAAAAAAAAAGAAAAGAAAGATGTATGGAGATCGAAATGGCTGCAGAGCAGTATATAAGAAGCAATGCAATATTGACAGTGGGAAAGGGGAGAGAGAAGAGGAAGGAAATCAAAGGATGTATCAGATCCCCAGAGTGTGTATAAGCAACTGATGTATAGATGAACAGAACCGATCTGTCTCTATCAACAGAAGTAGAGAGACAGTTAAAACCGGGGCTAGAATAGAAGTGAAGAAAGCAGCGACGCTGTTGATCTGGACAATGGGTTATGTGCAATAAGCAAAGGTGATCTTGCCTTCCTTTTCAATCAATATCATTTGTCTCTTTCTCTTTCTTCTTCTCTGCCTTTCTTTCTTTTCTTTTCTTTTTTTCTTTTTTGTCAGTTCTCGTCTGATATTCCTCAGGACGATCTTCTTATAATAATCCAGGCTGGGGTCCCCTCGTTCCTTTGCACGTACTCTTATGAAAGTCAAGGCGTGGTGGATCTAGATTTAGATATACCCTTTTTTTTTTTTCCCTCTCCTTTCCCTGCATTTTTTTTCCTCTGATTTTCATTATTGCCGCTGTTAGATCGATATTATTATTATTATCAGCATCAGCGTATTAACATTCGAATTAATATTACCATGCTCCCCACTTTGCACCCTCCTTCTGTCCCAAGGCAGTGGAAGCGGCGGGGGTGGACAACAACAACAGGGATCCGGCCGGCTGGCTAATACTAGCTGAAGGTTTATAGACCAACAGTATACCGTATGTGTATTTTACTGTGGACATTGGGGCGGAGCTGGAGTAAAATACCGATAGATCAATAGATCAAAGAGGAGAGTAATCGAAAGAAAGGAGGGAAAAGGAGTTTGATCATGTTGGTATCATATTTACGATTCAATCTTTAAAACCCAATGTACCAATCAATTCTCGTCGAGGGAAACGGATGGTGTAAAGTTCTTAAGACCGTGCTTTCAAAACTCCGTCTATTATTACAGTAATTTTCCCAATGTCCATACAATGCTAAATACCAATGGATAGGTCAGATAGGCTGCCAAAAAAAAAAAAAAGACAACGAGGAAAGAAAAAGTCGGGTCTTCCCATTACTAGTTAGCAGGTATCACTCCTCTCCAGAAGGAACGAGCCTGAGATCCACTGCCTTAAATCAACTAGTGTCTGGTCTAGTCTTCACGGGGAGCCAGTGATCATTCCAGCCGGACCTCCCCCGTTCATAAATTGAAGGACAGGGAACAGGGAACGAGCAGTAATCCATCTAATAGTCAGAGACAAATATACCTGTACCTCTGGATAGAGTCTGTCCATACACAATGATATCATCTATTATTACTCTCTGTACAAAGGCAAAGAATAGGAGCAGAGGTAAAGATCTACCCCGAGTACTCCCTGCTCCGTTTGAATGTACGAGGATGTTGGATCGTGGAGCTTCGAAAGAGGCTTTCCTGGTGGAACGCGTCATAACCCCGGTTCGATTAGGCTGACAATCACGCATCATCTCGATGAGACAGGGGAACTACATTGAGATTATTCGGACCGAGATTATATTTACCATCTTGATCTTGCCCCTGATGCTCGGAGTTTTTGATAGATGAATTATGACTACGGAGTACTCCTTAAATAGTTCACTGAATGACGAGTAAGCCCAGCTAGGCAGTCTTATTGTATACCTAGGTCAGGGACCCCGGTACTCGAGTAGGTATCCAGACCATTGAATTCAACACTGCTCAAAAACAGCTCTAATTGCTGTGACAGACAACAGAGCTCCTTCAGGGTACGGAGTACTGCTATACACTCCCAAATATTGTCTAGAACTAGTATCAGTGAAATAATCGTATAATACAGTCCATACCAAGATCCATCGGCCCAGGCGTGTGGATGGAGCCGACAACCTATGATACCTTGAATAATTAGATTGCCACGCCATTCTCACCACTGACAGCTCTTAATACCCCAGGCTAGGAATCACATATCATCTGACCCAGCAGAGTGGGCCGGAGACATGGGGTTGGCACTTTCAACAAATGAGTATCAACCAGCTTCACAATTCCACGCCGTGACTGGTAGCCCTTCATCTCGTAGTCTGAATAGTACCTGACTACGCCAAAACTTAGCTTATGTTGGTGGAGACAAGAGAGTACTTTCGTCCTGAGGGAGGGTAAGCTCCCATGCAAAGGAGAAGGTACCTCCGACCTTTGAAGTCCATCCAGTATTTCGGTGACACGGGAAAAGACATCATCGTTCAACCTTCTCGTATTGACATCCTCCCAGTGATGTTGAGCCTAATCCACTGGGATAACCCCTAATCCAATCCTCCGCCAGTGGACAAGGCTACCAGGTGGATTCGATGGATGACGATCTTGAAACTGGTGGCTGTGGCTTGACCTGGTCACCGTCACCGTCACCCTCCATCGACCTCCCCTCTGATGTAAGCCCGTCAGTCAGTCAATCTCAACTGGTTGTGGATACAGGCGCGATGCTGCAAGATGACCCGGCCCACCCGAAACCAGTGGCCAGCTGTTTTGACATTAAGGAGTACAGACTTGAAATATACCGAATTGAAAGATACGAAATAGGCTGAAACCAAGTTTGGAATACGGGCAAAGTACCAACGATGGTACTGCCAATTGATCTGGTCATGGATCGACATTTTCACCTGCATCGTGAGAAGAGAAATACCGCTATTCCTGTACTTGATATCGCGTCACCCCGGTACGAAGGTCGTATTATCTAGTACTTTTCCCCTCGAATTCTCGAATTTCCCATTTCCATGCCTACAATTGACTCTCCGACTTGATTCCGTTTCGTCGTGTCTTATTTCTTCCATCTAGCCTTAGCCAGCCCCCACCAACGTGACAGGGTCTAGCCGGCTGAGCTATAGAACGGACGGTCCGCGGCGGGTGATCAATAGTGTGGAAATGGATGCAGGATGATTTGTTGATACAAACTTTGGCCCCACCAAGAGGAGTCCGGCCTTTTTTCTCTCTTCTCCACTGACTGCTTATTGAATGCTAACGTATGGAGTAGTACGGAGATACTAAGGTGGTCTTTCCAGCAGCCGCCACTGGCGACAATTCTTGATAGGTTGGAATCCTGCCGCCATTTGGGAAACTGGTCCATGCAGCTGAGGTCTTGTCCGTTGATTTCATCAAGGATCAAGATCTTTTTTTTTTTTTTTTCTTCTTGTTAGTGTTGAGATTGTGGTCTTATTTTTACTTCTCATGTATGTATGCGTGTTTTCTTTTTCTATGAATCATGTTTATATTATATTATAATATGTATCTATTTGATCTTATTTGATCTTTCTAACTGGCCGCCTCACCTCTATAGCCTCCCTAATCCTAGTCCTGTTTCTAAGTCATGATCCTCTCCCATCACTCGGAGGCAATACTAATCATGCAATGACTCTAGTATACCATTGATTGCAACCATCAATCCTAGTGTCCGATCATCTCCGTAATCACAATAAACGATCCCGTCATCCTGCAAGCATTGTATCCGCTATATCTTGCATTGTGATGGCCAAGGACGTCTCAGCTTTCCGCCCTAATACTTCAGAATTCACTCCGTCCAGAGCAGTCAAATCCATCATTGGTCAAAGACATGACGTAAGAGTGACCCCTTCCTTCTTGTTAGTTAGTCCGTCCGATCACGATGGGATTCCAAGTCGATATATCACAGCGACGACCTAGATTTGCCGCCCAAGCAAATAAATCAATAATAGTATACAAATAAATTGAGTTTCTTAAAAAAAAATCACTCACAAAGACTTTCCCTAATCCCCTAATCCCTCCCAAGGGAAACCATGTATTCCCCCCCCTCGTTGGCGTCCCGGCCCGGGCCTTCTTTTCCCTCGGATCAACCGAAAAAGTTAGATTGACAACTTCCTCGTACATAGAATATACCCCTATACATATAGATATATATGTAGGAAAAGATCTATGTCACACCCCCCGTACGAAAGAGTAAACAATCTCCCTATCCGTACAGTACATCGGTGGAGTCAGTCCTCCCCGTCTGTACCCCCCCCTAGTCCCTACTTACCGCGCCCTGGTGACCGACAGTAGTGGGGACTGGGGGAGGCTGGACAGTGGACAGAGGGGACCCAATCAGTGTTCGACATTCTGGCTGAACTGGAACAGGACAGGCACTAAGGGACTCAATTTCAGGGTGATCTCGTCCCGTATTGGAGCTGCGATGGTTTAGACTACGGATTGTTGTAACTACCCAAGACGGATGTATCAACTATCATCGCTGTGACTGACATCTTGTTATACCATGTGCTTCATACATATACACATACATGTACTCCGTACGGAGCACTCCATAAGGAGTATATCGATAGAACCAAACAAGCTAGAAGTACGGAGAGCATTGATATACATGCACGCCAGCCCCGATCTGCCCGATTGCAGCCCAATGCAATCCAATCAGTCGCCCATCCCTTTTCCCACGATTTGCGCGCATCCAATCGAGATATAACTAATTAATGTACGCCATGGAAGCCGCCTCCAATGAAGCGCTAGCTATCTACAGTCGCAGGCAGAAGTCGAGCAAGACATCCTAAGACCGGTGTGAATCGCGACAAATGGCAGGTTCGAATTTCGAGATCCGACGCGCAGGATAGTTATTAGTTAGTGAGTTACTTGCTTACTTAGTAGTCATTTAGTTAGCGCTAAGAAGGACGATCGGAACAGAGAAACAAGAAAAAAATCGGCGGGAAAATGCAGATGTTTGTGATCTATCGAATTCTGCGATCTTATGGCTCAGCTTGCTCCACCAGGTTATTATCATCACAATAATAATAGCAATCAATTGAAAAGAAAAAAAAATAGGATCCGACATGGACAATAAAGAAAAGAAAAGAAACGAATACGACAAAGAAGGACTGCTCCACCAACATCTGAGTCCTGGTAGAGATGGAGAGATGCAGGAGAACCCGTAACTTTAATTAAACGAGGTGTCTTCCTGTACGGAGTTTATTCCTACTCTAACCATCATTCCTATTCGAATTAAACCCCTGGACTGTATGTAGTTTCAATACGATTTGACCCGTCTGGAGTCGACAGATGGTGCTAACTGGAAAGGGTTATCCTGTGCGGTAGTATCCGTACCCTACTAGGACCTATACTTAACTCTGGGTATAGGTCTGAGTAGTGCAGTGACCGGATCTCGATATTCAATTGTCACTCGTGTGGGTTCCATGAGAGCAGGCATTCCAGGTGCATGTCCAGTTCAGGAGCAACCAATCAAGCTTTTGTCGACCTGGAATCGGATCAAGTCAGATTACTATTACCAGAGTTACTGTACATCCAACTGCGGAGTACTATAACTCCTAACTAGTATGTATGTAAAAGTTAGCTTGATCTCGAAATTCCCAGTTAGCCGCCAATGGCCCCGGAAATCCCACGGCTGCAGGGAGATGACATGACACGACTCGGCGCTAATCTGATCTGATCTTCGGATCTCTCAAGTCTTTCTTCTTTCTTTTTTTCTTTTCTTTTAATTTTGGTTTATCTCTGCTTGGGGAATATATATGGGAGGGGGAGAAATGTATAGGAAGAGTGAGTATAGAGATAATAAAAGGGAAGGGACTGGAGTAAAACAGACAAAATAAAAAGCAAAAGAATAGGATGAAGCATGCACCTCCCGGGAGTAGAATTACGCCCGCCAGCCGCCCGCCTCGTGATCGTCAGGGCGAAGTGGTCGTGACCGATAACGCTGTCCGCTTGGTAGGTGCAATACCATGTTTCGTGGGCCTGTGTGCTTTGTGGCCCTGACTGAGCCTTGACACTTTGGTGCTGGATGTGCCCTGTGTGGCTACATCATTCTAGCATGTCCTATACTCGGCATAGTATCTATTGGTATATGCCCTTTTCGGATCGCAAGGGTTGGGTTTATATCAAATGGGTTTAGAACAAAGCATCAATACAGTGGTCCTGCTCACTGACGAGAGTCATATCACCCAAAGACAATGGCGTATGTTCATGCCCAGGTGGAGTAATTGAGCCTGCTCTCCATCTGCAAAGAAACGACTACGTTGGCCCCGCGATACACTCACAAGTATTGCCTTACGATGAACGTCAGCATGACGAGCCCGGATCTCCAGGTCATGCACATTCGGGCGTGGGCAGCTTTCAACTCTTCCAAGTCAAATTGAGTACCAGACAGATCGATAAGACCGAGTTCCAAACCACGCGCAACGATAACGGGGACAAAAGGAGCAAACGAGAATATAGAAAGCAAAAACATCGAAGCGACTATCCGTACAGCATTTTGGCGCATTGTTCCTAACCACTCCACGTCCTTTCCCGAAGACGAGACATTGTACCCAAAACGTTTCATGTGACGGAATGGTTTCACTGTCACCGCTCGATAAAGCAAATTCGCCCGCAGGCCCGTTGAAATAAACATGTCAGATAGTACCAGATTTAGGAAGGGATGGCGAGCAGGGCTCTTTGCCGTAGGGGGTCTGAAACAGACCCCATCACCGCCCGGTGTAAGTGGAGTATCTGAACGAGAAAGGGTCAGTCAGTGACATTTGATAAAAGGATCCAGATGTGATGGGCCAAATGCATGGAGAGCGAGGGACAAGAAATAGTAAGGACGGATAATTACCTCCAAATTCTCGCACGCATGTCACCACTGCCGGTGGCAAAGAGGTTGTTCGTAGGACTGGGTGCAACCGAAATGACTGTTCACAATTAGCATCGAATAAATGATTATTACAAAAAAGGATCAATCCGCATGATTAGGGGTGACGGTACCGGAGTTCTTGTGGCCTTGCAACATCATTTGGGCGTTACCAGTGATCGGGTCCCAGAACTGGACGCCGCGATCTTTGGAACCACTCATGACCCAGTGTCCATCAGGAGTCAGACACACGCTGAGCACAAAGTCCTATTTCAGAGAGATTCCAGGTCAGACACGGAACGGCACACGACAAGTAACGAGCCGACCTACCTTATGACCTTCGAAGGTTCGCACGCATTTGCTGGCCTTGATACCGCTGTTGGAATAGCTGCCTCGGGGAACGCTGAGCTCCCAAAGCTTGATGGTCTTGTCGAGACTGCCACTGACAAGGTCGCGGCCATTGGGAGCGAAGGCGACCGAGTAAACGCTATCCTTGTGACCCTCGGGGTTCTCCAGACGTTCCACCAGGTAGCCGGTGGTGGTATCCCAGACGCGGACGCTCTTGTCCAGAGAACCGGCGGCGACGTAGTGGCCATCGGGAGACATCGCTACCGTGGTCACGCCGTCCTCGATGCTCAGAGTGTAGATCAACTTGCCCTCCATGATATCCCAGAGTCGCACGGTCTTGTCGCCGCTACCGGACGCGATGTACCGACCATTTCCGGCGAAGTCAAGGGAGTAGATATCTTGCTCGTGGCCGCTGAAGATGTGCTTGATGGTTCGCGCAGCGATATCCCAAACCTATACCGCAATATTAGCCTGGAACCAATGGCCAAAAAAAAAAAAACTTGATTTTCCGCCCTCTTGAATTGAAAGAGTGATAAAAAAGACTTACGCGAATCTGCTTATCCTCGGCGCCGGTCGCGAGGTACTTGCCATCGGGGCTGAAGCAGACGCTGCGAATGTAGAGATCACCAGTCTTGTCCACGTTTTCGTCCTGCAAAGTGGCCACGTTCTGGCCGGTGGTCACGTCGAAAATCTGAGCCGAGCGGTTGCAGCCGGTGGCAAGGTACTTGCCATCGCGACTGAAACGAACGCAGCAAACGACACTGTCATGGACCAGGTGGTGGACCAGCTCCACATCCAGCACCCGTTGCACCTCGGGGTTGAACACAGCGTACCAATCGGCACCCTCACGCTTTTGCGAGGCAGGCAAGTCGTCGGGGTTCCAGTTAGCCAGCATATTTCCCGGGCGGTCGCGAACGATGGCGGCGTTTGGGGGGGTGGGGCGGGCCAGCTGAGGCGAAACCCGAGGGTCTGGGTACCCAAGCTGGTGACTCTGCTGCGGGGTAGCAGGCGCACCAGGGGCGCGGGGTCTTTTACCGGGACCAGGGGACGCGGTTGGCGGGGGAGGAGGGCCATAACCTAAGGGGAAATCGAGACACACACACGGTCAGAGATCAGAGAACCCATCGAAAACACAGTCATAACATACCGTTCACAGCAGCACCAGACTGATATCCTCCAAAAGAGCTCTGCGTCTGTGGCGGCGCTCCTGGCTGAGCGGCGGGAGCAGGCTGTTGAAGGGTATGCTGGGGAGGCTGCTGATCCTGGGGAGGGGGAGGGGCAAGACCGGGACCACTACCTCCTTGGTTGGTCATAATCCCACCGAACAGGTTGCTAGGGCCATGGCCCAGAGCGGGTGGGGGGGCCTGGGAAGGGCCCGCATGCTGCGCAGGGCCGGCAATGTGAGACACAGTCTGAACACCGCGGGCTTCGAGCTCGTGTCGCAACACTCGCAGCTCATTTTCATATCTAGAAGGAAGAAGCAAATGATTAACCCTGGGAAACAATCACGACCGGGGGAAGCCATTGGAGAAGACATACTCTTGCTTCATCTTGATTTGCGCTTGTTCCAGTTGATAGACCTTCTGTCGAATCATCTCCATCTCCTGGAGCTGTCCGGTCACTAAAGGATGATAGGTCAGCGAACAACGTTCGACAGAGAACCCCGACGCCCCGACACGATGCGGAACACTTATCCCGTTCCAAACAGGACGAGTGGTCACAGAAGGAGCTGATGAAACGCCCTTGAGAGAACCCATACAGTTCTTCCATTGGGAGTCCCACCAGCTTCATCACGCAACGGTCGAGGGCGAACTGCATAGAAACAGGCAGGAGTAAGAAAGACACACACGTACGCTGGTGCTCAAACTCGCCAGTACTCCGCGTTTGGGTCTCGAATTCCTGGCGCAGTTGATCCAGTAACTCCGTCAGACGGGAGTTCGGGGGGGGAACCATCCCGCGATGTGTGTTGTACATGGCGCGTAGCAGTCCTTTTGCTTTTTTTGTCCGTTGCGTTCCTCTTCTCTCCTTATGCGGCAAGGAGGATAGTCTTTCCGGTCGCTCAACGGTGAGAGAGAGAGAGCGTCGAGGAGATGGAATTCAAACGGAGTTTGCACAGGCAGGTTCGAGCCTCCAAGGGCTGGATCGCGACGATAGACGATGGGGGTCGATGAAGACCAAAATAGCCGAACAGAGGACGGCAGAGACGGGTTGGCAGTGAGGTTAATGCAGGCGCATTACATACAGCGCGCCCGTACGGACCTAGCGCTACGATGTAATCGAATTAAGGAGAACGGTGGCGACGTGGCTCCAGACAGGGGGGAAATTCGAGAACGGATGGAAAGGGAGAAAGGAAGGACGATGAGGAAGACGGAGAGAGCCGAATGAAGATGGCAGAGCAGAGACAAGTCAGTTGGTGAGGACCGGGATTGATTAGGTAAGGAGTGCACGGTCCTAAATCGGGCTGGGATCAGAACACTTTTGAACAAGCAGCAGGAAGACAAGAGGGGAAAGAATGAAGGAGGAGACCACAGAAGTGGGTAACCTAGAATAGTCAGTGGTCTGGCGACTTAATTTCCATCGGGTTAAGTGGGATTTGGTTCCCTCCAATGGATCCCTGGGTCGGATGGGGGCAAAAAAACGGGCGGGCTGAAAGCTTCGGGTTGCTCGGGTTGGCGTGAAGTGAGAGAGAAGTAGGTTACCTTCCATGGGGGTGATTTCTTATTGACTATCCTCAAAGTTCACTGATTGAGCGTTGAGAGTTCGATCTTGAAGTAATTCAGGTGGTCTCAATGGTATTCCTTTGTATTCCTGGTCTAGAGTTGAAGATGCCTCAGGCTGTATACAGTCAGGTGTCTGTGTACGTAAGCCATGTTGCATAAATATCAGAAGGATAATATTCATGTAGCTTTGGATGGCATCCTCTGTCCGTTGGATATCCATATGTACAACCTCATGTTGAATCTCAATAGAGTGCTACGCAATCATCCAGACGGTTGCTGGAACAACGATCCAATACCTATGGTACTTTCATACATATCATTGGCGTAGTGGGTGTTATGCAGGTACCACCCCCAGGCTAACCCATAACGATCATAGTCTTGGACGGAGTATATCCAATGTCACTTTCCCTCTCGAGATATATAGGACATGAATACCACGAGTTTCTCGTTCTTCAGTATTTTCAATCCCTGGAGGCTATACTCGTGTATAACAGATGATATATATCATTCACTCAAACCAAACGAACTATAGATACATTATCATTATAGGATACACTGTTCACGGTAGATTGTCCTACAAATTTTCAACCCAAGTAAAGTCTACCCAAACAGAGACTTGGATAAACATGATGGTGTGTAGAATCAGACGTACCTCGTCGGGAGAATAATAGGAAATTAATCCATGGCCAACCGTGGTTGTCTGCAAGTCCCCAGACCCTTGCTTGTACTGTATTAAGGAGAAAGGACCGGATCTCCTCTCCCCCCCCCCATAATTTCTTTCTTCTTCTTTAAACAACCCCCACCACTCCCCCCTCCCGGGCTCCGTTCCTCTACAAGTCCTTTGCCAGGCATCGATCAATCCACTAGAACGGCATCATGGATATCGCCCTCGAAATTTGGGACACCTTCATTGCGGACCGATTATACGCCTCCCTCCTTCCGGTCTCGCTCTCCTCCTCCGTTACACTCCCTGGCTCCAACAATGCAGTCAACAGCACTCTGTCCTTCTTCGGTGCCTCCAAGCCTTTTGCCTATGAACCGGCCACTCAGTGGATCTATCTGGAACCCTCCAAGTATGCCTACATGAGTGCGTGGCCGCGAAACAACATCTACCGTCAAGCCCTGAGCTTCTTCTTGATTGTCTGGTATGCGAAAACCCGCCAATGCCTCCCACCCTCTCGGGGCTCTAACTGTGATGCGCGATGTATAGGATTTTCGGGATCATCGTCTACTTCATATCCGCAACCTTATCGTACATCTTCGTCTGGGATAAGACCACCGTCAAGCACCCCAAATTTCTCAAAAACCAGATCTCCATGGAGATCGCCCAGACAATGCAATCCATGCCGGTCATGTCTCTTTTGACCGCGCCCTTCTTGGTCGCTGAGGTCCGAGGCTATGTGAAACTCTACGACGGTTTCTCCGACGAGCCGTTCCCGTATTACAGTATCCTGCAATTCCCGCTATTCATCGCTTTCACCGATTTCTGCATCTACTGGATCCATCGCGGCCTACACCATCCATCGATCTACAAAACACTGCATAAACCTCACCACAAATGGATCATGCCGAGCCCATTTGCCTCGCATGCTTTTCATCCCTTGGATGGGTGGTCCCAAAGCGTCCCCTACCATCTATTCCCGTTCATCTTCCCACTCCAGAAAGTCGCATATGTCTTACTGTTCGGTTTCATCAACTTCTGGACGGTCCTGATTCATGACGGGGAATATGTTGCCAACAGCCCGGTCGTCAACGGCGCTGCCTGTCATACCATGCACCACCTCTACTTCAACTACAACTACGGACAATTCACCACCTTATGGGACCGTCTCGGCGGTAGCTACCGACAGCCGAACGAGGAGCTCTTCCGGCGCGAGACCAAGATGGACCAGAAGGAGTGGCAGCGACAGACCAAAGAAATGGAGACCATCCTCAGGGACGTCGAAGGCGAGGACGATCGCAAATACCTCGCGGAATCCAAGAAGGAACTCTGATCCCTCGGTTTTTTTGCGGTTTCCGAACTTTGTCTCTGGTACCGAACGCCCTATCATGAACATACCTTGGTTTTCTGTCGCGATACCCGCATATCCGAATATACCCCGGCTCTCGTGAAACGAATCATTGAAATGCGAGAAGAATAAACGAACTCAACGAGTCAAATGAGAGAGGATAACATGCCGTAGGGGACGACGCTGGAATGTGGTGAACCTTTCATCGAGTGGTTTTCTTTATTTTCAAATGAGCCATGACTGGTATGTGTTCTGTGGCATACATATTACCCCCTTGAATCTTGTAATATAGCATATACATTGTTGTAATAACTTTTAGTTTCATCCTTTTTTTTTTTTTTTTCTTTTCTCTCTTGTCGCTGCGTTCCGAGCTCCGTTTCATAACGTTGGTTGTCCAAGTCGTGGTACATTGGTGCGGTGCAGTTGTTTTGGGACGAAGGCTCTGGTTAAACGGACTACTTTGCATGTCTGTACATATTTCATGCTTGAAATTTCTTTCTTTCTCCTTTCTTCTTTCTTCTTCTTAAATGTCAATGTGTGAATGGCAATTAGGGAATTTGACTCATGTGTATATGTAGTCCGATAGAAAGCAAAGGCATTCTCTCTCGCTTTTCCCCGTTTTCGAATCTAAATAGAATATCCAATACATAACAAATCAAGAGATAAAAGATAAAAAGTATGGACTATTTTTCTCGTTCATAGCTTACCAAATGCCCAAGTACCTCATATACATATTGCCATGCTAGTACAGATAGACAAATGATGATACGCATTACAACCACAGATTTGACAGATTCAGTAGATTAAATTGTTCATCGCTATCAACATGTATGTATACAGCAATACACAAAGCAACAAGAATACAAGTTCCCCCCTACGAGAAAGAAAGCCAATAGGTCGACCACGCTGACAAGTCAGATATCAAGCCTGTTCACCCGGGATGGTTGTCATGTTTCAAGAAGACTGCGCATCCGCATCCGCACCCGCACCCGCATCCGCATCCGTAACGTCCATATCTCCATCTCCCGCAGAGGTAGGATTCTCAGGCGGAGGAGCCGTGGTGCCAACGGGGGTGGCAGTGGTCATGGCCTCAGCGATGAAGGCCTGTTCTACGGCAGCCTTGCGGCGGAAGGCTCTCAGCCATCGCTGGCCCCACTGCCGGATGATTTCGTCCTCGGGGAGATTGCCGCTGCCGTCTCCGCGCTCCATGAGCTCGTCGTTGCTGCCTCCTGCGACGGAGACGACTCTGTCTTCGATGACGTTGAAGAGGGACTGCATGTCGGCGTTTTCGCGCTTCAGGGTCTCGTCGAGGAGGCTGAGCTGGGGCTCGTAGAGGCCTGGCTGGGTTCGCGCGGCGACGATCTGGCGGAGGCGGTTGGTGACCTTGCCGACTGTTGCGGAGACCATCTCGAAGACATGGGTCTTGGCGAGGATTGCTCCCGCGTCGAGTTTGTCCACGAGGGCCCATTCGATGACGGAGAGCGGTGTGAGGATGGTGTAGTTGAGCAGTTTGTCGATGATGTTGATGCCGATGCCCGGTTGGTCGGCCCAGTACTCCATGACTGAGGTGATGATTTGACGACGGGCAGCGGGGGACTTCGGGCCAATGGCTAGCAGCCGCTCCTTGTTTCGCTCGATGCAGGACAAGACGTGCGAGAGGGATTTGGATCCAACGAAGCATATGGCGGTTACGAAGGCGTCTGTGGAAGGGAGCATGGGATCTTCGACTCCCAAGCCCTTGGCCTGCTCTTCAATGGAAGCCATCACCGGCTGGATTTCCTCATCCGTTGCTTTCTTGCGGATAAGTTGCATCAGTTCCTTGCCCTCGTTGGCATACGGTGTAGCTAAAGAGATTAGTACTTGTCTCATATAATCGCAGGAATTGACGCCGAGATACTTACTATCATCCAAGTATTTGAAGTCGGGGGTGTCCTTTTCCTTCCCCTCAGTTATTAAATGTTGGTAAGAGTCTAGGAGGGTGCCTCTGATTCGCTGCGCAAAGCTCAGGCGAATCTCTTTGTCGAGAGCACCGGTGATGAAAGCCATCTTTGGATGATTGAGCGGAAGGTCAAGATCATCGACCCTACACAGGTGATTAGAACCTCCCTCAGTAAGTCTTGCATTGTGATTGAAAAACTTACCATTCGCTCCATTTCCATGTGAAACCAAAGTTGCTCAAATGATGAGCGAACCAATCCAGAAATCGGTGGCTGAGATCCAAATCGATCGTATCCAAGCTGCGATACAGGAATCGAATAGCTCGCCCCAAGCTAGGGGCAATAGCAGCTGGGCCAATCTTACAGCATTCAGTGAGTACCGAATGGTAGTAAACGAGTTTATGCTCCGGAGACGGCAGCTGGAAGAGCTGGGAAAAAACAGCATCCACAGCGACATCTTCGGGTTTCCACGTTGGGCGGTCGCCCGGAATGTCGCGTAGCCGATCAAAAGGCGTTGCGCGTTTCACGAACGTGTGGGGCGTGAAGTAGCAATCCACGTCGATCAGATACTTGGCAGTCGCAATGCGATTGAAGTCTAGGATATTGATGGTGTCCACAAGCGCATCACGCAACAGTGATGATGCGATATCCGAGGTTGGGGGAACAGTTTCGAAATCCTGGTCTGCGTAGACGGAAAGGTGAACCTCGGGGTAGATCGCCCTCTTGCCAGCCCGTACAGGGTTGGGGATGGAGATCTCAGGGAGGGGGCACTTGGGGCCAAACTCCGCGGGGGGTTGCTCGTCTTCCTCATTAATCCGCACCCCTTTCCAGGGCCGAGGAAGACAGGCAAGCTCCCAGCCGCGACTGGACTCGCCCTGGAGCTGACTTTGCAGGAGGCTGATGACGCTTGGTACTGCATCCGTTCGACCATCTCCGAGGGCAAAAGGATTGACCATGTCGACAAGGGCGTGGGGTGTGGAAGTGATGACATCCGTCTTCTCAAGAAGAGCCGATGCCTGTTGCTCATATCCAGTGGCCGGCGAAGCCATTATGTACGGAATGGTGAAAAGGATGATCTTCACCAGCTCCAGGCCGAGGACCTATAAAACAAAGATCAGCGGGCGTACTTTTATATCGTCAAGAAACGACTCACATCGTCAGAAGATGCAGTCTGCAGGTCGACGGCGCGTGAGAATAACTCGTCTAGTATAGGAAAAATACCGTCTCCTTCGAAGATACACTGCAGGCATCCCAGAAGTCGAAGAAGCAGTTTGACTTCGCGCCACGCGCCGGCATCGAGATACTCTCCCAAAAGGTTAACCGCCTTCTGGAGGACCTCAGAGCAGACTTCCGACTTCAGATTGTTGACAACGAGAACGGTCGTCGCGAGGAAGGGGATCTTCAGTGGTTGTTCGAGCGTACTGGCAACAAATCCATTAGTTCACACGTCGTAAAACCAGCGGTATAAGACGAGTCAACATACAGATCAAGGACAATGTCGATGAAAGTATTTTTGATTTCCTCATTTTCAAAGTTCTCCGTCACGCTTCTGGCGATGTTTACTGCATCGTCGTCCGCTCGTCGGGCTGCCTACAACATGAGCGTTAGCCATGCAGAACAGTGTCATATAGGCCAACAGCGCCCTGGAAACTCGAGATCGTACGGATTCGGCAATTGTAAGCAGCTGTCGTCGGATTTTAGCAACCAAAGGCTCCTCGTATCGGCGCCTCTGCCGACGGTCGTAGTCGTCGTCCTCTGGCGAATAAAAAGTCAGCAAACGCAATCCATACACTATCGCAAAAACAATAGAGAACCGCTGTCCAGCCACAAAGCATGACGAACCTCTAAAGCGCCGTTTACGCCCACCACCACCCCCCCTGGCGCCATTGTGTCGGCGTTCGTAGTCGGCCATAGCTCCCAAATGCTACGATCGCGCGACTGACCGGTGCCAACTCGTTATCAAAGCAAAAACAGATGCTGCAATTTATGCGCAATTCCACAAGACAGATGTTCAGTCCGTTGGCCGGAATTGTATTGCGTGCAGCGTTAGAATTAAGCTATGAGCAGTCAATCCGCTTCAAGAACTTAAAACATTGTAAGTAGTTAACATGTGCTGAGCTATGGCATTTCGGGGAGAGAGATATTCCGCTCCACCAATTACATAACCGTTGATCTGCTGTGTGATAAAACATACAACCATGCCTCCTACGACTCGAGATGTAATGAAGAATATCACAAATCATATATATATGAAGAGAAAAACCGCAACATCTTCGATAGATCTAGCGGAGAAATAGAGGTTGGGTATTATTAACACGTTCTGGAGATTCCAACAATGATAACAAGGATACTAAGTACTCCGTAAAAGCACTATGATGGGTAGTAATGATGAGATGCGAGGCTATTTGAATACTCTAGACCTTGGTATAAAGGTAGATGATACTGAACAGTCACATCGTGACTCAAGCACTGTACCCAGCCGTGTATACCCACCATCAAGCACAAGGCCATGAAAACCCGCACGCATGCACAAAGGAGCCCGAGCACTAGACTATCAATAAGGACAAAGAAATAAACAGGACGTCAAAGAAAATCAAGTTGTCTGCTTTCGGAATTAGGTGACATAGGTAATTTCATCTTCGGCCAAGTTGAGTAATGTAGTAGTTCTCAGAGCCAAGTCAATGGGAATCAGGATAAGTGCAAGTATGATGCCTATAAAACACAACAAAAAAAACATAGCTGTAAGCGAAGCAAACACGAGAAAAAGAGAAAAAGAAAAGAAAAAAAAAAATCAATGAAAAGCCGTAAAGGGGAGTTTCTAGAGCTGCAAATTGGGGTGAACACCTCCAATACCTATATTCAAATCATTCAGAGGCACATCAACGACGTGCATGTTCCATCTGGCGCCCCTTCTAATATCCGATGCAATTGCAAGGCATTCATTTGTCCACTATTCTTCATTGGATTGGTGGAAACGTGGTTCCTTGACCCCCCTCGAGATATGAAGCTATGCAGACTTGAATCCCGGAAGGCAGACTCACGCTGTAAGGGTATCACTTTTTCCTCCCAAGAGCTGTCTCAGACACCTCAAAAATTCCAGCCTATGCTCCTCCACCCCCGTTGCGTATCAAGGTCCACTATCTCTTGAAAAAACTTTTCCAGTAGTCGCAAACATAACAACCATATTCATTGCCTCCCTGGAAGAAATAAACGGTTTCTTTACCCTCCTTCCCCGTTCTGGCCTATTCTCGATGCCCTCTTTTTTTTGGTTCTTTTCGTTTTGCCAATTTCAATGTCATATCGGAAAGGAAAGGATCGTCCTCTTCTTTCTTTCTTTTTCCTTTTTCTTCGTTTTTTTTGCTTTCTTTTTTTTTCTGATTTTCTTGTCCGTCATTTCCTACCCACTGTCCACACAGAGAAGCCAGCTCCTGGATGCCTTGTCAAAAGGATAGGTCTACACGCTCGGATAAACCGACTCCCATTTCGAAATTGCCTGATGCATGGACGAAATTCGTTATATGGAAGGAACCCCGATTCTCGAGCGCATGCATGTGCAAGTGGTTGCACTAAAAACAGGCGTGTTTCTTCGTGAGTCCCGCGCACAATGACTCAGTCAAGGCGCGCTATCATTTCATCCTTCGTAAGAGGGGTAAAGTTATCGATATCTAGCCCGCGGGCTTCGAGTGCCGGGCGGATATGTGGAGGGACGAGCCGGTTGTTCATCGATGGTGCAATGGAGAGTTCTAGAATCAACAACCGTCAGCTGGCAAAAATTACAAATGGGAAGAACACAACGAGAAATAAGGACCAGGACGACGATGGGAGGACGCACCATGCTTGGAGAAGTCGAAGAGGTTGGGAAGTTCCCTAGGGGGGCTGTTGGGGTGCCGAGAGTCGGCCAAACGGGTGTTGGGGTCTCTAAGCTCGTCGAAGAACGGATGGCACATCGCCTCGATCGCGGAAAGACGCTGCGTTGGCGTGTATTCCAGCAAAGCAGAGATCAAATCGATTGCCTCATGTGGAGCTTTCCGGAAGACCTAGGCACGCTCAGTCAATTTCTAGTCATTTTGGCTCCAACAAACGAGAACCGACCTTATTGAAGGGGTGTGGCTTGATCTGAGGAAACTTATGCTCCATGTAGTTGGGATTCATTGTACGAATCTGTTCCCGAGTGGGGGTACCTAAGACTTTGATGATTTCCACAAGCTGGTCAATGCCCGACTCGCCAGGGAAGAGAGGCTGGCCTAGCATCAGCTCGGCCATCACACAGCCGGTCGACCACACATCTAGACCCGGTCAGCATCTCCGACGGAGGTTTCGGGGGGGGAGGAACAAAAAAGTACCAATCTTAGTCGTATAGTTTGTGGCACCGAAAATCAATTCCGGCGCTCGGTAGTAGCGCGAACAGATGTAAGAAACGTTCGGCTCATTTTCGACGAGTATCTTGGCCGATCCGAAATCACACAGCTTCAGGATACCGGAGTTAAGATCGACCAGGAGATTTTGGGGCTTGATGTCCCGATGGCAAATGCCCTGGGAGTGGATATATGCCAAGGAACGGAAGAGCTGGTAGATATAAAGCTTGACCTCCAACATCGGCATCGTCGTTTTGAGCTTGTTGAAATACCGCGACGCTCGATACACCGTTTCCGGTACATACTCAAGAACGAGATTGAGGTAGACTTCATCTTTCTGCGATTCGGCGACGAGGCGGTTAGTTGAGACCATCCGACCACACAAGCGACGGGCGGCAAAGGGGGAGGAGGGGCGGTCGGTCAACTTACCCTTTCGCCGTTGGAGTAATAGAAAGCCTTCAGTTCCACGATATTGGGATGGCGTACAATCCGCATTATTTGCAGCTCCCGGTTCTGGGATGGATGTCAACAGGCCGGCGGGGGGACTGGGAGAGAATTTAGCGCTCGAGAGCCCATACCTTGAAACGCTTATCTTGCAGGACCCGTTTGATGGCAGCATCCTCGCCGCTGGGCATCATCTTCGTCTGGAAGACCACACCAAACGAGCCATTGCCGACGATTTTGCATTGTGAATATGAGATCTCCTTGGTCTCCCCAGTCAGTCCATCCTGGACCTTTTCGCGAACGACTTCTGCATGAGGACAGGACGAAGGTCAGCGATCCATCGGAGAAAGTCGCCAGGCGACCGAGTGCACACGGAAGAAAAAGGTCACAGGTAGAGGAGCAAAGGAGAGGAAGTCGGCTTCTTACCACCCATGCGTAAACTCGAGAATACCCCAGGCCTATTCTGTGACATCACGGAAGACTATAGTGGGGATTACAACAGCGGAAGGTTGGGCAGTAGAATCGAGAGAATGGGGGTATTGTTATTCAGTAGCAAAAGGCAGGAAAGGATGTAGAAGCAAGGCGTGAGGTCCGTTTCGGGCAGGGTGTAATCGGTGGAGCATCAAGTAGTTGGAGGGGTGCTCTGGATGGGCGGAATATCCGAACGGTGGATGTTGAGTGGAGGTGCGCGTGAGATGAAAGGTTGAGAAGCGGGCTTGTGGGCAGGCGAATCGTAAAAGGGAAGGCTCAGACCAAGGGCCAATGGACCTGAACGGGTGCCAAGAGACGCAAATACACAAAATGCCACTGGAAGGAGGGAACGCCAAAAGGGCGGAAACTTTGGGTAAAGAGTACGGAAAGTAACGGTGGAGGTACACTCTCTTCAGTCAGAAGGCAAAAGGGGGGTTGGGTAGGAGTTTACAAAAGAGAAAAGAGAAAGCAGAGGAGAAATGGGTAAAATAAAAAAGGTAGGTAGAAAAAGGAAAAGAATAAAAAAAAGTGAAGAGGTGGTAAGTTAAAAAAAAAAAAAAAAAAAAAAAGGGAAGGAGAAGAAAGGGCAGCTGATTTGGAAAGGTTGGGAAGATGATTCAAAGCTCCCAGTGGCAGGGGAATCTTGCGTTTTCGTTTGGTTTGGTATGGAGAGAGAGAGAGAGAGGGAGAGACAGAGAGAGAGAGAGAGAGGTGACGTTGATGGAGCGACGAAGCCCGAACACGCGAGGGCTGCAGGAACGCGGGAATAGCACCAGAAGGAGGACAACACACGAGCTATTTGGATTTAAAGGATTCCATGGTGGAAGGGATATATATATATCTATCTATCAAGTAATTGAGGACTTCCTGTTGTTGGTTCTATTCTAGTTTATTTGTCTTGTATCCTAAGGTATTCCTCTAAGCAAACAGAGCGGGGAAAGGCGAACGTTCCCTTCTACAATAACAATGCTCAAACCAGAGAAATTATATGAAATGCCCCAAAAGAGAATAAGAATATGACAGACCTATCGGTTGTAAAGGAAAACGGCAACAAAAAAAAAGAAAGAAAGAAAGAAAGTAAAAAAGAAACAAAGCGTGTCTTCAACAATAGTGATATGGTAACCTCTATACAGAATAGAGGACTGGAGACAAGGTTTGAAATGGCGGGGGGAAGAAGGGAGGGGGAGGGTTGCTAGTTAGTGTGCACTTGCTACCCACCTCTACTAGGTAGTGGTACGGAGTTCCAATGCCTTGTAGCGCAACTAACAACCTCCACTAGTCAATTACCTATCATTTTAGTCATGATAATAATATTAATGAGCATGTGTTAAGCGGGTGAAGATTGTGGTTGTTATGTGGAGAGCCCGTCAAGAGAACTGTGGACTGTGGATAATAGAGATAATACCTGGGATTCATTGGCATGTCCAATTGGGAATGATTTCTGTTTCTGGCACCCGACATGGGAATAGAGCTATTCCCGTACATGATTAGTGTATGTATGTTTGATGATACCCAGAGTACGGATGGAGAACGGTAACAGATACCTCCAGGTAACCGATCCACCGGTCTTACGGTCACACTGTGACTGGATTAGATAGAGGTGGGATGGGGTCAATACAGTATTTGATGGTATTATACAGGAGGGGTGATGGTCTTGGACGCCTACCCAAAAAAGTGCAATGAAAGAAAATGAAAGCATCGTGAAATGAGACAGCCCCACTTTATAGAACAATACCTATACAAGCTGCATAGTACCTCGTGTAATTATTACCTAATGTCATATGTGCGTATCTTTCAGCATACCAAGATGATGCTGGTATTTTACCCAGTCCATGTCATGTTTAATGATAAAATCACTTCATGTGAGGCAGATAGATAGTGTCTATGGAAGGGTGGAAGAGTCAGAAGTATTGCTATCATCAACTTAATATCAGTGAATACACTATATGTATAGATATAAATGATGATGTTACCAAATCACTAAATTACCGAGGAAACTACACATATCACATATAAACACCTAGTCCTATACTCGGTACTCCTTCGGCCTACAATCCTACAGTGACTACTAAATATAGGGCTACCTAGGGATACCGAGCAGAAAACCCAATATAATTGGTCTCTGGCCTGCAGGCATGTTGTATACCACCAATGCGCATCAGGGTCAATGGGGAACGCGGCTACTCGACCTGGCGAGCCTACCTACTAGTGTGAGGTATTTTACTCCCAACTAGCATGTTAAGCCTAATTTGTTTAATTGCATTTCAATAGACCATCATGCTTAATTCATCCCGTGATGCCTAGGGGCCGAGCAGGTTGATCATTTTGATTATTTACATGCACAGTTTTAGAATAAACATCCCCTTCAGTTGTTATCATCAAAGCGGACCACTTTGCCACTGTCTTTACCTCAGTGTCAAGTGACCAATATGACTTTTCTGGGAGCATACTGATTGGTTATCCTCTGCCACATATCGTGGCAGTGCAACCATGCTGATATGTGGTTGCCCGGCATGTAGCACTATCTATCATGCCATTGGATAAAACTGTAAAGGTAAATCGGATCTCTTTCAATTGTTGGATCGGACCTGCAAGTAATCTACGCACGAACTCCTAAACATGGTAAGAGAGCCTTGGAGGCAAGTACTTTCTATTGGATTGTATCTGGATTGCGTCATAAGATAGCTGGTTGCACAGTTTGAACAGTGCTATGCATGAGATAGAGCTAAGCAGCAGTATGGAATTGGCTACTGGTTGTTTAGTGGGGAGCTATTAAAATAGAAATGAATGGATGACTAGACACTTTGTACCCTATCTCTGTAAACAATGGGGACAGGAATAATATCCACAATACGGACTTCTGTCTGTTCTTCGAAGCAACGAAGTACGGATGAGTTCTAAATAGATATCTGTGTTTTATAGCTGTTTCATCATGTTGCATAGCAAGCAACATATCAATTGAACTCAAGGGCGCGTGTGTAAGTTAGGCGTTGCGTATAGTATCATCATGAGTGGCATTCTTTCAGCTACGATTAATATATTACTTTGACTATATTGCAGAGCCTCATATTACACCTTCATGTATATTAAGGATCTCAGTAGGAGGGTGACACAAGCAAGGAGCACCGCCAGTTGAAACAGTGAAAGAGACAAACCCACATCGTCCTTTCCAGTAGCTTTTGATACACGCACTTAACTATTGCTGAATTACTGATGTATAATGATTACCTTACTATTCCTTTACATTATGAAACTTTGTGCAGTGTGGTGTTGCTATACTGGGCCCCAAGAACAAGTTATACATGGCAATACATGGGTCACTGATTATTTGATAAACCGTGCATCTATATCATGTATCACAGGCTGCTTGCCTCTGCCCCACTTTCGCAGCCAAGGGGTCTTATTCTTTGAGCGATGGGTCAATGAGAGCAACCCTCGGAGCTGCGTTGTGCACTCTGAGCAAATCAAGCTCCGGGACAAGATCAAAGAAAACCATTAGAGGAAGCCTATGGTCTAAGCCCCTCTCCGTGCTAATTCTTTTGTGGTGGCCAAGAGTGGGAGGGAGGGGTTATCCCGAGAATTATAGCCCTCATATAAACCCAGCTCTTACTTACCGGGACGAGACGGGAGGAATTTAAAAACCCCGAAAGAAATTTAGTGGTAGATGGTCTTTGTGATATAACCTATTCAGTGATAACTTCCGAGTTTTGACTCACTACACTGGTAACTTGATAGAGAAACGAACATGCCTACGGGTTCTGCTGGCTTAGGAGCTACTCCTATGGATCAAGTATAATTTACCGTTCCCTGGATATTGCGACCATAATTCTTGGTTCTGCAGATCACCTGCCAGAAAGCATCAGCCGATCAACGATCAGTTGGATCAGATTTTTGGGGGTCCTGCTCACCTGACTATGCCGTTGTGTATTCGAACGTTTTTCCATGGACGGGTGGCTTGACACTGTAAATGTTGGGTCTTGTATAGCACCTGAGTCAGTTGTCAGAACTATTAGGAGTGAAATGTTAACAACCATCCCAGCCTCTGGATAGGTACAAACAGGTACCGAGGAAGCTATGACTTACTCTAGCTGATCTAGTAATGATACCGTACTAGTACTTGCAACTAGTACCACAACTTACCTAACGTTGTACCTAAGGTACCTAGGCTAGTGGCCTAGTACCAGATAGTATCCTACCAGCCTCCTGTAGATGGTACCAATCATGTTCACAACCGCGCCATGAGAAAAGGTGAATTAACCTAACTGAAGCAATGTTTGGATAACTATGTTATATTACTGAATATCCTGTCTAGATTACAACAGCACTAACAGCGTGACTATTCATGATGAATTCCAAGCATAATATGAAACATAGCTAGGATATTCACTGCCTGATATCTTTTCCCTTCCCTTTCGGCGCCGAGCAGTGGTGGGTGTGACTGTGGAGGAAGAAGCTAAGCCTAGCACCAAAGAACCCCCACGCCTGATAGAGAGAGGATCCCAATAACCATGATTTTGGTAGCAGAACATTCATTGATGATGTAACTTGTCTTGTACCCACAGGTTATGCATTGTACTTAGTAGGTATAAATGTCGCATGACTACAGCTCTAGAGGGCAGCAGCCTAGCAGGGTCATGAACACCATCGTAAGATAGTCATTTTACAATTAACCATATTAGATTCTTATTTATAGATACCAGTGCTTCTTGAAATGCTTTTACCTAAGATGAAGCATGTACACCAGTACGCACTGCAGTGTATGCAGCGAAACAGCTCCATGAATAAGGTGGAACTTGACAGTAGACTGACCCAAGGAAACCTCCCTTCCTTTCCCCCGATCGGGTCATTGTGTCTCGGTGCTCGCCCGACGAACATTGCAGAGTCCGATCAAACCGTCGAAATTTGATTGTCATCAACAAGAAGAGCTAAGAAGAGCAAGAGAGCCAGGAATTGTCCTGATTAGGTAACTCTAGGAGTTAAAAAACCCGTGAAGCTTCATTCATGTCACGTTGACGACTATACCAGAAAGAGATAGTGGCAAGAAAGGTTGAGGGACAGTCTTGGTACCTCAATAGGTGGTAAATGTGATTGGCAAAGGCCTAATAGCCCTGTAACACATGATATCATGGCTGTGCTAGTGGTTATACTTGTGGTGTGTGATATTTATTTATTATTGTTGCATTCAATGCTAAAATTATATGTTGGTACCCGAACGTATGACCTGGACAAGGTATCTTCGCCCCCTCACCCGGAAATCAGACATCATTCCATTGCCACACAGATTGATGAGTGACGCTTTCCTGAATTAATACCCAAGAAACAACATCAGAGGCGCTGCGCAGGTCCATTACCACCACAGTGAGAAAAAGGGATGAACCAATAAGGAAAGCAAGCGAGGATAAGTCGGGGCAAATCATCAAACCCGTAGTTTAGTTAGTTATAAGTGTCCTGCTTAGTTTACGTAGTTAGCGTTGTGCGCACCGACGAAAAAGAGGCCGCTGGAAAGTAGTGATGTCATAGTGGAGACTTGAGGAGAAATCGCTACCAACTCCCAGACCGACATATTGGCCAATTGTTAGTGACAGACTGTCTTCCTGTCGGATTGATCATTTGCCTTACTCAGGTAGGCCATCCAATGATGATATTTTTTCTGCAGTGGCCCAATCCTTCCCACACGAGAGCAAACATATGGGACCACATGCGCCAACTGATCAGAAGTGGTGCCCGTTGTGTAAGCAAATGATAGGTAATAACTCGCTGTGGGGGTCTTCCATCCATGGGAGGTACACCTCAATGCTCGAGGATATCAACATCAAGAGTAACTGAGTGATTCTGCCCCTCATATATCCAAAGGTGAAATACATGAAATATACATGGAACAAGGAAATTGTGGTAGCATTAGAATTATTGATCGCTATGCATGAAATAACTGATTAAATTGTAGGAGCGTGGGTATATATTACTGACTCCACCTTAATATCTGGTAGAGCGCTATATCAGTAACTCGTGCTTCCTAGAGCCCGAAACACTCGGCTACAAGCTACCTCATCTCTAGCCGTTACGGGTATCAAGACATGGGCATACCTTACTACGATACTCCTGATGATGACTGTTTGTAGTTGTGTTGACCACACTTCTATGCTGGATTTTGTAGATGGATGTGAATTGTAGTAGTGCCTTCATAATGTAAATAATGTAATCCTGCCTGGGGGTCGGGAACCTTGTGTGACTGAATATCTGGTAGCAAGCGGACTGTCACGCTTGTCAATCGTGTGCCGTGCTGTCAAGAGCAATATATAAACTAGGTCCTTAGGTATGTCTTTGGAGACTTGTATGTGCTGTGTGTCGCGCGACTTGGTGGACGCCTAGGAGATTATCCGCCTTTCTCTTTCTTTCTCTCCCCCCCTTCTTCTTCTTCTTCTTCTTCTTCTTCTTCTCTCTTTCTCTCTTCTCTCCATTTCTCTATTCCCCAGGCTGAGAGGTTATAGGGCAGGCGCGGCGATGAAAAACATTCCAGTTCAAACCTCACCTTGAGTCGACAAAGGCCAATATACCATTGTCTCGACTAGAAAAAAGCCAACACTTGCCGCACTACAAGACCGGGTGCACGCCTTGGAAAGAACCCCTTGAACCCGCTACATTGATCAAGACGACGACCCCGATTTAAGACACCTTTATCCAAGCTTTGATAATGTTTCCTACGAGAGCCTTTGTTTTTGCAAACGAATTACAGACAGAGGACAGAAAAGACCAAAACAACTGTTTTACATTGCCCATCTATGATGCATGAACAAATTAAGAAAAATAATGACCAAATACCATATTCCCGCAAAAAGTTCCATGCATGCTCAGCGACCCCGTTGATCAGCCAATATAGTCATCAAAGGAGATGGGGGGAAAACAGGAAGGATAGAGAGACAGGAGAACGGTAACAGACGAAGCAATAACATGAAAAAAAGGATAGAGAGGCGGGAATGGTAGTTTGAGCATGCCGAAGATGGATCTATACAAAAGGGTGGCTCCGTGGCGCCAAAACGACTGCGTCTCCGGGCCAGCAAGCCGCATCCGAGTAAACCACGATGATACACCATCTTCCAAACATACACCGGAGGAGTTGAAGAACTAATAAAACAATATGACGAAAAAGGTATAAGCTGATGGGTGGGCAGAAGAGCAGAGACGGATCCCTCCCACCCCCAAGAGCCAGGTGAGCCTAATTGACCGCAGTTATGTTATGTGGGAAAATTAGAACGGAGGAGGGATCATGTTGCCCTGGGCTTCGAGCTTGTCCTGCTGTTCCATCAATTCTTCACCGGCGATCTCAAGCGAGACAGCGAGACCGAGCTTCGCCGTTTGCTAGAAAGACGATTCACGTTAGGGATCAACGAACACACGATGGATTTTCCGACTTGGAAACACAGGGCTTGAACTTACCTTGGCCTGATCAATCTCGCCCGCAAAAGTGAGAGCCAAGGGCATCGCTATCCGCTTCTCAAGGAGACAGCTGACCTTTCCGGCGCTGTCGACCTGGGCACGGAAGGTGGAAGCACGGAAGTCGTACTTAGCACCGATGGAAGTAGTGCCATCCTTGCTAGGTCCACCCATCATGACAGCGGCAGCGTTAGGAGCAAACTGGAGGTTCATATCGACACCAGCCTCAACGCGTTCACCAAGCTTCCGCCAGTAGGAGGCAGAGAGGACACCCTGGGCCTGCAGCTGAGCACTGGCGATCCAATCGCTGGTCTTGTAACGCGCACTGTAGGAAAGAGCAGTCTCCGGACGAGTGTTCATACCCTGACGCTGCCAGATAGCCTCGAAACCAAGAGCCAAGCTGGGGGTGATGGACTGAAGGTAGCTTCCCACGAAGATACCAGTGAGGCCACCTTCCAGGCAAGACGGGTTGAAGGCCTTGATCGATGCCGAAAAATCGTCACCAGTGTAGTCGTTGTCGATCTGCATCAGACCCTGGCTCGCGCCGGCCATGATCTGGGTGTTGGTCTTGGTGACCAACTTGGGAGTCCAACGATAGTTGCCAACAGCGGCGAGAGCACCATCGCTTCCGAAGTTACCTTGCATGAAGACCTTTGGCCGAAATTATAATGTTAGCATCATTTCCATCAGATTGCGACAGCAGATGATGATAGGAGGGTATATTGTTTTTTTACCTTCGGGCTTCCATACATGGCCGAGAATGCATACGGAGGCAAGTTCCCGGACGAGCCCATGGAGAAGGCGTGCGACACGCGGAACAGCGGAGACATGCCAAAGACCTTGGTCAAGTCTGCCCGGAGACCCGAGAACATGAAGTTGGACAGTAGAACATCCTTCTGCACCTCCCTAGCGATGTTATCCAATGTTCCTGGGTTGGACAGGCCGAGCGCGGCCCTCCGATCCGAGAATAGGTTGTATGCATCCTGCACGGCGGCGGCGACGGAATTGTCCGTCAAAGGAGATAAATAGTCGGCCATCGTAGCTGTGTAAGGAGAATTGTTTAGTGGACGGTCGTTATTGTTGGAAACCAATGAGTCAAAGAGCTTTGACAATGGGCTGTTTGGAGAGGGTGACGGTGTTTGGAAAACAGGACAAGAAAGGATTTGAGAACGGGCCCCGAGGTATGAGAGTGACTGACAGGCTTAGAACGGGAGAGTCGAGGGGGTTGCGAAAGAAAAAGAGAACACCAAAAAGGTGCTAGTTGATTGCAGACAGAATCTTCGTTGGCCTGCTCTTGTCGGAGGTGAAGGAGAGGTAGGTCGAAATGGAAGGGGGATGGACCAGACAGTTCGTTGAATCCGAGACTTTCAGACGAGCTTCCCGGGGTTGAAAAAAGTTAAGCCCAGCCAGTCATCAGTTCTTTCTGCCTGTTCGGTCCGGCAACCATTCTGCACGGCCGGTCGCTGTGTCCTCCCGTAGCCCTCGCTGGCTGCTGCCTGAGGCATACAGGCTTGTCTGGTCGCTGCCTGAGTTGACTGCTGGTTCAAAGCAGATCGATAACTACTACTACCTACTCCGTACTAATTCGTGCTATTATATCATCGTTGCAGCTAAGAGCACCAATCTACCTCTCTGGTACCCCACGACAAAGTTACTACTGTACTTACTACCACCTACCATTTGGGGTCTCCCGAGTGACGCACCTTGCCCCGCCAGCGGACACCTCCAAATTATTTCTCTTATCTTGACCTCTGCTATTCAACACTCCTGTCATTGCACCTCTTACAGTGTCTAGTTTCAGAATGGATCGATTCTTATGAACTCTCTCCGACGTACCTTTTCGAATCAATAAAGATCAGCTAGTCCGCCTTCTGCCACTGGGATTGGTGACGATTTGAAGTGAATTCCCGACTCTCTCTACCTAGGTCACCGGGACCGACTTAAACCGGCTTTCTCTTAGCCTCCTAGCTCACTAGGTGCTCCAAGTTCCCACGGACCAACAGGCTTTGTTCTGGAACTACTGTTGGTGAATATACTGGTTACTATCAACTTCGTCATGGATACACTATTGTGAGTTTCGCCGTAGCGATCCCCGCATTGTCTTCCGTTCCTTCTAGAGGTACCCTCGCTATTGGCGGGGAAGGGAGGGGAGGATGTGCTACCCGGATGAATCCACCTATACTACCTATTGTGTTGCCTCTCTATTTGCGGTGTTAAGATACATGTGCTTATAATTTCTAGAACGGCAGATATTGTGGTGAATTCCCCACGGTTTCGACGCAAGTCGTCGACTTTTGTCGATGCGATCCATGATCTACCGGAAAAGGCCGATTTAGCCCCGGCTCAACTGTACAGCACGGAATCTGGACGACTGTTCCACTCGGGTCGGATTGTCATCATTACAGTAGGGCTACCCGCGAGGGGCAAGACGTTCGTGAAACCCCACTTTCTCTGGATTTACTCTCTCTCTGATAGTTATCGCTGATCTTGCGCGTCATCCCCAGGCACATGTCAGTAGCACTGGCACGATATCTTCGATGGTCGGTACATCACTCGACCCTGGTGTGATGCTCAATTCTTTGACTGGTTTATAGGCTCGGTGTCAAAACAAGGATATTCCATTTGGGAGATTATAGACGTGCTACAATCGCTTTCGGGGAAGATATTCCGGATGATTACTTTTTTGTGAACGGTAAGGGTTCATTATTCCCGTGGATCATTGGACTGTCTTGAGCTCCACTCTTGATGCTCTCAATTATCGTTAATTGCGCCCATTCGCTAATTAAAACAGCGTCTGCTTCCTCCGTACTCCTGCGACAAAAGATCGTCAAAAAATGTCGAGAGGACATATACCAGTTCTTGAATGAAGAAAATGGCCAGATAGCGATATATGATGCTGTCAATCCATTGCCCTCCGGACGGCGATCGCTTGCGAACGAGTTTGCGAAACATGATATCGAGGTATGTGTGTCTTGGAGAACTGTTGTGAGGAGTACAAATCGCTCACCCATTCTATTTCTTAGACACTATTCATTGAATCGTGGTGCGATGACGAACGTATCATTGAGGAGAATGTTCGCAGAGTAAAGATATCATCACCGGACGTGAGTTTGGCTTGCTGTTTCCCGGTTGTGAAATGGACACTGATTCTGTCATAGTACGTAGGATGGACCTCTGAAGATGCAGTCAAGCATTACCTTACTCGCATCACTGCTCGGATCCCGCAATTTCAAACCATGGAGGAGAAAGATCTGAATTACATCAAGGTCAAAGAACGTCCCCCTTTTTGTTGCGTATACGCTAATTCATTGCAGATGATCAATGCTGGAGAACGACTGATCGTCAACAACCGGAGCTTTGGATATCTTTCCAATCGAATCGTATTTTATCTCTTGAATCTTCATATCAAATCCCGGCGTACATATTTCGCACGTGTGAGCGCACCTCCCTCCACGTCTATTCACTCCATGTATTCTGACGATATTTGGGCAACAAGGCCGGTGTTTCTTCCGGAGCCAGTTCCTACAAAGCAGATGCCTCCTTATCGGAACTAGGGGAGGATTATGCAAAGAAAATGACCGAATGTTTGGTGAAGCACAGAGAATCCGAACGACAGGAAACGATCAATCAAGAAGGAGCAGACCATATGTTGAAGCCACTGACGATCTGGACCTCCACGAGACGCAGAACGGTTGAAACCGCGAAGTATTTGTATGAGACTGGGTACAAGGTTCGACAAAGATCTCAGCTCAGCCAACTGAATCCGGGAGTGTGTGAAAAGATGTCCGAGAAGAAGATCCGAGAAGAATATCCTGACGAGGTAGCCAAACATGAGCTTGACCCATACCATCATAGATATCCTCGGGCAGAGGTGAGTCTCCGATCTCTCTGAAACACACCGTGGGCTAATAAAGGACCGCAGTCATATCACGATCTTGCCGTACGGCTTGAGCCTATTATCCTGGAACTCGAACGCGAACAGAATGATCTCCTCATTATTGCCCACGAAAGCGTTCTAAGGGTTCTCTACGGTTACCTTATGGCATGCAATGCCGCGGATATCCCTTTTCTAGAATTCCCACGGGACGAAATTATCGAGGTGAGGTTCGGGTCCTCGGAGAATTGAGTAAAATTGACTAACACTCAATTGTAGATTATTCCTGAAAGCTACCAGAACGAGGCACGCAGGATTCATATTCCTGACCTCCCCAAGGAAATTATTCCCGGTTCACCTGAGGACATCAAGATCCCTGTGCCTCCGAGTGGGGTAAGCACCCCTTCGATTGGAGGGATAGGCAGCCCAAAAGATGGCCTCTCAACGCCCCAGAGTGGTCTTCGAACTCCGCGTGAGCCCGAACGAATTTCTCAGCAGCATGTAGAAGATGTTGTTTAGGCTTCTGTTCCGCGCTGAAATACCCTGGAATAATATTGGACGACGTTGGTTCCCTGGCTGGGTCCTCGATCATTCAAGAGACATATAGATAGTGCATGTACACCCCTACGCAAGCTAGCCTCCGTGAAGCGTAGAAACAAAAACAATATTGTCTCCAGGTTGGAGTTCATAAGTCTCCTCTCCCTCCAATTCCCAGTCGGCGTCGTTGATCAAAACGAGGATGCCCGGTCTCCTGCCGTCAACAGTTAGCATTACCCCGCTAGTCACCTCAGAAACCCACATACACGTTTCCTTCCAAGATGAATAACTCTTTTCTCTCGTCCTTCATGAGATTGTCGACTAGGTACCCTAGCAGGAAAGAGATGTTCGGCCGGCCACCTTCGTTCTGTTGTGCGGGAAGAGCGATAGAATGTTTGCGCTCGTTATCAAAAAGGATCTCCAGACCACCTCTATTGAAGAAAATGCCAATCAGCGATCAATGACCCATGATTTTCTTACGGGCTTGGGAAACCAACGTGAACTCGACTGTGATCGGAATAGATTCGGAACTATTCTGACCCGCTGGGGACTGCTGATTTGAAACGCTCGTAGACATCGCTAGGAAAAGTGATAATGATTAATAGATGTCTAAAGTATGGTGCAATGAGACCTTCGTTTGATACTAATTCGCATCGAAAAGAACGAGGTGGGGAAGGAGATCTGAGGTACGGATATGGCCTAAGAGATTGCGGTTCTTTTGAGAGGTTGGCCGCGCTTATCGATAAGCCAGTTCGTACCAAAAATCATTACCCAATTCCCCGACGGAACAATTTATTCGTTTCCTGTGTCCATGCGACAGTGATTCCACCTCTCTACGCTCCCAGACTTATCTTCCGACTATCCGACGCAAAGGATCAAAGAGCCTAGGCGAATTGTTCACATAGGATTTGGGCCCGGAATTCGAGCTCCATGGTCTCTATCACCACAGACTACATCAGCGTGGGGGGCAACCGGCACCCGGCCGCGGCGGACTGGGACGTTCAGTCGGGGGTGCTCGCCTTTGGCGCTGATAATAATGTAGCGCTTTGGGATCCTGTGGTACGGTAGGCCCCTATCAATAACGTTGGACTTTTCGCAATTCCGTGGGGTTGATGCTGATATTTTACGCGCAGGATGACTCTCAACGCGGGGTCTACTCTCTTCTCGTCGGCCATGGCGACAAGGTCACCGCTGTCCGCTTTTACACATGTCCTATGACAGGCGCCACTTTCCTTCTGACCGGCTCCGTCGATTGCACTGTTCGGTTATGGCGAGCTCATCCCGACGATCAACGTTCCTTTGCCCATGTGTGTACTTTGGAGGGTCACACAAGCTCGGTCAATACGCTTGCAGTGGCACCCGGTGCGAATATCGTTGCATCTGGTGCGGCGGATGGGACTGTTAGGATTTGGAGACTGTGTGTGGATGAGTCGGTACATGGAGAGTTGGTCGAAACCATTCCCATGAAGCCTCGGTTTTTCCCGCTGGCCCTAGCTTTGCAGTCACTCCAGACGGACAGCAAAGATGGAGCCTTAGTCCTGGCAGTCTCCGGCACGACCAATGCTATACAGATATTCGTGGCTGAATCCACGACCAAAGACCCTGCGTTTAAACTTTCGGCTGTGCTATCCGGCCATGAAGCTTGGGTGCGCTCTTTGTCCTTCACACAGGACAAGCAGAGCAAGGAGGGGGACTTCCTGCTTGCTTCATCTAGTCAAGACAAATATATTCGACTCTGGCGATTGCACCGGGGAGAATTTTCCCAACCCATATCCGAAGACGAAGACGCAATCCTGGGAGGAATGGAACCTACACTCTCCAACAAAGCCCACCAGTTCGAAGTGATGAGCAATAAGTATTCAATCACGTTTGAAGCTCTTCTGTTTGGCAACGAGGATTGGATATATACTACAGCGTGGAATCCGAGCTCCGAACGACAACAGCTCCTCTCTGCCTCCGCGGACAATACCCTAACCATATGGGAACAAGACTCTGTCTCTGGCGTTTGGATACCCGCCGAAAGGATGGGAGAGATTAGTGTGCAGAAGGGATCAACTACGGCGACCGGGAGCACCGGTGGGTTTTGGATCGGTCTCTGGTCTCCCAGCGGCGAACAAGTTGTGAGTCTTGGTCGAACGGGCAGTTGGAGAGCATGGAGCTACGACGCCGACGCCGATATGTGGATGCAGAGGCTAGGCATAACTGGACATGTGCAATCGGTCAATGGCATCCAGTGGGAACCCACCGGAGGCTATCTCCTTTCTACTAGCGGTGATCAAACAACACGTCTCCATGCACCGTGGCTTCGGGATGGTCAAAAGTCGTGGCATGAATTTTCCAGACCCCAGATTCATGGCTATGACCTAAACTGTATCGGCACGTTGGGAGCGACGCGTTTCGTTTCTGGCGCCGACGAGAAACTGCTGCGAGTATTTGATGAGCCAAAACCCGTCGCACAAATGCTACAGAACTTGGCTGGCTTCCAGCAACTAACAGAGAGCGAGCTGCCGGATACTGCCCAGATTCCAGTACTCGGACTTTCTAATCAGTCTACGGGCAAAGAGGCACCGACCGATGGGGATGAGGTCGATGATGCAGGAGTTGGACAAGCCCAGGAAAGCCAGCAATTGCTGGCAACTTCCACCCACCCTCCGCTCGAAGACCAGCTGGCTCGGTATACGCTGTGGCCGGAGCATGAGAAGCTCTATGGGCACGGTTATGAGATATCCGCCGTGGCCGTCAGCCATGACCGGACACTCATCGCCACGGCCTGCAAAGCAAGCTCCATAGACCATGCGGTAATTCGTCTATATGACACATCTGACTGGCATGAGATTCGACCCTCCCTTGCAGCTCATTCTTTGACCATCACGAGCCTGTGTTTCTCGAGTGATGACCAATACCTTCTTAGTGTCGGGCGAGATAGACAGTGGGCCGTCTTCTGCCGCGATGAACAGGAACGATCCTCGTTCTCACTCATGATTTCAAATCCTAAGGGCCACTCCAGAATGATACTCGACGCCTCATGGGGGCCGATATGCGAACAGCCCATCTTTGCAACGGCAGGACGAGACAAGTCTGTAAAGATCTGGCAAAAGGCAGAAGACTCATTTATGTGCAAGGCGACCATCCAGTTAAAATCTCCTGTCACGGCAATCTCCTTCCTTCCTCGCCAACACAACGGGCACCTAATTCTTGCTTCTGGCGAGGAGAGTGGGGAGCTCTCGGTCCATCAGGTCGCGGTCGAAAGCTTCGAAACGCAGCAATTGGCAAGCGTTGATCGGGCCATGTGCCCCTCAAAGGCGATCACAGAGCTCATATGGCGACCACTGGGCTCTAGGGACGAGGAAAACACATCGCCAATCTCCCATTTTGAGCTTGCTGTTGCAAGTGAAGATACGTCGATGCGCGTCTATAACATTTCTGACATGGTTTTATGAAAAAGTTGTGTATATACTTATTTCCGGGGTAGTGAGTAAATAGAGTGGAGTGGACGAGCGAGAAAAAGTCATGTCATTTATAATTAGACTCTAAAGAGCTGGTAGAATGTTGAATGCGTGCAGGCATCCCTGGTGAATCCTGGGTCCGTGAAATCGCACAATGTACATCATGTCGCCATCTAACATTGAAACCGTGTTGAACCCCAAGGTTTTGGAGTGAAGAATATAGAACGAGGGAAGGAGACCTAGGGCCGCTTTTCCAATCTATACCCACCCAGTCCTTCAAGAGACTCATATGTCTTGCCCTGATTTTGTCGACCATTCCGGGGCCCCCTAGCCTTCAGGTCCTCCTTGAGCCATTTAAGGACAATCTCCCCAAGCCGACTATTTTCCGACGACCCCTCAGTTTCCTCATTGAATTTTTCGATAGGACCCCACTGTCTCACATTCCCAAGATGCATATGTACCAGGTGCGTCGGCCACTGCGACAGATTGTCCAGGATATGCGTCGCATACACGACCGTGCACGACCGCGTCTCGGTCTCCCGCTTCAGGAAGGAAAGGAAGTCGCTCCGGGACAGCAGGTCAAGATCAACGGTGATCTCATCGAGCAGCAGGACCTGCCAGGGCCGAATCAGACCCATAGCCAGCTGCACACGACGCCGCTCGCCGTCCGACACGGCGTGCATTCGCCAGCTGAGATCGATATCGAGGATGTCGACCAGTTCATCGCGACGGTTGGGATAAGCGTCTCCGCCGATGGACGCGAGGAGGGTCGGCACGTCGATATCCGTCCGCACGATGTGGTTGAGAACCCATTCGGCGCCGAGGTAGGTCACTCCGTCTAGACCCTCTTGGAAGGGGTCTTTGCCGCCGACGGTGATCGTGTTGTGCGGGGAGAGACGCTTGCCGGCCAGTAGACGTAGGAGGGTGGTCTTGCCCGCGCCATTGGCTATTACGGTGTGAGCGTTGTAAACTCATCAGGGGGCTTTTCTTTCTTTGTTTTGTTTACCTCCAATTAGCAGTGTGCGGCTTCCTGCAGGTAGGTCGAGATTGATATCGGTCAAGCCGGACGATCCATCTTGGAACTTGTAGGACAGGTGGTTCACCTGGATGGAGGGTGCGTTGGAAGTTTGCTGGGCTGAATCTACCATGATGGATGCGAGGGATAGATATGTCTAAATTCTATCGAGAGTGATATTCTCGTTGCTTGGTGGAATCGGAGATTCTTTCTGATCTTGTTGACATCATTCATTAGGTCGTATTTGACCCCTCATGGATGAGGTAATAGCCCGTTTTGCAAATTACCCAGCTACTGATACTTTACAGCATCATTTGACTTCTTGGGTATCAGCGGTTTTTTTTTGATCAGTAGATAGAAGGATTATACCAAATACAAACGTTATCAGTATGGAATTCTTGGGGAAAGTATTGTGCTGGGATGATGATGTATTATTATTACAAATGAAGTCATTTCAAAGAGACTTTGGGTGGTCGGGTTGTTGCAAATCATCATAAGTTGATTAATCCTGCCGTAATTTAAAAATTCCAAAAGTAAAAACACCGCTGACACTCAGAGCACTTGACTCTCCGCGGCCTCATTTTTCTACCTCCGAGTTCTATATGCCAATTCTTAACGGTCCACGAACTGGGCTGAATCGCCCACATCTACATTTTCCTTCGCCCCCTCCGATGTCATACATCTTCCAAATGGCTCATCGGGCTCCATGATGCTAAGCAGTTCCCTCATCTCATGAACTATCTCTCCCGTTTATTCTTCCCTCGCAAACTATCCGCCGCTATGAAGCCCCTCATAGCTGTCGTCGGTGCCACTGGCACAGGCAAGTCCAAGGTGAGTGGTATTAAATGAACATCTCAAAACATCATCGGGAATTGTCACTGACGGCTGTAGATAGCTTGCAGTGGACCTAGCATCTCGTTTCAACGGTGAGATCATCAACGGCGACGCGATGCAAATGTACCGCGGTCTCCCCATCATCACGAATCAGATCCCCGTCGAAGAACGAAACGGCATCCCACACCACCTGCTGAGCTGCGTTGAACTGGACGAAGAGCCGTGGCGCGTCGGCCTGTTCAAGAAAGAATGTCTCCGCATCATCCAGGAAATACACGCCAGAGGCAAACTGCCGATCCTCGTTGGAGGCACCCATTATTACACGCAAGCTGTATTGTTCAACGATCAGCTGGTTGGAGACGCCTCTGTCGCGCTCGAGGAGCTAGATGGCCAAGCGAACGGAGAACCGATCGAGCCGTCTACGAGATGGCCCATTCTCAATGCGCCTACAGAAGTGATCCTACAGAAGCTGCGGGGGGTCGATCCGGTAATGGCACAACGCTGGCATCCGAATGACGGGCGGAAAATTCGCCGCTCTCTCGAGATCTATTTCCAGACTGGGCGGCCGGCCTCGGAGGTCTATGCCGAGCAGAAACGCGCCAAGGAGGGAGCCCTGACGTGTAACAGCTCCGATGGCACGGGCCAGCTGCGGTTTCCGACGATGTTCTTCTGGATCCATTCGGAGAAAGAGGTTTTGAATTCGCGCCTTGACGGACGCGTTGGGGTCATGATTGAGCAGGGATTGCTGTCTGAAGCACAGCTTATGTGGGACTATCTCCGAGAGAAACAGTCCAAGGGGATCATCGTTGACCAGACGCGGGGCGTCTGGGTCGCTATCGGATTCAAAGAGCTTGCACCGTATCTCGAGGAACTGCATAAGGGAACAGCGAGCCCAGAAGAACTGGAAGCCTTGAAGCGAACATGCATTGAGTCTATCAGAACCGCTACTCGCCAATATTCCACGTCGCAGATCAAATGGATACGCAACAAGCTGTGGAGAGCTCTGGCAGCAATTAACGAGACATCCCGCTTATATCTCCTGGACAGTACGCATGTCGAGAACTGGTCTGGTAGCGTCACAGAGCCATCGGAGCACCTCGTTCGCTCCCTGCTTAGCGGCGAACCTACCCCTGATCCCAAATCACTTTCAGAATTCGCAAGGACAATACTGGGTGAGAAGGAAGCGAAGTCACGCGAAGAAACTGATCCTGGCTCAGAAACCATCACTTGTGATGTTTGCAAGAGGACTTTGGCGAACAGCGAGCAGTGGAACATCCACATCCGTGGCCAGGCTCATAAACGGGTCTTGAAAGCTGCCGTCAGACGTGCACAACGCGAAGAGCGCATCGCAAAAGGAATAGAGGTGCCAAAGCCTGCGAAAGTGGTAGACTGATTTGTTCGGAATCGACCTCGGCGGCACAGTGGCCCTACACCGTTTGGAACCTTGTGCTAGACTGCATGTGTCTTTCGGACGGAGTATCTGGAATTGGAGGAACTTGTATGTATTGTACGGTTTACAAGTGGACGACATACACCAAAATCCGATCCCTTGCTGGGGCTTCTAACAGACTACCCATAACTAGATAGTGGTACATTATTGCACATGAATGCAATTGTTCATCAAGCCCAAGACGGAAGTGTGACAATGCCTAATAGGAGCAGTGTAAAAGAGTCGCCTGTCCCTCTGATAAGCAACATGGCACATCGTCCATGCACCGCACCCGAGCTTATAAGTTCGTCGATGCTTGCTATAGCAATTGGGATATCCGGAGGATACAAATTTTACAATTCGTCTGCAATCGCATAGAAGCACCTTAGATGACAGTAACCTTGCAAGATCTTCGACGATGCACCGGCCTCTTCATCGAATATTGTTTAGGGGTTGCGTTTAGTGGGACAATCTCTCGCCCTGTATTCTTACCGAGGGCCAGGTGACCACAGATACCTGTGTTGGGCACAACACAACATCGCATTTACAGCCGCCCTCCCTGAGAACGTCGTCAATATGGGAAAGGTGGGTTAGCAAAGTCATGATTCGGCAGTTGCATTAGCCGATGCCCGCCATTCCAAAAAGGATGAAGAAATGATATCGCCGGTCCCGCTCTCCTCGACCTTGTAGAGCTCGATGAGTGAGGACTTCTCTGGCTTGCGGATTCGCCACGTTCCCCCTTCGCTGACGGTGGACTTGAGAACTGGTTTCGTAGGTTAGCCCGGGTTCTGTGCAAGAGTTTCTCACTAATACATACATTCAAGGAATGCAGCGGTGAAGTTGATACAGATGTTTCCATCCCAGGTGTTCCGACCAACTTTCTTGACTTTGCTCGGTATGCTGGCGGTTTCAACTTCCTCCAGACGACGGAGAATACCGTGCTGGTCGCGGAAACCAACAATGATCTTAGGGACGCCAAGGAGAAATGACTGTGCCCAGAACTTTAATAATTTTCGCTCATACTTGAACATGTCGCGATCATTGCGAATCTCCGCAGACGTTTTGAGCTCCACCCAGTTAATAGGGTCCTCCTTACGGTCTGGTTTGCAGTCCCACACTGGTAGGATGTTAGCGCCGTGAATACACGGATCACGGGGAAAACTGTGCATACAGGCATCAACCTCTCCGCCAATGACTAGCTTCGTATGACCTATCCCAGTGCGGGCTACAGAACAGTATTGGGCGTTGTTGTTCACGGTTAGATCTTCCCGACTTTCAATCTCATGACGGGGTGTCGGATCCCACGGCTGGTCAAGTACCGACAAGGTCTCGAACTTGTACCCTATGCAGGATTTAATCATCTTGAAACATCAATGAGGCGTATAATGGCATGTATCTTACCCCAGTATGCCATTAACTCCTGGGAAGCCATCCCAGGTGGCATTCTTTGGCTATGTTGTATTTGCTTTTGCTGGTTTTTGAAGGCGTTGTTCTCTTCGATAAAACTGCGAATGCATCAGCATCTAGTCCTAGGGACCCAAGGATCTGAGCAGCATACATAGTTCCCTTACAGCCGTCTGCGTTAGCTAGAGAGTCCATCGAAGGTTTGGTGTTGGCAGCTCACCTGGAAGCACGTCGCATTCATTTCAAATCTAGACTCAGATTAATGGCAAAGAAAGATAAAGAGGAGACCTGAGTAACGACTACACACCCATTCATATTGTCAAATGGGGCCGTGAGGATCTAGTACTCGCAGGCGGCATCAGTTCCATGTCAAGCAAGCTATTGGGCTGGGTGCGATCGACCTTCGTCATCATGCCACGCCAAGTAATGATGTCGGCTTCGCATTTCTTTCCTGTCTCCTTTTCCAAGGCTATGATACTCTCTAGCAAAGCATCGAGATGTTCATCCCCGGCGTCATCCAATTTCTGGAAACTATCAAAGCCTTTGTTCAAATCGGCCGGAAGACTTGGTGGATAGTAGTACCGCAGAGACAGGTCTCCCAGATGAAACTCATGGTTATCATCGTAGGAGAAAGAAGTTATTTCCTGAGAGCTGGTCAAAACGCTACATTCATGTGGGCGCGGAAGCCATATGTAAGGTGATCCGGCTTACTCTGGGACGACGAATCGTCGTATTGGAGCCATAGAAGCGGCCAATCGGTTGGATGTCAAAAGTAGTTCGGTTCATCACTTATGTGGGTCCTCCTGAATGCCTTAACAGGAGGTATCAGTACATTAAACCAATGCTGGGTAGACGCGTTATGCTATATCAACAATGCAGGGATCGTTGGATATCAAGGAACAAGATCTAGTTGAGGCAATGCGCGAAGTCGATGCCTATAAGTCAAGACCCACAAACATAGACCTTCAGTGGCTGAACTAGATGAGTGGTGGGTAGACGTCGGCCGATCTAGAAACCTTGCAATAGGGGAGTTCCGAGTTACGGCTCCTTGGGTGTAGCAATGCGGACTCCGGAGTAGCTCATCTGCGGGTTCCCGTCCGTCAGTCAGCGGGCAACAAGTATCTAGTCAAGCACCACCGTGACCCGAAGCTTGTCCGCCCCTCCTCTCCCCACCAAAAAGCTGCTGTCAACTCCAACAAAGCGTCTTGCCTCTCAGCCTTCGGACTTTGATCAATTAAACAGTTGTCTTGGTTCCAAAGATTTGTATGCGCAGTCCTCATTCTTTCACTTTCCTCATTTTCATCTGATCTCCTTGACATCGGCCTCTGACGTGTTATTAGGTCACGATGACCTCCCGGATTGACAAGACGATTGCTCGACAGCGCGAGAAGTACGTGAACCTGATTCGGACCTTGTACTTAATGTTATACAATGACTCTTGGTCGCAAAAACACCAACTGATCTCGGTATCGCACGCAGGATTGCTTCTGGGGCCTACTACGAAGCTCACCAACAATTGCGTGTCATCGCAGCCCGATACATCAAACAAGCGAATTACGATGCAGCGGCGGATCTATTAGCTGGCGGGGCGACGGCTCTCCTCAAGGCTGGCTCGCAACAGGGTGCGTCCGCCAGTGGTGGAGACTTGTCCATCATGCTGGTCGCCGAGGTGTACAATAAAGCGGGTTGGGAGATCACTGGCGGTAGCGACGATGCCGAAGGGCGATCTCGCAAGAGTGAGTTTACCTTGATTGCGCTTTTTTACAGGAACAGACATGTCTAGGCTTTGATGTGCTCTTGATTGCTGATATCATTTGAAATAATTGCAGAACGCCTCATCCAACTGCTGCGCGAATTCCCCCCCGAGGAGCCCACGCGAAAACGGTTCATTCAGGAAATCATTGGCTGGAGTGCAAAATACGGACCTCTGGAGAGAGGCGACCCTGACTTGCATCACGCCGCCGGGTCGGTGTATGCGGAAGGTTAGTGGCGTAATGCTGTCCCGGTTCATGGAAATTTCCACTAACAACATTTGAAGACCACGAACCCTATGACGCCGAGAAACATTTGATCCTTGGCACGTCCGAGTCGGCGGAGACACTGGCAAAACTGGAATACGAGTGGTACACACACGACGAACCCCATACGGCGGCCATCTACGCATCCCGTGCCGTCTTTCCCTACATCCTGACCGGCAACCTTCGCAATGCCAACAAAGCTTTCCTCATCTTCACGTCACGACTTTCTTCTTCGAACCCTTCGCTAGGCGCACAGGACATCAGCAGTTCCAGCACGGACGCCCGAGTCTTTCCCGCATTGCCCCTTCTCAACTTTATCAACATGCTGCTTCTTGCGATTCAGCGCGGAAGCGCGGATCTATTCAAGCAACTTTCTACCCACTATGCCTCGCAAATCCGCGAAGTGGGCATATGGGATGATGCCTTGGCGCAGATTGGCGAGCAGTACTTTGCGATCAAGATTCCCAGACAAGGAAATCCTCTATTGGATATGATGGGCAGCATGTTGTTCGGAGGTCAGGGATCGCAGGGTCAGGGACAGTCGAGGAGAGTCGAAGCGCCGCCGAAAAGTCTCGATCTGGATTAGGTAGATTGATTGATTGCCTTCGGATAGGATAGGTCGCATGGGCGGCAAACACTGACACCAATACGTAATTCAATCATACTCGCGAATTAACCTCTGGCTCGTACATCCAATTGTCGTCCTGCAGCGCGGCGACTTTATTCCGAAGACTTTGTTGAATAAGATTCAGAATTTCTGTAGTAAGGTCAGTAAACGAGCTCCATGACATGGCATTACACTGCATTCGGTTAAAAACATACCGGCCGGCTCGTTGCTCATTTGCCTGTTTCGATTCCGGCACATCATTTCCACCAAACTCGCCTCGATTTCTTTGGACCGTCAGTGTACACCTCTAGATAAAGAACTAAGGGAATAAATGAACATACTCTCCTTTTCCCGCGTCCCAATCTCCGTCTGAGCCGTAGAATCAGCGCCAGCGCCACCAGGCCCGTCTTCAACACCTTCCATCTCGTCACCCGTATCCCCCGAAACCGGGGGCAAGACAGGAATATCAAGCTGATACGCGCCGTTCTGATCCCGCGTGACGATCTCCCCATTATCGACCGGTCCGGAGCTCAGCGATGACGTAGACCCGGAGGACGTAGATGCCAGCATACGGGAGGAAAGATCGGACATCTTGCCGTTGGCACCGCCATTCTGCATGGGTTCATCTGGTGTCGTGGCGGGTACAGGCCGTCTGCTTAGATGGTGATGGAAAAGGTTGCGACGGACGGATGTTGTCCCCATGGTGGCGGGGGCGGTGCTGCATGTACTGGCGCAATAGCAGTTCGAAAGAAAACGCAGGGGTGGGGGATCAGCTCGGGGTATTTGGATGATGCTGTTGGAGGCTTCAGCGACGGAGGGATGAGGTCGGGTTTTGTCGGTAGTGTACGGGGATCAACGAGAAGTCACAGCTGGTAAAAGGTTCAATCTCAATCAACTTCGTAGCGGCATTTTGTAATTCAGGGACAGATATGAAGCGTATTACACAGAGAAATCGGTATAATCCACGGAGTATGAAGGCGGAGCGATTCCTAAAATCCAAGGCAGAAAGCTAAACCGCTTTCGGTCAAATCAGAAAGACGCGTCGGTTATCGATTCGCGTCATTTGGCATTGTTCCCGAGCCTCCTCAGCGGCTTACTCGTTGATAGTAGATATCCCCGTCATAAACTACAAAACGAACGACAAGAAGGAAGAGGAAAAAGGAACAACAACTGAAGCTACCATGGCTAAAGCCGAATCATCTGCCAGCGCCGCGAAGAATGGCCTCAAGGCTGTCACCGCAGGTGCTCCTCCAGACTATGAGCTTCCATGGTGCGCACCCAACGAATCGCCCTCTTCTAATACGCAGCGCTAACATAAATGGCTTAGGGTCGAAAAATACCGACCTGTATATCTCGACGACGTCGTGGGCAACACCGAAACGATCGAACGATTGAAGATTATCGCCAAAGACGGCAACATGCCGCACGTTATCATCTCAGGCATGCCGGGTATCGGAAAGACGACGTCGATTATGTGTCTGGCGCGGCAATTGCTAGGGGATGCGTATAAAGAGGCTGTGTTGGAGCTCAACGCTAGTGATGAACGAGGTACGTTCTGTACGGGTGCAGGGTGAGGTGATGCGGTTTCTGACAACATGTAGGCATCGACGTCGTGCGGAACAGGATCAAAGGCTTCGCCCAAAAGAAGGTTACGCTGCCTCCAGGTCGTCACAAGATCGTTGTGCTTGACGAAGCGGATAGGTGAGGACCCTTGAGAGCTTCCTATCCTTCTGACAGTTCTTTGACTCACGGGGTATTATCTAGTATGACATCGGGTGCTCAGCAAGCGTTGCGACGGACCATGGAAATCTACGCCTCGACTACGCGATTTGCATTTGCCTGCAACCAGTCCAACAAGATCATTGAGCCCATCCAGTCGCGATGTGCTATCCTTCGATACTCCCGGTTGACCGATGGGCAAGTGGTCAAGCGCCTGAAACAAGTCTGCGACGCGGAGAAAGTGGAACATACGGAAGACGGTATCGCTGCTTTGGTATTCAGTGCCGAGGGTGATATGCGCCAGGCCATCAACAACCTGCAGAGTACATGGTCGGGATTCGGTTTTGTCAGCGGGGACAACGTGTTCCGCGTTGTTGATAGCCCTCATCCCATTAAAGTGCAAGCGATGATCAAGGCTTGCTGGGAAGGCAAGGTTGATGCTGCGCTGGAGACGCTTAATGAGTTATGGTATGTAACACCTTATATTGCACGCTTCGAGGTCATTTTCACTGACATGAGCAGGACGTTGGGGTACTCCTCCCACGATATCATCAGCACGATGTTCCGTGTCACCAAGACCATCCCGACATTATCTGAGCATTCCAAGTTGGAGTTCATCCGGGAGATTGGCTTTACGCACATGCGCATCCTGGACGGGGTGCAATCGCTCCTTCAACTGAGCGGCTGTGTGGCGAAGCTCTGCAAGATCAACATGAAACCGCAGCTTTTTGAGCCGCCAAAGGCCTAAGTTGACACGAGGAAAAATGAAATTTGATTTTAGCATAGATTAGGCGTTATGGCGCCTGTTTAATGTATAGACATATTAGTTATTTAAGTTTTCTATTGCTTTAACTTCTAAGAGACACTGAAACATGAGTCCAGGTGTCATCCAGTTTGACTATATACCGGGTAATAGTCCTAGCCAAGCTTATGAGAGACCCCTCTTGATGAAAGGGATTTGTATTACTTCTTTGCGCCCGGAACCGCAGGCATCTTAGCACCGGCAGGCGGGGTATTCTTGCTCTTAAACTCGTCGCACATTTGCTCGAAAGTCACCCATTCGACGCCTTCGTGTTTATTGATATGTTCGATAATTCTGGCCAGGATGAGCGTCTTGGTATATCCGTGACAAGGGGGGATGTTACTCACCTTTCATGCATGAGGATGACATGGGGACGACCCGACACGTCCGGGTGGATGGTCATGGGGAAGACGAACTCGTCATACTCTCGGTAAAAGTAGTCAAAATGATCCTTTGCAAAACAAAACCCATTAGCCCGGCCTTATAATGGAACCTTAGGGAAAAGACGCCGAGACAAACCTTCCAGATATCCTCAACATCCCTCGGGTTCACCCATCCATGGCTGTTAGCCGACTTCTTGATGAACATCATCGGCGGCAAGTCATCGATATACCAGTTCCCAGGGATCTCCACCAGACCAGTATCCTGGCCCCGAACCAACGGCTTCATCCAAGTCTCCGCCTTCTGCTTGTAATCGATCTTCGTCCACGAGTCTCCCGTGCGCAGCCAATACATCTGACAATCATGGTGAGACATAGAATGGTCGTATTCAATGCCGTACGAGAGCAAAATGTCCGCCATCTCTTCGCTCGTCTCCCACCACGGCGCGACGGTCCCCCGCGGCGGTTTGCCGCAGAAGTCCGTCAGCATGTGGTACGTCTTGTCTAGGATATCCCGCTGTTGCTCGATGGTCATGTCTGTGGGGTTCTCGTGGCTGTAGCCGTGCAGGCCGATCTCGTGCCCTGCGTCGCGGACCTTCGCGCATTCCTCTGGGAAGGTCTCGAGAGAGTGGCCTGGGATGAACCATGTTGCTTTGATGTTGTATTTCTCGAACATCTTCAGCAAACGCGTCGTGCCGATGTGGCCGGCGAAGAGGCCTACATGGGTGTTAGCTCTGGCTGATCTTATGTCTGAGCGAGGTGTTCATACCACGACTGATATCATTGGAGCTGTCTTCTCCACCATAAGATCCCAACCAGCCCGCGACGGCGTCGATATCCACTCCATAGCTGACCAAGATCCGCTTTTTGCCCATTGTGTCTGCTATCAAAGGCGAGGTATATCAATAAATGAGATCCAAATACACGGATATGTAAAGCTGGACGGGTTAGGATTTCTCAAGACGAAAATCGGAGGAGACTGCTATCCGCTCCTTATATGTTGGTGCGGGGAGCAGACAGGTGGGGGGTGGGGAGAGTGGGGAGTGTTGGCCATAGTAGCCATGAATGATCAATCAAGATAAGCAAAACTTCTTCTTTGCTCCGCTCTGATCCGAACTCTTTGGAAATACCAGGAATGTTAGTTAGACAATGATGCTGTACCTGCGTGGACAACTAGTGCAGGTGAGTAACCATGGTTCTCATACATATGCATGCGGGGAAGGTTATTCCTCTTATTGGCCACGCTGTGGACAATCGTTGTGGGATGAGTTTGCTATCAGTGATGCGATAATCAAGATAACAAACTGATACACAGTTTGGTTTTGTTACTGCCGACCTGTTTCTGTATTATCTTGTTCGTGGGCTTGTTGGAGACTTTGGAGAAGTATAACCGCGGCGTGGAGACGAAGCACTTGGTTTCTCCAATTCGCTGTTGGAACTCCAACCCATATCAATCGCCATCCAATTATGATTGTGATTGGATAGGGAGATCCTTATGGACTCACGAACCATGGAATGATTCCTAGTGCGTAAATACCCGACTTTGTCTCTCCAAACGTCAACCTTGGGGATGTTGGATGGAGAGAGGATTTGAACTCAACTCCACCCAAAAGTGGGGGTTAGATTGTGCTTGGTCCAAACTTACACAAAACCTACTCTACTATCCGGGCCTTGAATTGGTTACTCGTCTAAACAGTGCAGTCATTATTTACCAACGTCGTATACTCCTTTACAAGTATGCGGTATATCACTTGTTGGCTCTCCAAACCTTCTCGACCACAGAAGCAGCCCCCAACACAACCTCCTCATGGAGTTTCCTCCCAATAATCTGCACGTTAACCGGATGTCCATCCATAGATTGCGGGTCGTAGAGATTCCAGTTCCACGCGTCCAAGTCATTCCTAGGCTGATACGCCTCCGTCGGCCGTTGATCGATCTCCGCGCGCACACGGTCAACAGGGAACGTAACAGCCGGATAGTCCAGTAAATTCCATATCTTAGTGTATCCCACCCACCGCACGCTCCTATGGGGAATAGCCGGATGGGGCGTCGTGGGCGCCAGGAGGACATCGACTAATCTGCCCGAGGGGCCGCGAGTGGTATTCCATTCATCGAGGGATTTCTTCTGCAGCGCGACCTTCTGCTTGTTGAGCTGCCAGTACTCGTAGACGGAGATGGGTTTGCCGCGGTTGAGGAGCGCTTCGACGTGCGGTATGCACGGTTCTCCGGCGACGCTGATATCACGACGGATGTCTTCGCCTCCGTCGACTGTGTAGTAGAGATCCATGAGTCGAATGTACTCGGGGTGGTCGGATGCGTCCCAGATGATGACTTCGTGGCCGCTGTGTTTCAGCTTCTGGGATAGCTCGAGAAGCGCCCTTTCCACTGGGGGATGGACCTTCACGACTCCGTCGTCCAGGATCAAGCCGATTACTAGCGGCCGGGACTGGACTTCTTGGAATGCCGTCTCGTTCCAGGGGAGGGGAGCGCATCGCGGGTCGGACTCCCATGGCTTCGAGTCGGCGATCAGACGGCTGACGTAGCAGATGGATGCTAAGTCGCGCGCCATCGGGCCCACGGATGAGGGTACATGCTCCTGCCCTTCTGTGGAAACCGGGACACCATGGTAGGGGTATCTGGCGCTCTGTCCGGAGTTAAAACATTACAATCCGTTCATCATACCCAGAAAAAAAAAAAAAACAGATGTTCCTTACGCTAGGTTTGAACCCGTAGAGACCCATCAGACTCTGCGGTATCCTGACACTTCCGCCAATGTCGGTACCCAACCCCAAGAGAGATCCGTGCAAGGCCAAAAGAGCACCCTCGCCTCCAGTCGAACCACCAGGGGTGAAGTCAGGATTCCGCGGATTCACCGTCAATCCCCACAGAGGGTTATTGGTTTCGGCCCACTGTAAACCAAGACCGTGAGTCTGCGACGTCTTGCCATTGGGATCATAAATGAACGAACCATGATACTCTGGGGCAGATTCGTCTTGGCAAGAACAACGGCGCCCATGTCCCGCAGTATCTGAACCAAGACAGCGTCCTCTGTCGCCGGGGCGAAAGAACGGCCCACGTAACCGAGTGTCGTATCGACGCCTGCGACGTTGAACTGGTCTTTTACTGTGATAGGGACTCCGTGGAGTGGTCCTTTGAGTTGGCCTGTTTTCTTGAAGTGCTCGTCCAGAGTGCGAGCTTGTGCTAGTGCATCCTCGAAGACGACTTCCGTGATGCAGTTGGTCTTAAGCATCGTGTGTTAGCTGTGTTATAATGGTGGACTTTGATTGCCGACGCCACCCACCAGTTGATGTGCTACAACAGCCCTAGACGCGGTTAATCTCGTTACGAGAACCATCTCAAGTCTTGTACGTTCAACATGTGATGGACGTACCTCTTGATATAAGCCAGAACGACATTCTCGACAGTGTACTTTCCACTCCCAAGTAGCTCCAGGAGAGCAGGAATGCTATCAATGTCGGTGATTTCCTGAGCCACGGGGTCATTGGCGAGAGCAGAGCGTTTATGGACATCTTGAACTCGAGGGGGCCGCTGGTCCAGGTCGAGAACCATATAGTCCCGCATAGCTTGGTCCCTCAGGGCCCGTTTCTGGGAGGCCGTCTGCTCCCACGGTTGTATACTCCCCATGGTAGCTGTAATCACGAAAGTCGGGTGCTGTGCCTGCAGGAGGAGTAAGAAGTACTCTCGATCAAAGAGTGGTCTTTGGCCGCCGTGTCAGTATTTATTGACTAGTCCTAGTCCTAGTCCTTCAGGGATATTGACCAAGTCTGGAATAATTGGGCACGGTTTATCAACAATTTATTCTCGACCAATTGTTTGATAATGAACCACCCCTAGCGAGTCAACTTAGTCCATGGCCTATCTCAAGCCCTCCTCAATTCCGCGTACAAGATGCCGATACTTACCGGTACAGCGAGCTGGCAATAGAGCGAAATGCCGTGGAGATATGCGTGCTCCATATCGTTCCTGTAACCCCTCACCTGAGAGGCCTTTCCCTATTTTGTTCAATGGTGGGGTTGGTTCTATGCTAGCCTTTCTTGTATCGTATATTGCATCTACCACAATGGGTTGCGATTATCGATTAAATTACATGCGTACCTATATCACAAGCGATCCGCGTAACTATGTATATCCATCCACCATCTGGCGGATCAAAACCATGGGGAATTCCTCCAATAATAAAACAGTAGTCGAAGACAAAAACCCAAATCTCAGATTTGGGTTCAACAGGACATGATCAAGATCAATGAAGAGAAAAGGGCAGTAATCAAAATGCCGGTCATGGGCCATGGTGATCTTGATGCGACATCAGGAATTCTAAGGCATGCCAGCATTCGGATCAATGTGAGGGGTATCATATCCGGTAAGTTCGACTTTTTTAGGCGAACAAATATTAAAGGCGAGTATGAGGAAATTCGATATAGGGACAAGGGTGCAAACCCTCAAGTGGCGGGTGAGGTAGAAGGAAAAATAAGAACTGTGGTGAAAGAAAATGAAGAATGGCCTCGTTATTTTGACTGCCAGAACTTCCACCCAGGCAAAGATGTCCGACCGTCCCGTCGGTAGATGCGCCAGAAGTAAACCGGAACACCGGCAACGATAAACGCCACCACGATCAGGGTTTGGAGAGGCTCTGCGATGACCGCTCGACTGAGAAGGAACAGGCTCACGCAGCAGAAGATGATCGGAGTCGAGATCCACGTCCGGTAAGGGCGCTCCAGGTGCGGTTCTCGGATCCGGAGGACAATCAAACCGAGTACCGTGAGGAAGTAAAATATATAGCCAGCAACGCCGTAGAAGGTGACGAGGGTCTTGAATTCACCGAGGATGACATATACCAGAGTAAGGCCAGAATTGAGCGCCATGGCGTTGATGGGGGTGTATCCGATCCGTGCCCCTTCCCCGAAGAGACGAGCGACTGACTTGCTCGCCCACGAACGACGCTGCAGTCGATTCGTCGACCCGCTGGACGGCGAGCCCCCAGTCCACAGACTTCCAAACATCGAGGGCAGGTAGCCCTCCTTGCCCGCCGCATATACGAGACGTCCGCTGGTGAAGATGGTTGCGTTCAGGGCGCCGAGACAGCTGGCGGAGACGATCAGGGCGAAGATCAGAGCACCAACGCTTCCGAAAACCTTGTCGCCAAACTGAACGGCGATCGTGTTGCTCGATTCAATGGTCGAATGGGGCAGCACGAGGAAGTAAGAAACATTGGCAAGCAAATAAGAAAGGATCACTAAGGGCATCGCCGTATGGATCACCCGCGGAAGGTCGCGATTCGGATTCTTGAACTCGCCCGTGACGTAGTTTGTCTGTCGAAGTGGTGAGCTAATTGTTAGGAAGTGGATTTTTGGGAAGGGAGAAAACAATTCGGCCACGCACATTGTCCCAACCGTCAAAAGCCCACAGGCCTGCATACAAGGCCACCGCCCAAGCCGATACATCAGTGCTGGTGCCCTCAAACCAGCCAGTCTTCCACTCTTTGCTGGCGCTTCCACTCGACGAGAGCCCGGTCATTGCCACAATGATACCGATGATGGTGACCCCGAGCAGGGCGACAAATTTGAGAATCATGAAGAGATCACCGATGCGGGCAGCCACTCGAGTCGAGATGCAGTTCAACAGGGTCACTAAGAATAGCCCACCGAATGCGACGGCTTTTTCGACCCAGGGGCTCAATGGGACTTCAGCGCCCATAACGGCCCGGACCACGTATTCGCCAAAGATGATGGCGATAATGGCCGCACTTCCTGGTTTCAGCACGAGAACAGCACACCACGTGAATAGGAAGCCCGTCATCTCCCCGAAGATCTTGGACAGGTAGACCTGCGAGCCACCGTTCAAGGGGATTGCGCCCCCGAGCTCGGCATAGCTCGCAGCGCCCGTCCATGCCAAAATCCCCGCAACAACCCATGCAATGAGCGACGCCCCAGGCGACCCCGCATTGGCGTTGACTTGACTTGGGGAAGAAAAGATGCCGGAGCCAATGATCAAACCCACGACGAGGGACAGCCCGTTCATGTAAGTCAGGGTCTTATTCCGTTCCAACGCTCCATCCGTGACACCGGCCTCGCGATCCAGCGTCGGCCGACCTCCCAAGGGTGCATATCCACCGGCGGTCTGCGATAAGGGGAAGAGGGTGTTTCCGAAGTCGAAGGCGGACGAGACGGAGTAGGAGCGGGTCAACCCCGTGCGCTCCCCGAGAGGGTCTTCATCCTCCAGAGAGAGTTTGCGCGACGAGGAGATTCCCGAGGGAGATGACGAGCGAGACTCCCTCGAGTCGGGCGAGGAGGAGGCTAGCGAGGCGAGTTCGAGCGAGTCCCGAGAGGCATTGCGGTTGTTATTGCCCGATCGGGTACCAGCGGCCGGGAACGGTTCATGGGACATCACCGGGGAGGTTGCGATATGCGATCCGATTGAGAATTCGTTCGAAAAACTATTTATTTATTTGGTGGTCACCCTGTTTGGTGCTTTGTTTGTTTGTTCCCCTATCCAAATTCGGCGACTTTCGAGGCGAGGTCGTGGTTATGGGTTATGGTGGGCGGCAGAACGAGCGACAGGACGAGAGGTGTTGGCGGGGGGGGTGTCGGAGTAGACAAATCAAAAGGAGAGAAACAAAGAAAAACTAGAGCAAAGAGAAGCAATGACGATCGATACAAAGACAGTGCCCATTCCTATGAGGCATAGATAGACAAGGGGGATGAGAGGGAAGAAGGAGAGAACGAAGGGAAAGAAGGAAGCGGAAGATGCTAATAAAGGATATAAAGTTGGGGTGACGATATGGCAAAATCTGCGTGGCATTAGTGGCAGAAACAGCTTCTCTCCTCCCCATTGGTAGAATCCCGGGCGGTAACCCCGGCGCGTACGCATACAGGCAGGTGCATTTACTCCTGAACCCCACTGGAAATAACACGGAAACATCCTAGTATGATGATGATCTTCCCGTCCGATCGTCCATCGTCCCCAATCGGCTCAAGATTTTCTCCTGTCACGATTATTCTATCCCACCCTCTCCTTCCATTGTCACCAGCTACATTCCCCCCCTCAAATACATGCGGAGATACTCTCATGAAGTCCAGATTCCCGGTCCGAGGCTTTCTGCGATTCAACTCCTCCGCCCCGCCAACCAAACCGGCCCCTCCCCTCCCGGCGCAATCGAGTTATGAGCATGGATCCTCGTCATCTCCGCCCAAGAAACAGGGCCTCTGGTTCCGGCTGGCTCTCGTGAGTGCCGCCGCGGCCGGAGTAGGCGCCTATGTCCGATCGCAACAATCCAAATCCTCCGTGTTAAACCCCGTCACCTTCACCCCCTACTATCTCGTCTCGAAGGAACCCGTCTCGTCGACTGGCAGTCTATTCACGCTTCGACCATCCCACGCCGGCGGGAGTAACTCCCAGGTGTACGAGGATGCTTGGAAGACGGGGGTCTGGAGCGTCATGTTCAAACAGCCCCAGCTGCAAATCGGCCGGGACTATACACCTCTACCGTCGTGGACAGCCGTGGAGGATCAGGAGGGCTCCTTGCGCTTTTTCATCCGCCGCGATGCCTTCGGAGAGATGTCTCGATATCTGCACAGCTTAGAAGTAGGGACCCCGGTGGATATCCGCGGTCCTCGCATCGAGTGTGAGATCCCGCCCGATACACAGCAGGTTCTGTTCATCGCGGGCGGGACGGGAATCGCCCCAGCCTTGCAGGCTGGCTATACGCTTCTTTCCCGGGACGGCCCATCCCCGGAGTCGAGGAGAATCCATATTCTTTGGGCGAACCGGCAACGGAACGATTGCGCTGGTGGGCGAAGCGATCACACGGCAACCACCGGAGAAGCCAAGCAATCGTGGCTGTCAAGTCTCTTCCGGTCGTCGACGGACCACCAGAAGCCTCCCTCGGATATCAACCACCGGCCCTCTCACGTCGTTCAAGAATTGGAAGCGCTCAAGGCGCAGTACCCTGGACAGGTAACGGTCGAGTATTTCGTCGACGAGGAGGGCACCTCCATAACGAAACAACACATCACGGACTTTACGAACTCGTCACCTGCCCAACAGCGCAAGATGATCCTCGTTTCCGGGCCAGAAGGCTTCATCAGCTATATGGCCGGGCCCAAACTCTGGGCCCAGGGGATGGAGCTCCAAGGACCGCTGCGGGGGGTTCTCCGAGAACTGGACCTGAAAGATTGGGCGGTTTGGAAATTATGAATGCGTTCCATGACCACTCGGTTCTCTTGCGACTGTAACGAACGGGGCGCGGTGTTTATATAGATCACCTGCGTGTTGGTTGTGTGTATATTATGTATTGTATCAATAGACAAGATAAACAGACGGATATAATAAAGCCTCGAATAGTGCATGAGTGGCCACATTGTACATATTTGCCTTAGAGATGATACTTTCCAGGCGCTGCCGAACCTTTAAATAATAATCAATGTTCATCACCTCCAGAAGTGACGCTCTACAGTTCCCATAACATAACAGTCCAGCCTAGATCTGTTTAAACGTCAAGGAAAGCTACCACTCTACAACAGGATACTTCCAGAATCTCCAAACCCGAGACCTCTCAAAATGCCCAATGAGAATAGTCATGCGAGGCTCGATCTAAACATAATGCATTACAACGTACACCAGACGCTCGGCTCGGCTCAAGCCAACAAGCTTAGGAAAACAACCACAGTAAATCTAAAATGAAAGGGTATATCGATGGACAGCTGCAGCAGACGCCGGCGCGTCGAAAAGATGACGCTTCGCCATACACCACGCAACGGCCATTTATTCTTTCTCGCGTGACTGACATGCACATATAACATTGGCACACGAGTGCGCACAGAACAGGTATTGGAATCAGGGCCAGAAGGAAAGAAAAGAACAAGTTATGTACATCGGTGAAAAAGATCAGGACGAGTGAGTGGAAAAACACAAGGGGGGTAAACAATGGCCCCTGGGATTATTGGGTTGCAGTTGGAGACAAAATATGTACCCTTGAACAGAAAGCTTGGGGAATTGGCCAATCCATTTGATATTGGCGAAACTGGATTGCACAAACAAAGTGAAGAAAGGAAAGATAGAAAAGGAAGGAATGCGATATCGAGCCTGGTCCCATCACGCTGGCTAATGTCTTGAGGACCACACACGGGGAAATGAAGTATCAAATTAGAAGGTAAAATAAGAAAGGGTAAAAGGAAAGAAAGATAAACCGGAGAGAAGAAACGAAAGAAATGAAGGGCAAAAAAAAAAAATCCTGTCTGAGGTAAAAAGCACAAGTTGCCGAAGGAATATTATACATACTTAATGAACAATAGTAAATACTTCCGAGACGGCGTCAGTTGGGTTATCAACACATTATATTATGGACAAGGTAGGGTAGGGTCGTCCAGACGCGAAGGAAAACAGCGTAGCACGTCATGGCGATGGCTCAGCCGCGGCAGGTTGACCCTTTGGAGAACCTTGAGCTGACTCGTCGCCGTCTGAGGAATGGCGGTTTGGTTCAGATACCACGATAGATGGCGGGGATGTTGGTTGCGACGCTGCCTCGTCATCAGGGTCGATGGGATCGGTCCCTGGAGGCGTCGCCGGCTCTGGCAGAGGTGATATGACAGAGCCATCGCCACTGTCCTTGCTTCCGTTGGTAGGTCCATTCCGTCTGCGAGCCCGACGCTTTCGCCGCTCTTCCTCGGCGCCTTCTCTTCGTCTTCGGGTACGCTCTGGATCTGTGTTGTCTCGCAAACCCTGTAGCATGCTCGCAGCACGATCTGCCACATCTTCGCTCTCGGATATCTGAGATCCTTTGGCGTCAGAGCCTGGTTCTGTCTCCGGATGAGGCGGGCTCAGGAGGCCGGTTTCAGTCGGGCCCGCATCGGCATCGCCCTCAGCAGCGGTGTTGCTGGCCCCGTCTCCGTTGCCCGCACTCTGCTCTTCGCCAGCATTATCCGGTATTTGTTGCCCCGAAGCGACCCGAACCTGGTGTCGCTCCTTCAGCCTGGCGCGGCGGCGACGATCACGCTGGTCTCTGGCTTGGGGTGCCGCAGCACGTAACTTCTCCAGGAGCGAATCCATGGCTCCGCTCGTGACCGGGGATTGAGGGCTCTCAGTAGTGGCCCCAGCAGCATTCGCAAGGCCGGCGTTGATGCGCTTGCGGGCCAAAGACGCTTCCATCCGCTTCCGCGTCTCCTCCAGCGTCATGTTCTTCTCCTTCGATTTCTAAACAGGTGATTAGCTGGGTATTCCGCGACGTCCAGGGTTGCTGGAGGACACTTACCTTCCACTCGAGCAAGAAAGAGGCCAGCTTCGCGAAGAAGTCCCGCCGAGCGCCTTCGTCCGTATTATCCTCTCCATAGAAGACCATGATATCGTCAAAGCTCTTGATCATCTCCTCCAAATACAGTTGCATCTGCTCGGCCTTGCGCCGAGCATCCTTCATGCTCCGCTGTACAATCTGGCTGACGCGATCCTGGGGGTGGAACTTCTTGGGATCGCTCAGGTTACCCGCGTCCAGACTAGACTGTACGTTCTTAATGTTGTCGCAGTACTTCTTGGCATCCATGCGCAGCTGGTCAACATTGAGTTTTTGCAGGCTGACCACACCAGCGATCTCGTCCACAAAGTCCTCCCATTCGGGATACTGGTTGCGCACAATACGTTCGACAAGATCCGCGAACGTAGTCTCATTCTTGTCGTCTTTGACCATGCCGAGACGGGCTAGAGAGCCCAGCTTGAAGCCCTGGGCTTGCTTGTTGGCGTCATTCATGAAATTGCCGATGTCCAGGATCAGACCAAGGACATTCATGAGAGCAACCGAATCCCTGAGAGACTCGCTGACCTTGACCACTTGCTGAAGTTTTGTGGAAATATGCTCGTAGTCGGGCTCGAACGACCGTGTCAACGCAAGTGCGCGCATTCTTGCCTTCCAGTAGTGGTTCAGTTCAAACGCAGTGTACAGATAGATCTGGTCTTCACGGCTGAGTTCATTGGGATCCGATTCTCTCTCAGCGCTAGCTGCATCAGGGCCTGTCCAGTCCCGGCTATACGGAGCCATCAGTTTCGAGATGTTCTCTGGGATGGTGCACAGCTCGTCGCGCTGCATGAAGTCCATGACGACGGCGTTGTCCAAGATATCTGGATCGCAGTGAATCACCCTCCGCACGACCTCCTCGACCGGGAACTGCGAGAATTTGGCCATCGCGATCTGGAAGTTCTTCGACAGTTCATTGGAGATGATCTGTTTCTTGTCCTTGCGCTGCTTGGCTGCTGCGCCACCGCCAAATATCTTGGTCTCTTTCGCCATGAACAACCTCTCCACTTCATCCAGCACTCCCTTCTTCGCCAATTCGGAATACTTCTCCTCCTTAGCTTCGGGGTTTACTGCATGGGAAGCCCACACTGTAACCTGTGGAGTATCGACCTTGTCCCAATGCAGTGCCTTGAGCTTCTTCTTGGGCCTGATTGAGGAAAGAACACTGGTCGGGTGAGGTGTAAGGCCCTGCGAAGCCACATAATTGGCTCGCCAGCCTCCATACGAGGCGCCGGGCGGTGGAGGCGGAGGGGGGGCACCAAAGGACATGCCAGGCGGTGGAGGCGGAGGGGGAGCACCAAAAGACATGCCAGGCGGTGGCGGAGGCGGGGGAGGTCCCATTCCACCGGGGATACCTGGTGGGGGAGGAGGAGGAGGCGGCGGGGGAGGGAACCCGGCCCCTCCAGGGGGGGGAGGCGGTGGAGGTGGTGGTGGTGGGGGCGGAGCGCCAGCAGCGAAGCCTGGAGGCGGAGGGGGAGGTGGCGGAGGAGGGGGAGGAGGCATAGCAGCGGGGAGGTCCTTCTCTTCGGTTTGCCCATCTTTCTGGGCCACCGACGATTCGGTCGGCGTGGCCTCGGGATCTTCGGGCTGCTCTGGAGCAGAGGCCTTAGTATCCGATTCTTCGGCATCGCCACCAATTTTCGGAACCTTGAGAGCGATCTCTCCCAGCAGGCCAGTCGCTTGCTCTGGGTTCATGCGGGGTCGCTGCGCCATTTGATCGAAGGTCTCCTCGTCCTCGTCCACCTTTTCTGGTCTTGGCGCAAAGCTATGCTTCCGATAAACAGACCCTAATGCGTTTGCCTCGAGATTGCGGCGGGCTTGCTCCTGGAAATCGTCGCTTGGCTCGGTGTCCCCATCCATCTGCTCCCGCAATTCGCGCAGTCGGTCGGAGGGCCCGTGTTGACCCCATACCTTGCCCTCCAGCTTGAATTGTGTCTTGGTCCTTTCGAGCTGCATCTCTAGTCTCCCAAGAAGCTTCTCCCGATCCAGGATGCCTCTCATCTGCGAAGGATCCGTTTCCGCAAGGTTGTTGTTGTTGTTGCTCTTCTTGGCATTCGATGCGGCGATGTCCTGAGCATCCCGAAGCATCAGATACAGCTCGCGGGTTTCCAGCTCATTCCGCTGGAGTTCCTGGGCACGGAGTCTCTGGACGTCGGCAAGCTCCGCTTTGACAGACTCATTCTGTCTCGCCTGGAGCTCAATGACGCCGGTTTGCTCATCGATCTGCTTCTGCAACTTCTTGACCAGGCCGTCTGCACCCAGTTCGACCAGCGCTCGCATCTCATCCCGTTCCGCGATAGCAGCCTCCGCGATCTGCCGGGCTTCTAAGGATTCATCGTAGACCTGTCTAGCCTCTGCGTCCGTGTGGAGGCGGTCCAACAGACTCTGGACGGTGAACGACAACCCTTGGCGGAGGTCCAGATCGGGCAGTCGCCTATCCATGGCAACATAGCTCAGCATAGCATCCACAAGCTGATACATTCGAAGGCCGTCCTCTCCCGAGTTCTCCCGGATCAGGAGCATGTGTTGCATCGCAGAGAGGAAATAGTCGTGCGCCCTGGTGCCGTTGATCTTCGTGGCGATTGCGTCCGTGATTTGCAACGGATCGCTCATATCCTTGACATCGCCCTCGATGCTGTCCTTCGTACTGCTTCCTTCCCGCTGCAAGAGGTCCTCATAGTCGATGGCCTCGTTCTCACGGAAACGCTCGATCTGCTTGTCAATGACCTCGTACTGGAAGCCCTCCATCTTCGTCAGGAGACGCTTGACGCCGCAAGAGATGAACTGAGCGCGAATGTGGCATCGTAGTTGTAGATCGCCTTCGCCTGCGTCTACCATCATGTTGATCAGCAGCATGGTGGAAACAGCATATTCCATCAGAAGATTTTCTATGCCAATTCCGCCACTGCGATACTCTTCGCTGGCACCGACCAAACTGCCCATCTTCCCACGACCGTCGACGGTGACTTCAACGATGCGCATCCATGCATCAAAGCGGCCAGTCTCGCCCTGGTTATTCTTGACATGGTCCATGGCCTGGAGTACTTTCTGATGGCCGTAGCCATCGGCCCAGTGACAAAGGAATGTCAAGACTTCGCTGACAAGCTTCCTGGTGTTCAAGCGCGGCGACAACAGCGAGCTCACAAGGGACACTATCACCTGCTGGTGCGATAGCGCATCGTCCGCCCCGTATTTGTTGTTCATCAGGGCTTTCAAGCATTTGACGATGTCGTATTCACGGTCCAGATCTTTGTCTCCGGTGGGAGGCGCGGGCACCGGACCCGATACCTTTCGCCGATTGATCTTTGCAAGGACATTTGTCAGGGCTATTTGGCCTTGTGCCTCGACAAACGCCTTCACCCAGCTGATGGGTTGTGTCCTCAAGCTGACACTGAGACTCGCCAGCTGCTTTGACGTGATGCTGTCGTCCATGACCTTTTTGACGTACCACTCCGGGCTACCTTCCTCGTCGGCGCGCTCGAGGATCCCGGACGGGCCATCATGGCCGTGTGTTTGCCGTGCGTTTTGTTTCCGTTTCATCTCCCCTTGTAGCTCCGTCAGTCGGTCCTGATGGACAAGGGTCCACTTCTTCGAAGCGGGATATGCCACCATCTGTCGTTTAGCCTGTTCCGGGAGATTCTGCCAGCCTCTCTTTTGCATCAGCTCCAGAAATAGCTGGTCTACTATCCGGTCATCCCTGGGTCTGGCGAGATACTGTTCGGGATTTGGCGCCCTCGGCAACGGGGAGGTAGACGGGTGAGAAGCTTGCCAGGCCGCTTGTGTAGCTGACAGCCGATTGGAATTTCCGTTGGGAAAGTAGGTGTTGCGATCCGCCGAATGCGAAGACGTCAACGTACGGCCGGAACCATCAGAAGAAAAATAGTTGGACCCTCGCGTATTGGAGGACAACGACGAGTGGATACTAGCCTGGTCCAAGGAAACCCGCGAGTTCGAAGAAGAATCCATTGTTGAGGAGGAGTTGTGACTGAAACCGGTGTTGGCTGCCGAACTCCCGGGTCTTGCCCACTGCTGATACCGGGTTCCCCTATCACCAGACGAGCTGCCGGTCATAGTCACGTTTGAAGCGTGAGGCGGCGGACGGGGGCCAGTAGGGTGCGAGTAGACGTTGGCGTCTCGAACAGCATTGGGATTCCACACCGGATATTGATGAAAATCGCCCGTTTTTGCAAGATTACTCGGGGATGGTTCTTTCCGCGGCGACACATCGGGCTTGGAAAGAGAATCCACGGGGATAGGCGACCTCGTATCGGCAGGCAAGCTTTCAAAAGGTAAAGCCGTGATGACGCCCGCGGACGGCGCCAACGTGGCGGGATCAATCTCTTGGGGGTAATCGACGGACTGGACGGAAGAGCGTTTCGAATGCCTAGAAGAACGAGAGCCGGCGGCGCTTCCAGGTGGTGCGAGACTGTCTAGCGACCCATGTCCATCATAACGATCCTCCACGGGCCGGTCCTTGTGTAGCTTCCTTCCGAAAAACGACTTGCCACCCGAGGTTTGTCTCGATTTGTCAGGTGCGGAGGGGGGTGGCATCTTGACGGACGTCGCTGGCCGATGCAAGGCGCAGCATGAGCGGTGGACTGGACCCTCGTGTCAAACAGTTCTCGTTGCGTTGGTCGCTTATCGGATCGGGCAAAAAAAAAAAAAAAAAAAAAAGAAAGAAAGAAAGAAGTGTCAAGAGGATGCCACCGTAGCCTTCGGTAATGAACGTGTAGGGGACATTCAACTCCAAAATCTATACCCGATTTTCGTCTCTGCAATCGGACTAGTCAATCAGTTGTGAAGACCAACACCCGCTGCGGAGCAGCAGCGAGGAGGGAATCCCAAATACGGAGACTCCACCACCGGTCGATGTCGTATGTAGCGCACACACTCACAATGCGGGCACCAACCCGGAAGTAGAGAGGCGATTCGATATCAACACCCGATAGGTTCGCGCAGAAGGGGTTGTATGCAGGAGATCGGCCTCCCTTGGACGGTTCAGGGCTGGATGGAATTGAGGATGCACGGGGCATCAGGGGAGGGGTCTTGGGACACAGGCGGCTCTAGAACGCGGTAGCAGCCGCCCTTGCACGTGACGGCCGGACCCAAGGGGCGGTCACGTGCGGGCGTTATCGGGGCCGCCTCAGGCACGGATGGCCGGCTTACTTGGAGTGCTGTGTGATCTGGATTGAAGCAATTGTCTGGTCAAGTTTGATACGCTGATTGCAGTCCTACACTCACACTCGATCGGTCGATGTCGGTTTCATGAGGTGATCAACGCTTTGACAGATACTGGATTACACAGCCACTCAATCGGGGCCTACCCGTCAGCACCATTGGACCTGAATAGGCACCCATGCTACTCGCTACGCTTCTCTCTACCTCCCTCTCGTCGCATGCTCGTCGCATGCTATAGCGGATATATACGAGCCGACAAGTCGCTATAGGTCTATCAGCGGGGTTGTCGACTGCCAAACGCGGGACAGAAACCGCTCGATCTCGGGGTTGAGTCCTCGAACACGACCCATCCAGTCCAGATATCAAGTTAGATCCAAGATGGGGTCAGCAGCAAGCTTTGCGAAGGTCTGAACCCTTCTCCTACAGCTCCATTGCCCACGATGGCATCCACAACATGCGCACAATACACACAACATACACACACACGCGCGCGCGCGCACGCATGCATGACATACATACTAACCCACTCATCCAGACAATCCTCATCCCCGCCTCAATCTCCCTCGCACTCTACCTCCTCCTCTCATTCCTCATCATCCCCTTCTTCCGCCACTACCACCAGCGCTACTCGCAGTACCTCCCACTCGACACGATCTCCGCACACACCTCCACCCTACGCGACCGGGTAGCCGACGCCATGATGCGCTTCTTTCTCCCCACGTCGTGGCGACGACACCAGCTGACCGATCATAACGACAATATCAGCATATTGGACGAGGAGGGTGAGATTATGGTGGGCATGGATATGGGGCCTGGGCGGCGCGAGGCGCTGGAGAGGGGGAGGCATTCGCCGGCTGGGACGGATAGTCGGTTGAGTAGGGATTTGGAGGAGGGGTTTATGGATGATAGTGATGATGAGGGGGATCCGAGGGGGGGTCGTCGGTGATGGGCGGTCTTCTAGAGTGGGGTGAGGAACTGTATATATTTTTTAATTCATGGGGCTGTCGGCTGGAGATAATGGTGGTTGAAAGGGTGGATTAAGGAACCTCTGAACCTGTTTCGCAGGCTGTCTATAGGGGTCTTGCATACATATACATATTGGTTTTACAAAGCTAGGTGAGTGAGCTCAACCACGGCTGGAGGTACTTCCGGCAAACTATACACAGACAACCTTCCCGACTGCGTAGAAAGCTATCTACTACCACTCTATTACTCAAGCAAGTTTGAACAGTAAGAACATTAAATTTTAGGTATCATAACAAATCCACAATACTAATCACAGGCCCCGACGTTGATTCATTTCTTCGTGCGCTGGCCATAAGCCTTGGTAACGTAGTCACCGTCCTTGACAATGAGATCCTCCAACTTGTAATCATGCTTGCCAGAGAAGTAGCTCTCGAGGATAGCCTTGGTGCCGTTGGCGTAGCGGATCTGGGCATCGATGGAGGTACCGGACATGTGGGGGACCATGGCGTTGCCGCCGCCCCACGGGTGCTGGGCGTAGCGCAGGGGGTGGTCCTGAGGAGCGGGCTGGGGGAACCAGACATCACCGCCGTAGCCGCGCAGATGGCCCGACTGGACGGCTTCGGCAACGTCCTCCTTGACGACGATGGCGCCACGGGCGGTGTTGATGAGCCAGGCTCCTGTGTCTTGTCAGTCTACGGTTCTTTCGTTGCATGAAACCGGGGATGGGCGGGGAGGCTTACCCTTCTTCATCTTGGAGATGAGATCCTTGTTGAACAGACCGCGAGTGCTCTCGTGCAGCGGGCAGTTGATGGTGACCACATCGCACTGGGCCAGCATCTCCTCCAGGTCGTCGACGCGACGGCAGCCGATCTCCTTCTCGACCTCAGGGCTAAGAGGCTGGTAGTCGTAGTAGAGCAGCTCCTTGCAGTCGAAGGGCTTCAGGCGGCGGAGCACACGCTCACCGATACGGCCCACAGCGACGGTTCCAACCACCTTGCCCTCGAGGTCGTACTCGTTCTTGGCCACGGCGGCGACGTCCCACTCCCCGCGGACGATCTGCTCGTGAGCGGGGACGAAGTTGCGGACCAGGGTCAGGATGGTCATGACGACGTGCTCAGCGACCGAGACCACGTTGCAGCCGGTCACCTCGATGACGGTGACACCGCTGTTGGTCGTGTTGGCGGCATTGAGATCGACGTGGTCCGAACCGACACCGGCGGTGATGGCGATCTTCAGGTTCTTGGCCTTGGCCAGACGCTCCGCAGTCAGATAACCGGGGTGGAAGCTATCATCGGGATTAGTGGGGCTGATCAATAGTCAGACCAAGAGGCGATGGGGGGAACCTACGGAGTGGTGATGATGACCTCGGCGTCCACCAGTTCCTTGTCGAAGGTGGAGTTCTCTCCCTCCTTGTCGGAGGTGGTGACCAAGGTGTGACCCTGATCCTCGAGCCACTTTCGCAAGCCCAGCTCGTTCTCGGTGGTGCCCAACAGGCCGGGCTGTTGTCTGGCGTGTTCACCGCCCTGTTTGTCCTTGTTAGATGTTCCTGACTCCGCTTCCAAGGTTGCGATGAAGAGATGATGGAGCACTTACGTCATAGAGAACCATAAGAACTTTACCCTGTAAGCTCGCCGATGCGGTTAGCGTACGTGCACCACCGATACGATTCGTCGTCGGAGCCTGAAAGGGACTCCGGGCCATTGGCATGCATCTGGCTTTCGTCGAGGAGAGGAGAGAGGCAGCTGGACGCTGCAGCTGGCGGGACAAGGAGCGGACAAATACCATTTTGAAGAAAGACGTGTATCACGTGTCAAAAAGAGACAGAAAGAAGTTGTGATTAAGAAGCGGACGGTTCTTCAAGAGGGGTCAGCATGGTTTTAAAAAGAGGGTAGACCCCAGGGGAGTGGGGGTTGGAATGTAGGAATGCTACGTACCGGTGACGGGAATAGACTTCGAGATGCAAGGTCGATGAGCTAATCGACCCGAAACAAGTATGATGTTGATGAGCTGGTTTGGGATGGGAAAAAAGTCAAACCATCAGGGGAATCGTTTGGCTATTATATATAGTAATTTCTGAGACAGCTTTTTCCTGTTTTCCCCTACTTCCCAACATGTTGTCATGTCGGAGATCAGTCGCTGGGTCTGTCTCCTCCACCCCCCCTTGTCCCCTCATCATATTTGCCGCCTTGTTCAGATATCGTTGACCTGGCCCATCCATGAAGAGTCGTACCAATTGGGTTGGGCGGGTCCTGGTTGGCACTGAGGGGAGAATTCCATGAGGTCAGACCCACTCTCTGATTGGATTGCACCTGGATGAGAGGAGAGGGGAGACCTGTAGCCATAGCCATGCGGTGGGACGCGAATGATGGGTTGGTGAGGAGGTGCTTTGCTGTTCTCCGCACCGGAACTTAGCCGGGTTGATATTGACTGACAGGCTGGGCCCCTCAGACCACCACCTATGTGGTTAAGGTTGTACTAGAGGTAGGGACCTTCTCTATTCCTTGTAGATTTGTAGTAGGGTGTAGATGTGGGGCAAAATACATGCATGCTAAGTACGTACGTAGAAAACAAGCTACAACTTCCTTTGACCTACCAGATGAGTAGGACCAGAATAGTGTCATTCCATGAAACTAGAATATGATTTTCTTCTCAAAGTACTACGCAGGCCAACCTCAAGCCGCGAACGTTGCTCTTCCAATGGAACGAACCAGCGGGACCAATACATTGCTGTCCCCTCACGCACTATTCCGCAATCGGAGTCACCCCGCACGAGGGGTCTACTAACCCCTCATGAGGAGACTACGATTATTGTTCACCCCTCACCACATTCCTCAATTTATCTCCGGATCATCCTCTCATTTACATTAGGAGAATAATAGATAGATCTATATTTGCTGTATTAGACTAGCAGGGATCAAGAAATAGAACAGAAAAATATAAAAGAGATACATATCCACAACAAAATGTGATAATGAGACGAATGTCCCAGCGAAATACTGTCACCAAAACGTCACTCCAAAATCTATACCCACAACCCATGTCATTGTTTCACGTCCGAGTTTCCGCCGTACCACCACCGACCGATCATATCGCCCTCATGTAAACGGGACAGATAACCATTGTCACCCCTAGAACCAGCACTATCCGTACAATGGGGCCAACCAGGCAAGAAAAATCCGAGATCCGCATGTTGAGAACCCGCGAACCAATGGTTGCTCAACCGTGAGGGGAAGATGAATCCAGCCTATCCACTCCACTCCATTCCATTCAGGTTCCAGGCTCTAGGTAGGTTCCCCTCAGCTCTCTCCTCTCTCCTCTCTCCTCTCTCCTCTCCCCACCTCCCCCAACACTACCGACAACTGGCTATGGAAATGGGGGCAACATCACACGACTTGCACGGACTGGTTGGGGATAATGGATGAGCACGGTCGGTGGGTAGGTGTGTTTGCGACTAGGGTTGTTATCTGTGAATGTTTGATGGAACAAGATTTTGTTTGGGGAGAACATCATTTTGGGCTCTTGAGGTCAAGATTCGAAGCTATGGTTGTACGTATCGTTTGCTCTCGGGGAGATCTAATCGTAATCGGTTTCAGTATGAGACCCCCTATCCCTTCTTTCCGGTGCCCTTTTTTTTTAACTCCCTTTGCTCATTTTGAAAAGCATGAGAATCTTATTTCTATAGTTACACGTCGATTAAATATACGGTCTATTCAACCACCAAACGATCGGAATGGCCCAACCCAGGCTAGAATACAACATTCACCAGCTTCCCCCCCTTAACAACAATCACCCGCCGTCGCTTCTCCCAATCGTTCTTCTCCCGCAACCACACCCGTCCCTCCTCAGTATCAAGGAGACGGTCGATGATCCACGCTTGCTCTTCGACAGTAGGACCGCCTTGGCGACCAGAGTCGGCCGGCGTCGTCGTCGCTGACAGTCGGCGTGGGATCGTGACGCTGAATCGCAATTTCCCGTTGATCTGCACTGCGACGGTTTGGCCTCCCCGTGTGGACAGAGCGTCCGCTTGTTCGGGGCTCAGGAGTGGAGTCGGCCACGGGCAGTCGAAGACTGTGGGTACACTTGCTGTGGCGTCGCCGAGCACGGCACGATTCAGGATCTCCCAGCTTTCGGAGGAGAGCCCGGGTGCAACTGGGGCCAGGAGACGGAGGAGTGACGAGACACACAGGTAGAGGATTTGCGGAGAATCGGGGGCCGATGACGACAGTGTATTGGTCAGTTTCGTCAAATCGGAGATGACCGTGTTCAATCCGTAGGGATTGTGTTCGATGCAGTGGGTAATGGACGATATGGTCCGGTGAGTAAAGAGGATAGAGTTTACGTCATTGTCGCCGAGACTCTCGAGGGAACTGGGGAGAAGAATGGCGTGGCCAGAGGGCGTCATCAAGCCAGACTGGTTGATACGGAGGGGAGCAGACTCCGATGCGAATCGTTCGTTCGCATCCAACACGACCTTCCAGAGCCGCTTAAACCACCGCTCAATCCCCACAATCTTTTCCTCGTCCCATTCCAGCACTTCGCTAACAGGGGCCGAGAAGAGCACGTGCGCGCGGGTAGCGTCAGCACCGTAGGTTGAAGTGCAGCTGGTGGGGTCAACACCGTTGTGCTTGCTCTTGGACATTTTCTCAAAGGATACACTGGGCGTGATCTCTGTTCCCTTTATCAGAGGCTTGTCTGGGCTCGAGACGTCCACCTCGGAAGGATGGAGGAATCGACCAGTCGATGGGTCCGAAAAGGTCTTGCCGTGTACCATTCCTTGAGAGAGCAAGGTCTTGAACGGCTCCGCGGGGCCCGCAAGGCTACCGGCATGGGAGATCTCCGGGAATAGCTCCGACTGGGAGAGGAACTTGTAGATGAAGCGAGCGTAAAGCAGGTGCAATATGGCGTGCTCGACACCTCCAACGTAAACATCGACGGGCCGGACTTTGGACGGCGAGAACGGCGATGCCTTATTCGCGGGATCCAAGTAGCGCAGATAGTACCACGAAGAATCCACAAAAGTGTCCATGGTGTCGGTGTCGCGTCGCGCAGAACCGCCGCATTCTGGACATTCCGTGTGCACCCATTCTTCATTGGACTCGAGGGGATTGCCACGCTTTCCTTTGAGCCATTCTCCCTCGATTTTGGGCAGCTCTATAGGAAGCTGGTCATCCGGAACCGGTACAGAACCACAGTCACCACAGTGAATGATGGGGATCGGGGTTCCCCAGTAACGCTGTCTGCTAATCAACCAGTCTCTCAGCCGCCACTGTTCGACAAAATCTCCATGTTCGACACGGACCAGGTCCTTCACTATCTGCTCACTGGCTTCCCGGGAATGCAGGCCCTGGTACTTCCAGCAACGTGATGTCAGGAACCCTTCCTGGGTGAAAGCCTCGGCCTGGCTGGCGGACACCACACCGGGGTTTGCTTCCTTTGTCTCCGCTGGGCGCTCTGGTTGGACCACAATGGCGATTTCTTCAGGATTCATGTTATCTTTGAAAAATGCCAAGTCTCGCGAGTCATGACCGGGGACTCCCATTACTGCGCCTTCACCATAATCGCCGAGAACGTAGGGCGCGACAAACACGGGCAGCCTCCGGGCAATGTGGGGAGTCTCCTTGTCGATGATATGCAATGGGTTCGAAGCGCTCACGGTCGGCAGCTGATATCCAACCTTGGAATCCGGCGGAAGAGAGGCAGCCTCCTCCAAAAATTTGCGGAGGCCCGCATCCTCCTGCGCAGCCGCCTGTACAATAGGATGGTTTAACGAAAGGGCGAGATACTCTACACCGTAGAGTGTGTCGGGTCGGGTTGTGAAGACATTGATATCGCGTTGCGCGCCTCCGCCCTCACCGACTGATACAGGAAATGTGACTTTGGCGCCGTATGATTTTCCGAGCCAGTTGCGCTGCATCGAGACTACCCGGTCCGGCCAGCCGCCCGATAGAGAATCGAGGTCCTTCAGTAGGGCCTCCTTAAAGGCTGTAATCCGAAAGAACCATTGCTTCAAGTTCAATTGTTCGACCTTGGCCCCAGAGCGCCAGGAGAAGCCATTCGCATCAACCTGACTGACAGTCAGTCTCGTCGACAAGTTACATATTCCCCAAGCACACCCACCTGCTCATTTGCCAGCACGGTCTTATCGACTGGGTCGTAGTTGACGAGAGCTTCCGCCTGATATGCTAGGCCTTGTTTATAGAGCATCAGAAATATCCGTTGCGTGTGTTCGTAGAATTCGGGTGCGCAGGTTGCCAGTTCCTTTCAGCATTTCACAGTTCACCATCAGTAGAAGCCTTTACTCATTATTTGCAACATGACACTTACCCGATCCCAATCAAAAGAGGCTGAAATACTCCGAAGCTGATCCTTCATCTTCGTAATGTTTTCCTTGGTCCAATCGGCAGGATTAATGCCGCGTTCGATAGCCGCATTCTCCGCCGGTAACCCAAAGGCATCCCAACCCATTGGATGGATGACCTCATGACCGCGCATACGGTAGAACCGCGAGAGCACATCCGAGATCGTATAAACCCGCAAGTGACCCATATGCAGCGTCCCCGAGGGGTAGGGAAACATGGACAAAACGTAAGCTTTGGGCTTTTTCTCCGTCGCATCTCCGACCATTCCCTGTTCCGTCACGGGAGCCTCGGGTGGTGACAGCCCGTCCGATTTCCATTTCTCCTGCCATTTTCTATCAATTGCTAGCAGGTCGAGTTTTCTGGATATAGAGCCGGGCGTGGACGTCGTGGCAAAGCGTATGGGAGCGGGCAGGCGGCATGGGCGAAATCCGCACCGCAATCGCCCTTGTGCAAAGATCGTCCGAGGTGGACTCAGCCGGGGACGAAAGAGGGAGTTCATAATTGCCGTGTAATCATTATGCAGTGCGCGAGAGAGCAATAGAGAACCGCTGAACAGAGCCACTGGGGGAGATCAACAATTGCTTCTGTTGAGGTGTGACTTCATATCAATATGATTGATGTTTTCTCCAACGCGGCGGGCGGAGTGGAGGCTAGACCTAATATAGTATAGCGCCTCGAACGGGATCTCGGCCTCAGGCCACTATCTAGCATACTGTCCATGATGCTATGGATAGAAAATAGTATACTTAAGGATGTCAGTATATGTGCAATTAAAATTAAAATCTGAAGCAATTAATCGTTTGACTGATAGTAAGAAGGTCTCAGAACATGGTACAATTGAATGCCATATGCGATCGGACAAATTTTAATCGACCAGTCCATATTCCTCGGATTGATGTATAGCTCGTAGGCAGTAAATGATACCTTGCACGACTGAATGCCGTCGATATGGACACTCTAGTGGAGCTTGGCTTTTCGGGTGATATGAAAGGACCAAGTATTTTGACATCTATAGACTGGTACTTTTTTGGGAAACTACCGGGCAGACGCTCTGGAAACAAAACTATAGATTATATAGACATGCGCAGGTGGAAGGGCGCCCCGACCTCGTTTAGGCGGTATCTCTCTGCATCGTGAACAAGATATGGCACAGTTATCGATGGAGACCGGACGTGTTAATGTGATCTATGTAGACCATCATAATAGGGGGTTGGCTGATAACTATCTTGTCTGATAGGGGACTTGTGATCTCTATGATCCACGGTTAGAGATATAAAGAATTAGGTAGATAAATTCATCCAGGGGCAAGGTTCGATTGCGTATTCCATCATAGAAGTAACCAACTTCCATGTACTATTGTTTCGACATGATCCTTTGTCTCAAAGAGTCATATATCATCGCCCTTTCGCCCCTTTTCCAGGGCTATTTTTATGGCAGTGCCTGGACCAGACAATGAACACGGGAAGATGGGCTCATCCCGAGCCGGACTCCTGACTTCTGCCAATAGATCAGCAATCGGGGGTGGTAATTTCTATTTTAACATGGACCCCCATTTCTTTATCCTTCTAGAATCGATAGATGGGACCAGATCGACCAAAGTTCCGGCGGGTTGGGATGCAATGGAAGAGACACAGGTGATGGCTGCCTGAAGTTGCTGGCAGCGGGATGATGGGTAATCACTTTGTCTTTAGTTAACCAACTACTGTTCATTCTTCTTGTTCTTTTAACTTCCCTGGTACGACCACCGTGACTGCCGAAGTTGAGCCATGGTACTGCTCCAATTAAAGTGACTAGTGGTTTAACTTTTCAACGACATGTGTGAAACTTGAAAAGAGTGTCTGTCTTCAAAATCCAGTATCAATGTGATTGTCATCACCGTCCGTCTACAAGGTATTCTATGGCCCCTCCCAGAGCTGGCGAACATCGGCATACGTTCAACGGAATGATTGACATCTGATTCCTTGATCCTCCTTGGGCTTCCCCAAATGGTCAATGTTAATCATGACCGACCGAGTTGTTCGGAGCAAGAATGGCCAATGGTGGGAAAACGCCGTTGCTACTGCAAGTCTGCGACTGACAGTCTCCACTGAGATGTGTTGGCAGCTTTGGGAACGAGAATGATCCTGCCTGGTGCCGAGGGGAAACGTTGGTCTCTGAATTAAAATCAATGATTGGGCTGGGCGATTGACCAGGGACGGATCCCCCTTTCTCCATCTCCAATCACATTAGTGACGCCGTCTGGTATTATCGGCTTGCTTTAACGCCCTCAGCCACACTGCCGGAGTGGATCGATCTCCGGTCTCCTTGAGGGCCTCGAACTCCACCAGCGGTTAGACTGGTCACAATTCGGACTGGCTCCCTCGTGGAGGACCTGCCCGAGGACGACAATGGCGGGACATCCGAGATTCCACAGCCTTTGAGTTGTTGAAGTGACAAAATTGGTCGACGTCCATCTATTCATCCATACGTACCTGCATACGTCCAAACATACATACATACATACATACATACATACATACATACATACATACACACACATCCAGCCATTCATACACATACGCACACATACACAAGGTTCGAGTACACCTGTAAGAGGACGCACGGGCAGGACCTTGCAGCCTTCCCTGCATTGTGCCTGGCTGGCTGGGCTTCTTGCAGCCTGGCTTTGCATCTCATCCCCCCAGAAGAGAATTAGTTGGGATGATCCCACGGTGGAACTTGGAAGCCCCCTGATCTTGGGGAATTTATTTAATCTTGGAAATCACCATTAATAATAATAGCATCGGGTACTAATCTGCTATCCAGCTGGACAGGGGCAGATGGGGAACTGATCTGATCCGCGAACCACCAAGCGAAATGACCTCGATTTGGTTAATTTCGAGAACACTCCCCTACCATGGATATGAAGATGATTCCGTCGGGGATGAATACCATTATGGATCTGCTTATTATGAGAGTGCCGACGATCACTCGTCCACATATGTCTTAGGGCCGGATGACAACGAGCCCGTCTTCTCAGGCCTTTTGGGGCCCTCATGAACTCCACGAAAATCATTACGGCGCGCTTTTCCCGATTAAAAGTTACACCGAGGAATCTCGATGGAACACAGACACGGTGTACATGTTCCACTTCGAAATCGTTTTTTTTTTTTCTTTTATGGGGAGGGTCTTTTTTTGGGCCACCCCTTCCTGAGTTCCCAATCGTGGAGTTTCAAACCAGTGCTCTAGAGCGTGCACAGCATGCATTAACTCCTCCCTAGATACAGCGACTCGTTCACCGCTGAGCAACGAGATTCCGGGGCGTCCGCTAAAATTCTAGCTCGACTTTTAGCTTGACTCTAGGGGGTGGAAGGAGTTCGTCTTTTCTTTTCTTTTTTGACTTTTGCTTAATTTCTTTTTTGGAATTCGTACCCTTTTCCGAAGCCAAATGGAATTATAGATAAAGTGCTGTTGCCGCCGCATCGATCTGAGCCGCTCGTTTCAGGTTTTTGGGTCTCTTTGCTTCCAGTCGTTCTGCGCTTTGTCGTTCTTTTAGAAACTCTTAGTTTCGTGCCTGTCTTTCCCCTCGAGCTCGACGCTCGTTTCTCTCATTCTTGCAATTTGGCCTTTTTGCGCTTCTGTTCCATTCTGCTTTGCTGGGCTTGACCCCGCTAATCCAACTCTCGACGTGAATTGGTTCTTTTTTTGGTTCCGTCGGTTCCACATTCATTCTGAAGCTTGACTGTTCTAGATCATATCTACATCAGTCTTGTTGACCATTGTTTATTGCGCCCGCTTTCTTGCCGACAACAACATTCCTGGTTGCATCACTTCCATCCCCCCCAGTCGATTTGCTGACCACAACCAAAATAAAGACGGAATTCCCCAGTCCCAGTCTTTACCCCAGCAGAATTGTCTGTCGATTGCTTGTTTTATTCACCAAATTTGCCCTTGTTAATTCTTTGCCCAGCAGCCATTGATGATCTTACATTGTTGTTTTTGATACGCCGTATTCTTTTTCCACTTTCTAATTAATTGCCTTGTTGTGTTTATTTTTTTCTTCCCCCCACCCCAGATAGACCGTCTTGTGTTTCCTTGGGACGTTTAATTCATGCCTGCCTAATATCTACTGTCGGCAACTACTGATAATGAACTAATCCCGAATTACCTCGACGACATGCGCTCCAGTGGTTCTTCGAGAAATTCGTCTCCGAAGCGGAGAGCTCTCCATGAGCGGACCCCATCGCACACGAACGAGACATCTCCCCCGACATCCTTACGAGCGGCTAGTGACAAGGTTCACCACCGAGACAACGACCAGGAGGAGGGCGACGAGGAACGAGGAGTCTACACGAGTAATCCGTTCCCCACCAAGCCGGAGCATGTCCTTCTTCCGCGCCCCGGGAAAGGGCACGAGTTCGTTCCGGACGCGCGATTCCATGTGGACGAGGCACCGCACGAATCCTCCCGCACCGTCTCGACCGATGTGAGCCAGGGGCCGGATAGCAGTCTAATCCACTCCATCAGCGATCCGTGGGACCTGTCGTCAACGTTCGATGCCGAAAATACCCCGTCCCAGGTCTGGGAGGACGACCCGAAGTCCAGCAAATCGACCTTCCCGGACCCAGATTCAGAACTCTTGGAATCCAAGCCCCGCGAGCACGGCTCCGACCAGGGGTCGATCGCCGCGTATTCGGACGATGAACCGAACACGTTGCCCGCAGCGGCTCCCACGATCAAGACCGTCATCTCGGAGCCATCTTCCCGCCAGGCTTCGATGCGCGAGCATGCCAATTCGAGCCACTCCAGCCCTAATGTGAGACCGATCGGTCCACCGTCAAGCCCCAATTTCGTCGAACTTGACAATTCGAGTCTCAACTTTGTCCGGCTCGGCGCCTCCTCCAACCCCGACACCGGATCTCGCTCCAATTCCCTTTCGTCGTTGAACTCATTGGGTACCGTGATCCGGTATGCGGGCGCTGCTCAGTGGACGCATGGCTCTTCCTCCGGCTCTAGTTCGAAATCGCGGTCACGCTCCCGTTCGCATTCCATCCGTTCTCACCGTCACTATCCCTCGATTCCATCCGTGCGGTCGATGTCGACTCATCCCCGGGACCGCAGCCATTCTGGTTCCGCCACCGAGTCTTCTCGAAGCGGCCCGCCGTCCGACATCCAAGCCATTGTGGACAGCGGGGTTTTCATCCAGTATCCGAGCATTCGAGAGCCCTCGTCCTCCAGCTCCAGGGTCGACGTATCGCTCTCCGCCGACTCCGAGCACACCCCGGACCTCCCGTCGGATCAATCTTCCGAGCGTTTCAAGTCCCACTTGTCCACTGTAAGCTCTCGGTGGTCGGCGGAGTATGACTCAAGGGGCCCCTCGCCGGCAGACGAACCCACGCAAAATACACTGGAGGAGCCCTCCCGACCCCCGGCAGCGCTCGCGCGGCAGAGGCCCGCGTCGTCCTCGATGTGGCTAGTTGACGCCTCGGGATGTGATGAGTCGATGGATAACATCTCTAACCTCCCCACGCGGCCCACAAACCCGGCGGTGCCCAATAGCCTGTCTTCGGGTTCGCGCCAGAGCAGTGTACGGAGCAATAAGCGGCCCGGCACAGCGTCCAGCATCGCCTATCATATCCTCCCCAACTGGGCCCGGATGTATTATCAAATGGAGGGACAAGCCGAAAATTCAGCCCTGTCGGTGGTCGAAGGCCACCATGCGCCCGAGGCGCGTCCGAAGAGCACCCATGCTCACCCTCTGTCACGCATGGAAACCACGGTCAGTCGGCCACGCACTGGCACAAACGCAAGCCGACAGAGTGTGCGGTGGCATCCCGATCCCCGCGACCCCCGAAGCCACTGGGTCAAGGGCATGGATCCCGAGGGCAGGCCTGGGACTTCGCGGGACCGTTTGCGAAGTAGTTGGTCTGCTCATCTGTATCCGGACAGGCGTGCTGTGCAGCACCGCGCCAACGCCTGGACGGCACCCTCTATGGATTCCAGATCCGAACCTTTGCTCGGCCGGAGGAACATCCAAGTATGGTCCTTCAGCGTGGGGTTCATTTTCCCGATTGGTAGGTTTGCCTTGAATGAAATTGTTGTATTATCGCACCGGTGAATCGACTTACTGATCGGAATTCTTTCCAGCCTGGCTCGTGGCAGCGTTTCTTCCACTACCCCGAAAACCCGAGATGATCCTGGAGGAAGATACCGACTCCGAGCTTGAATCGACTCTTCGGATGCGGCTATTTGATGTTGAGCGGAGGCGCTATGAGAATGCCCGCTGGTGGCGGAACCTCAACCGATGGATGAACCCGCTGGGCCTGGTCATTCTCACCATCGTTGTATGTGACATCCCCCCCCCCCCGTCTTGATGTAGTAGGTGTGAAATGTGGATCTAACCCTTGACAGATCACCCTGGCTGCTGTAGGGACGACAGTAGGCTTTTGAATTAGCCTTTTATGTTTATTTTTGTTCGCCAATCCGTGCAGACGAGGCTCGCCCGACCTCCGACCCCTTTTAACACGTCGATTGGGTTGAACGTTGTTCTTGATTTACTTCGTTTTGGAGCCAATTGTGCTTGATACCCCTTCTTCTTTTCTCCGTTCCGCACCCTGTTTACTCTACTCTACCTTCCGCTTCATTTCCCTTCATCCCCGGTGTATGGCTGCTTGCATATCTCTTCGCATTTTTGGTTCGTCTTTTAAAAAAGCTAACTCGACACGACTCGACGACTGTGATGCACATAATGTTTGTTGTTTATTATTATTACTATTGTTTTTATCATCTCTTTCTATCATCGGTTTGTGACCTTGATCTCCATCCAGGTGGTTGGTTTTGCTTTTATCATCTGCTACTGCTTTGTTTCCATCGACTGTTGTTCCCATCAGTCGTTGGAAAACAAAGCAGTGGTCTGTGGCTGGAGCACAGCAGGCAAAAGGTTTTTTTTTCCTCCATTGGGGCTTTGGACCGATTCTGGATATATATATATACTGCGTTGCTTTCGTCTCCTCCTGTTTGATTTGGGAGGATCCTCATTTTTTTGTTTTCTTCTGACCCCGCCCGTGTATTTATGGATGTGTGTTAGATTACGTGAGTGTCCAACTTATTCACAATTAGAGATTTATTGAGATTTGTGGATTGGATATTGCTATGTGCATGGTTTCTTTCTTCTAGTAAGTGGGGTAAAAATTGTCGTGGTCTAAAGGATAGATAGATAGCTGGTAGTGCCCGAAAAGCCAACAGTGAGATGGTGTGTCGCTTATTCAGGAAAACGCCTCTATGTAGTCACTTGTATCCATTCCGCGGAGAGACATCGTAAAGCGGGAGGGTGACAAGCGGCGAGGCATCACGAAAGCGTACGACCAATCTTACTCTCCACAGCAGCCTTCAAGCTCTCGCCCGTGGGCATGTTAGCCACACTACCGCGGCGCCGCCGCGCGTCGATCTCAGCCTTGATCTCCTGCACGGCTTCGTCGAACCCCTCGATCGGGTCCTCAGGGAGGCCGAGCGTCGGCTGGAGATTGTCGGTGCTCGTTGTGCGCGGGGCGTGCGGGCGGTTGCGCGCTTTGAGTTTCCGAATGAGGAAGGCTTTGGCGGGGCTGGCGAAGAAGGCGATGGCGATGGCGTTGCCGATGATGCCGTAGAAGTACACACTGCGCCAGACGCGGATTGAGGGGCCGAAGGAGAGGAAGATGAATGGCATTACGGCGAATGAGAGGGTGAGCTGCGTGATGACCCAGCTGGCTACGTCGTAGTAGCGCTTGTAGGGGGTGGGTCGGCTGCCGTCGGGGGTGAGGAAGAATGGGCGCACATGGCGACGGAAGTCTGGAGGGGTGTGAGAATGAGTAATGGGAGGAGGGGAGATAAAGATGGGAAAACTCACTCTTGGCGACGGTTTGGATGAAGGATCCTAGGACAAAGGTCAGGTAGTAACCAGGGTAGAAGCCGTGCCAGAAGGCGCTGGTCGCAAAGGTCGCCAGGCTGGCGCGGAAGCCAGGCTTCTTGCCCTTCGGGGTGACGCGCAGATAGACGTAGTTCCGCAGCCAGTGGTTGGTGTTTTTGTTCCAACTGCCCAGGTATGCGTGGGAGTTCTGAGCCGTCTCCAATCCCCACGGATCCACATTCTCCAGGCGATTCCAGAAAACCTTGCCGGACTTTGGGTCGAAGCCGTTGTATCCCATGCCGGAGAGAATGCAGGCGCCCTCGGTGAGGGCCCACACGCCGTAGTACTTGACTCGTGTAGTGAAGCCGAGGAGGTACAGGACCCAGACGCGGCGGAGGAATCCCAGTTGGAAATAGCTCTCCTCCTGCACGGTACCTTGGTTATAGACCGAGTTCAGCTGCAGGAACACGAAGATCCACACCAGGCCCATCACGGCCTTTTTGGTGGCCGGGGTGCCACTGCGGGGAATCTTGCGCTTCTTGCGCGTTGGCGGCACCTTGGACGGGTCGGTCCCCGGGGGCACATCGAAGAGGGTGGTGTCGATCCACCGGCGGTAGTCGTTGTACTCGAAGGACGGGCCGCCGAAGAGAGACGGGAAGAAGAGGATGTAGCCCAAGTAATCGAGAAGACCCGGGAATTCTCGGATGGCCGCGTACTTCTGCGGATCCGACAACTGCTCTGGTGGGAGGCGACCATCGTGGACATTCCAACAGAACGACGACAGCTTCATGACCATCACCATCTGGGCGCCGGTGATGTCGACGGCCTGCGGTTGCTCGATGATTTGACGATAGATATGGCTGATGGACATGTGGCCCATCAGGACGATGAATCCGATCCAGGGCATCAAGGATCCATCGACGTAGTAGGCGATCGCATAGATAGCCGAGGCACTGTAAGCTAGGGTACGAATGCCATCCCAGAGATCAAACAGGCCGACCAGATAGAACAGCGACACCCCAATGATGAACGCATTCTTCTTGGCAGGCTGAGCATCGGGGATCCTCTTCAGCAGACCGGCAAGAGGGTAGGATAGGAGAAACGAAGCAATGAGTTTCACTATAGGAAAGGTTCAAGACCTTGAAATTAGCGGAGTGAAACAGGAGCCAAGCCAGCGTTCTTGAGTCCAAGCGTGGTTTAGGAGAGGAAGAAGGTCATACACTCATCCACCGAGGCTCCGGTGAGTCTCGCAGGGTAGTCAAACACTGAATACCATGATCATTCGGGTCAGTCAAGTCGTAACAGAAAGGAAGCTGGGACGGAGAGCAACCCACGGAGATTGACGTAAGGCAACATGATGAGCTCCGAACGCGCGCGTCAGAGAGAGAGAAATGGATTAGAATAGAAAGGACTGGACTGCAGGGAGAAACATGGGAGGCGACAAGAACGGAAGATTCTTGAGCGAAGAGATCCTCGAACCGCGATGTGAAGAGAAGAAGAAGAAGAGGTGGAAGAAGAAGAGAGAGAACGTTGAGAAGAGAAGATGACGATCCGCCGCTTGGCGTCCGCGGATCTTCTGGACTTCGGCTTCATGAACACGTCCTCCTCTTCCTTCTTCTTCTTCTTCTCCTCCCCGCGTCCTCCTCTCCACTTCCTTTGTCTACTCTCCTCATTGATCTCTTTCCTCCGTATCCTCTCATGGTACCTTTCTACGTCACTCAATTAATTGATCCCTCTATCTTCATCTCCTAATCGACTGTCCCTGGAACCCTCCCCCACCCCCTCACCATGGACGTCGTCGCCGCCGTATCCGGGTACATCTCCAGGATGGTCACGGCTGGTGATTCCGCGTCAGCCTCGTCCTCCTTGTCCTCCTCCTCTGCCAAGATGAAGATCTTGCTTCTGGATAGTGAGACAGTGGGTACCACCGCCTTCCCTTCCCCTCCTCCCTGGTCCCCTGCGCCCCCGATGTCATGGGTTCGCTGACGGAAATGGGATGATTCTCTAGGTCCCCATCGTGTCCACTGCCATCACACAATCGGCTCTTCTGAACCATGAGGTGTACCTGATTGATCGCTTGGATAATGCCGCGCGGGAGAAAATGCGACATCTGCGCTGCCTGTGCTTCGTGCGCCCCTCCCCAACCTCGATTCAGTTTCTCATCGACGAACTCCGCGAGCCCAAGTACGGCGAATACTACATCTACTTCAGCAATATCGTCCGCAAATCAGCCCTGGAGCGCCTGGCCGAGGCCGATAGCCATGAGGTGGTGCGTGCCGTGCAGGAGCATTTCGCCGATTTCATCGTCACCAACCCCGACCTATATTCGTTGAATCTGGGCTTCCCCAACCAGCGGGTGTGGAGTCACTCGCCCGACCTGTGGAACCCAGATGCCCTCCAGAGGGCCACCGAAGGCGTCCTGGCCGCCTTGTTGGCTTTGAAAAAGAACCCTCTGATCCGCTACGAGAAGAACAGCCTCCTGGCGAAGAAACTGGCCACGGAGGTTCGCTACCAATTAACGCAGGAGGAACAGCTGTTCAACTTTCGGAAGACCGATACCCCTCCGATCCTCTTGATCTTGGACCGCCGGGACGACCCAATTACCCCGTTGCTCACCCAGTGGACGTACCAAGCGATGGTCCACGAGCTGATGGGGATCCATAACGGGCGCGTCGATCTGCGGGATGTGCCCGAAATCCGGCCGGAGCTTCGCGAGATCGTTCTCTCCCAGGACCAGGACCCTTTCTTCAAGAAAAATATGTACCAGAATTTCGGCGACCTGGGCCAAAACATCAAGGAGTACGTCGAGCAGTATCAGACTAAGACCCAGAACACCATGAACATCGATTCCATCGCGGACATGAAACGCTTCGTTGAGGATTACCCCGAGTTCCGCAAATTGTCCGGAAACGTGAGCAAACATGTCACCTTGGTCGGAGAGCTTAGCCGTCGGGTCGGGGAGGAGGATCTCCTGGACGTGAGTGAGCTGGAGCAGAGCTTGGCGTGTAACGACAACCATGCCAACGACCTCAAGGTATGTCTACCAGTTGGCACCCATTTCACCCCTACTTTTTTTTTCTTTGAGAGTAGTAACTGACCATCTGGCGCATAGAATCTGCAACGGATCATCCAGCTGCCCAGAGTGCCTGCCGAAAACAAGATTCGCCTAGTGACGCTGTACGCCATTCGGTACGAGAAGCAGCCAAACAATGCCCTTCCGGTTTTGCTGGATCTACTCGTCACGGCCGGCGGTGTCCCCTCATACAAAGTCAACATCATCCCCAAGCTGCTAGCCTACCATCACTCCCTCCAGGCCCCGCCGGTGGCGGGGGGCTTCTCAGATCTCTTTGAATCCACGTCCTTTTTTTCGGGCGCTCGCGACCGCTTCAAGGGACTCAAGGGTGTAGAAAACGTCTACACGCAACACTCTCCGCGACTGGAGGTGACGCTGCAAAACCTGATCAAAGGCCGGCTGAAGGAGCTACAGTATCCATTCCTGGACAATAGCGCCCATACCCGCGATAAGCCCCAAGACATCATCCTCTTCATGGTCGGGGGTGTGACATACGAAGAAGCCAAGATGGTCGCCCAGGTGAACGCCAGCTCGCCCGGCGTGCGGGTCGTCCTCGGGGGCACATCGGTCCACAACAGTACCAGTTTCCTAGAAGAGGTCGACGACGCGGTCAGCGGCTGGCCCGAGCCCGCTCCCTCCACCGCCGCCGGTCGGCTCCGGAGGGAGATGAACCGGTAGTTGGCTCATTCTTTTCTTCTTTTGTTTTCTCTTGTCTCTTCTTTGACGCTTTTTATGTCACTGAACGGTCATGTTGTGGCCTGGCGTCGGTCGGTGTTGGACAAGATGTCCCCCTCCCTTTCCCCCTTGTTTGTCGCTTCCTCTTGTATTCCAGAGCATTTTGATATCCTTTTTTTGAGGCCTGGGAAGGAGATAGCTAGGTCTGGGGTTTATATAGTAGATTGGCTATAGGGGGTCAATTGAATTTGATTCTTCGGTGCCATCCAAGGGACCTGTAAAGACAGCATATACCTACCTAGGTTACATTGACGACCAGCATCCAATCTTTTGTAGCGTTGGGGAGATTCTTACAACCTAATGATCAGTCCAGGGCGCTTCAGGCATGCTTGTCCTCAAGCGCGTAGTTTACAGTAAGCAGAAATTAAATACTAGCAAACACCAATACAGTAAAAAAGGCTTGAACTGTCTAGTGAAGTAGGAATGAAGTGAATATGTACAGTCAGTTAACCTTGGTTGGTTATGGGTCTATATAGAGTGAACTAATCAAACGAGACGAGATCTGTACGGCTGCCGATCTGCCCGTGGCTTATTATAGACAGACATGGATCACATACGTAGTCGCCAGCGTCGTCCGTATCAGTCATACATAGAATATAAGAGTAGAAAAAAGATTATCCACATCGCAGGTACGGTTGCTCTCGTCTGAGACAGCCGGTAAGGTAAAGTTTCCCAAGACGAACGCTCCGCTCAGTACAAAAAAAAGGGGGGAATGTGGGAGAAAAGAAAGAGATAGAATAGGAAGAATATGAGGGAAACTGTACATGGGAATTGAACATGGAATGTGAGCGGCAACCAGCAGGATGCGCTCATGAGCTAGGTAGTAATCCTCGGCATTCTGCGATGACTACTCGTGGGCTTCCAAAATGCAAGTCTCCTTTGCATGCCATATGCGCCGTTTCTTGGCAACGTCCACTCCAAAGGTATCTTTGATGACGCCGTCTGCATCTTGGTGCGAGACGGATTCTCCCTCTGCGTCGTGTAGATGTCGCAGCAGACGGACTTCTTCTACCGTGGCTCCGAACTCGTACTCTCCCCGGCAGAGGACGGTCACTCCGACTGTGGCGGTTGCTGACTCCCCGGGGTGAATGATGGGAAGCACCTGTTGCAACATGCCTGTCCAGGCGAGGCGTCGCGACAGGTCCAGGGCAATGTTGCTAGGCTGATGGCGGAGACTCGGCTGGAGACGAAGCAGAGGATGGACTGGTTTGGAAGTGCGGTTGCGGACGGTGACGGTGAGATCCAGCATATCGTCCGTCCGGACGTGGTACTTCGATCGACCAAGTTGAACCACGCTGTTTCCATCGTCGGATGGCGTGGGCTCCTTCGCCCGCGAGGGGTTCAAAGAGTAAGATACATCGACGTCCTCGAGAGAGAAGGCATCTACCATGCGCGGGTTCAATCGCAAGTTCCTCATGTCGATCGTGCCTTTGCGACGCGCGGGGCCTTCGCTCCAGGACCCGGACACGCGCTTGAGGAGCTCCTGTCGGTACCAGAATGTCTCGCGGGAGGCTGCTTCGCCTTCGAATGTGAGTTTGTGGGCACTGACCACAAATTGTCTCTTGACGCCGGTGTTGATGATAGGGATTGACGCGTGAGGGTTGTCCAAATGGACACGCGGCAGCACCAGAACAAAGCGGGATGTCTGCCCTGGTTGAAGGTCCCCTGACACCGTATACTGTCCAGGCGTCTCGTCGCCGATGTCGGCGAGGTCTTGCGTCGACATTGCCGTTGGCTGCTCGCTAACGCGCAAGGACACGGATAGAGGGTTGGGCCAAGCGTTGCGAAGATCAAGAAGTAGGACACAATGATCGGGTCCATACAAGCCGCGTCCAATGTGAGAGAGTACCGGCGAAAATGGATCGCTATCGGTCAATCGTGATGGAATAAGGTCGGTGGATTCTGCGGCACCAGCGTCAAAGTCGATGCCCTGGCGGTTCCACCAGGCGAAGTCACCACTAAAGGGGAGAATATCACATCGAGCCACTTCTATACTGGCATTCACCGTGACAGTAAGGGGGACGAACAACTGGCGGGTATAGAATACCTCTGGCAGTTGACCGCGAGGAAGTCCCACACGAGAATAATCGATCTGGATCGTGGAATCCTGCAGGCCAGTCTTACCGAGGATATCGATGGTGAACGTGGCACTTTCACCTGCGGGAATAGCAAAGTCGCTCGGATTCAACCCCTCGCGACGCCACCGCAATGCCGGCCTGACGAGGTTGAGCTCCAGTTCGTAGATCTCGACTGGCAGCAGGTCTTTGTTGCTCAGCGCAGACTGGATCTGTCGGCCAGTGGAGTCCTGGAAAGTGAACAGGATGAAGTCAAGAGGGCAGAGTGATGTGTTCCGTAGCGTAATGCTGAAGGTTCCCATCTCACCATCCAGGACCATCACTGCGGATTGCGATAATGACAGCGACTCTATCACGAGGGACGGTTGCTGGCCGATTACCTTGACCTCACAAGTCGTGGTTGACGGTCCCTTTTTCATAACTTGCTTGCCGTCTCGCGACTCAGTTGAGCTCCAGGAAAGAGGTCGCTCCGTCGGAGGCTTCTTAGCCGCAAGCCCAGTGCGCTTGCATTTGCTTTCAACCTCGGGCCTCCAATGGCTCCTGAAGATGGGAAATTTCCGTTCTCTGCAGTACCGAACCTTGACAACACAACCAGTCACCTTGAGCGGCCCCTCTTGGTGCGCTATCCCGTAGACTGTGAGTTCTTGCAAGCTCAGCGGGGGGAGAACAATCCATTCGGCCACCGCATCAAACGGGACGCCCTCGCTGTCAAGGCGAAGTCTCTCAATCTCGATCTCGAATTCGTAAGGGTTTTGAAGGGTGACTTGAAATGCTGCATGTTCCCCAGCCACCATGAGCAGCTCGGATGCTTTGCTGTTTGTCTTCGAGAAAGGATTATACAGAAAGGGGTCTTTCGTCGGCCTCTCTTGGTTTGATGTTACAGCGTCAAGGGCTGATCTCGACCGGCGAACGGGCCTTCTGGGGTCAGGGAGCGAGAGCAGCTGCACGCCACGCACCAAAAAATCGTCCCAATACTCTGCCTCCAGCCCGGCTGCCCCCAACTTAGTAGCAGCTCCCACAGTCCGTTTGATATTGTTCAAAAGCCGGACCTGTTCGTCCAGTGGGAGGTAGGGGCGATCATAGTAGGTCTCCGCAAGCATCAAGTCCCCCCGGATGGTTTGAAGTAACTCGACCGTAAACTGGAGGACGCCACCAAAATCTGGGAGCGCTTCGCAGCAGTTGACACAGGCTTTGAGTACGTCGATTTTCAGATTCAAGTCGCCGTAGCCTCGCAGGGCGACATGCCGAAACGATCGCTCAACGATAGCAGGAACTGAGTCGTGTTCGGGGACAAGCTCCGGATTAGCCACACCTGACGCCCTGTCCCACGCGGGGATAGACGAGGGCTGGACTCCATAAATCTCGCCTACTGTCGAAAGAAGTGAGCGCATACTTTCTTCCATGTTTCCCGGACCAATGTCGAGGGCGTTGATATCGAATGCTGTGTCACTGAGAGACGAGAGCCCCGCAGCGGGATGGATGCCCACTTCCGCAGCGCCGATTTTGCGAGCTTGAACGAGTGTGGGAACCATGATTGAAAGGAACTCCCTCAAGATAAATGCCTTTTTCCTCGGCAAATTAAGTGTATCAAGAACAGAGACGACGCCGATGATGATGGGGATGGCGTCGGTGGCGGGTAGATCCGAGCTGGCTGACAGCGGCAATGCACGGAAGAGAAAGTTGGCAATCTCGGACTTTCGAAGAAGCACCAATCCACGAGGCCGTTCTGGCCGGTACAAAGGTTGCAAAGGCTCGTTCATCACAAGGTGCTTCAAAGCATTGTCGTCCAGAGCGCCGTCGCGAATGCACGCCGCCACCAATAATCGCGACAGTCGCATCACGGTCTCCGAGTAAACGAGCTGGGGGAGGGGCTCGTTGGTAATGTTGGCCGCACGGTTGTAAAGGTTGAGTATGTTGTTGGCCAGGTCGGGCAAGAGGTTCGACAGGTTTTGAAGAGAGATGACCCGGTTCCCAGGAGTAGATTGCCCGGCACCCGTGTCGACAGCGCTGCTGTGAGATGACTTCGAGGATTTCTCGGCCACTGGGTAGCAAATGGGAGGAATCTGGGGGCAGTTAGACAGAGGTCAGACAGTCCTCAACGACAGAAGTGCAGGACCATATACCTGGAAATCCATTCCGGCCCAGCCGAACATCAGCAGGCAAAGAAGAATTGATTCGAGTGCCTTTGCATGCCAAACATAATCGCTACTCGCGCGAGCATTCGACGCGGCCTCTACCAGTTCCTTCAACGCATCCGGCCATCGTCCTGCTTGAAGGAAGAGGGTTCCGACCACAACACCCATACGACCCTTTATTCGGTTCTTTGTCCGGTCTGTTGCGCTCATACTACTGACAGACATTCGGTCACGGCTATGCTCCTTGGACACCGGTTGGGAACTGGCTTTTCCGAACGTACTCGAGCGGTTAGCCAATTGGATCGATCGACTGATCTCATCGAACGTCGTAGGCGTTTCATGGTCACTCAAAACGGGCGAGCTATGGTTCGAGGTCAACTGCGGGGGTGTTTCGGGCGATCCGTTCGAGTTGGGGATCTGCGCGGGCATGGTCATCCGGTGGAATAACCGATCTGTTGGGCGCGGACGGAGATCGGGGCCTCGATGTGGACCCCAGGACGACGCCTTCGGCGACTCAATCGAGGGTATACTTTGGATGATTTTCGCAAATTCGTCCAATTCGGAAAGGAGCACGGATGTGATGTCGCAGAGCACGGTTTTCATGGTGGTGGCCTTGGACGCCTGCGGGCCTGGGATCCACAAAACACCATCTGGATCGTTCGTGATCTTGTTGACATTCTCATAGTCGAAGATGAGAAGCTGATGGACCAACGCCCTCGGGTTCTTCTCCTTGAGGAGCTCCAGTCCCTGTCGAAGCTCGTCCATCCCATGCGGGGTTGCGGACTGTTCGGAGGGGGCTCCTGAAGCCTCTCCGGCAGGTCCACCTAGTTCCCGCCCATCGGCAATCGCGATTATGACCAGAGGCTCACGAAACACCTCAAATGGAAATAGTTCTAGGTGGGAGGTAGGAGGAACCGAGTAGGAAAGGTCGTAGAGAATCATCCCTGTCGGAAACGCGAGCGGGGAAAACATATCTAGGATAGAACGAGAACGTTACTGACAGTCCCCCTCAGGAGTGTAGAGAGGATAGATCGAGTCTATCGCAGGATCAGACGGTTTCAATGCATACTTCGATTGGGTCGTGCATCAGGACTAATGTCCCCCAGGCGGACGACATTCTCGGCTTGGAGTCTCGCCGCAAAGCTTAGGAACCTAGAGCGCTTGATCTTCCCCACAGGAAGTAATAGCGCCCGTAGGCGCACCGGGGCGATTGGAGAAAGAGGATCGACACCCATACTGTCATTCGAATCGATATGAGTCGAAGGGAGTGGGTTGGATGTTCAGGACTGCTCCCAGAAGGAGTGGTGGTGGAGGTGGGCCAGCTTGCCGGGGGGGGGGGTTCTATACAACGAGGGACACAATCATTGCATATTCGAACCGGGGAAATTCCACAAAGAAAGCGCGCAACCGAAGACAAACAAGATAGATCTATATCGGGGAGCTGTCAGAACACTCTGGAGGGAAGCCAACAGCAATCGTACAATCCAACAGGAAGAACAACACTGCACCACAATGACAACACTGGCAACTCCGGGGGAATTGGTGGGAAAAGGGCGGGCGGTGTGTCACGGGGGCAGAGCCTAGCCTAGCCTAGCCTAGCTTAGTCCAGGCATCCACGGGTGACATAAGCAGATCCAGGCACATTTCCTGATAAGCAGCGATAAAGTCAGAACGACGAGTCAATCCGGCGGTCATAACTCCGCATTTTCCTCCCCCGGGTCATCCGTCATTGGGTTCGCTGGGCGTTTGTTCCTGTTTCTCTTATGTTCTTATTGATTTGATTCTTCTTTTCTATCCTCTGATCCATTCATATAGGGTGACTCGAAGATCTGACTTGGTATTTGGGGTTACGTTATGTTGTGATCCACAATCATATACCCCAAGCCAAATAGACTCCTCACTCGGAGGAGAACTTTCCTGTCCTTTTATCGACCTATATTCTTCTAGTCAACTTATCTTGGGCGTTAGATATCAGGGTTTCAATGTGAATCACTGAAGATGGCGCAGAATGTGGACTTCAACGCCTTGAGGGCGCAGACTATGGGGTCGGGCAATGACGAGGAAGCCGTCACAGTGGACACGCGTGGTTTGATCTCGAAAGTCCTGGCGCGGTATTCAGGGAAATGGTACGGGAGACTTCCGCTGTCAATCATCTTGAGCAAAGGTCGCTGATCGCACATCCAACAGGACAGTCTTACGGGAAATGATCCAAAACGCCGCCGATGCCAACGCCACCAAAGTGACCATCAAGTTCGAGACGATCCCTTCGACAACCGTTCCATTGCCTCCGTCGGCCGATAACTCGACTATCATCAAGCATGTCATATCAAATCACACCTTGAAGCGTCTATTAATATCGAATAACGGCACCCCATTCAGTGAAAAGGACTGGGCTCGGTTGAAGCGCATTGCAGATGGCAATCCCGATGAAACGAAAATTGGAGCCTTTGGTGTCGGTTTCTACAGTGTCTTTGACGATTGCGAAGAACCGTTTGTGTCTTCAGGGACAGATGCCATGGCTTTCTATTGGAAAGGGAATGCTCTGTTTACCCGCCGATTGCAACTGAACGAGGCGGCGAACCCTGAGACGACCTTCGTACTGGACTATCGTAACGATACTTCGCCTATTCCCTCATTGATGCAGCTATGCCAGTTTTTATCCAGCAGTCTTACTTTCGTCAGCCTTGAAAACATAGAGTTGTGGTTGGATGACTGGAATGTACTGCGACTCTCCAAGAAGAGAGCCCCCAGCGTCGATGTGGCGATCCCGAGGGATATCGAAACCAAGACTCCGCAAGGTCTCATGAGTATTGTCAACGTCGCTCGGGAAGTTGCACAGGTCGATGCTGCCTGGATGCGAGTGGTGGAGTGGAATCCCAATGCGAGTTTCCTGCGGGAAGGGCTTCGGGACACGACTGGCTCACTCCGTACCTTTTTTTCTCGACTCACCGGACAGAGTGCCCCTGAAAAGCAAGCAAAGCCCGACCAGCAGGAAAGTGCTAACGATACCTCGGATCTCACTGGTCTTACTACGGCATCGGTGTTCTTGCATATCAGTACCGCAGCTATCCAATCGTCCGTTGGCAGGTCTCTGAGCAGCGAGCTTGAACGCGCGACTCGCAAGCCTCCACCCAAAAGGTCCACTATCGCCATCTTAACCCCCTCATATGACACAAATCTAGCGTCCAAAGCATCCGGGGCGAACTCTGAAATTCTCTCTTCTATTCTCCCATCGCGGGCAGGAAGGGTCTTTATAGGGTTCCCCACGCAGCAAACCACAGGCCTGAATGCTCACATCTCGGCCCCGTCCGTGATTCCAACCGTCGAACGGGAAAGCATTGACCTCAACACCCGGTATATCAGTAAATGGAACCTAGAAATGTTGAGGGCGGTAGGCATCGTCTGCCGCATCGCTTGGGCGGCGGAAATGGCATTGATTAAGTCCCGAATATCTTCAGCAATAGAACCATCCCGAAATTCGAAGATCCGAAAGCAGGACATAGTGGGCGTGCTCCCAGAGGCAATCCACACATCGAATCAATTTGTGTTTCGGGAATCGACACCATCTTCGCTTCTGGGGCAGACGATTGAGGATTCGTTCTGGACGTGCAATAGGAAAGCTTCTATCGAAGTTCTATCAACGTGCGGTGTCATCCAAAGTCATCAGGCGCGCATTGCTCCCAAAGATCTCAGTTTCATGGACTCTATTCCGGTCTTGCCGGATGAATTTATATCGGGCGCGAAAGACTTCGTCCGAAAACTAACGGATTTCGGTCTGGTCACTGATATCACAGTCTCGGATATCAAGCAGGAATTAGAATCCAGCACGCTTCGCTCTGGTCAAGTCATCGAATTCCTCTCTTGGCTGGGCCGACGAGCTGCCTCGGGGCAGCTCGATCCTTCCTCTGTGCAGACCCTTTTAGGAGTCGCGGTGGCGAGCGACGACGACGGATCTAGTAACACGTCTCGTTTACTTGTTTTCGCCAATATCCAGAGTTTTCTGAATGCCCAACGAGTACCCGCCGATATGCCCTTGCCGCCGAATGTAATGCCTTTTAAATACACCAAATCTCTGGCCAAACAGGAGCTAGAGGCCTTTGGGTGGGTGGAGCTGCAGACAATCCCTTGGATCCGTTGGCTTATGAACAATGCCGGAAACCGGAGCGCACTTTCTCTGGAGCAAGATATTACACAGAATGCCTCGTTTTCCGGTCAGGTCCTGGCTGTCCTATCCAAGCAGTGGGAGCACCTAAATCAGCCATCAAGACAAACCCTGATTGCCCTACTCCAACCTCACACCATCATGCCAACGAAACTCGGGATGAAGCGGCCTGCAGAAACCTACTTCCCCTCTGTGCGCTTGTTTGATGATCTTCCTGTCGTGAATTCGCTAAATAGTGTCAAAGAGAAATTTCTGGTCGCGCTGGGGGTCCGCAAAACTGTGGATCTCGGGGTCATTTTCGAACGCCTTCTTGACCCAGCCGGCCAAGACCCATCCAGCGCGGAGGCTGCCAATGGAAGGAAATGGAGCCATGTCGATTTGATCCGTTATCTTGCTTCAGTCCGTGACGATATTCCCGCAAATGACATCAAACGATTGAAAAACACCAGTATCTGCACAGCTGAGCCGCCTAGCGGCGATTCTGGTGCTTCTTCCAGGAAACGCTACAAGATCTTTGAGCTGTTTGAACCGAAGGATTCTATCAGAGCCCTTGGGCTGCCTGTGATTGAATGGCCGGGAAAATATCAACCCAACAGTCGCGAGGGGAATTTCCTTGCCACGTTAGGGCTTCGGAGTTTCCCATCAGCCCCGGAAATGCTGCAGATTATCACCAAGGCCGCATCAAACAATGATTGGAGCCTCCACGGAAAAGCCATGTCGTATTATATTGCCGAATATCACGACAATGGCTACTCGACGTTTGATTGCAGCTCATATGATGTTCCATTCTTGCCTCTAGAAGGATCGAGCAGCCTGAGTGTCCCGATGCAGTGTTTCACGGATGAGAATGCCACTTTGTGTGGTTTCAAGATCTTACGGCGAGACCTACATCCCCATGCTTCTAAGTTCGGTGTCAAACAACACCCTTCGCTTACCGAATGCCTGGATTATTTGATCCAACACCCCCCTTCGACAAAACGCGATGCCCGCGTTCTCTTCAAATATCTCGGCGGAAGGGTTGGTGACCTCAAAGCACGCGATATCGACCGTGTTAGTAATGCGCAGGTTGTACCCGTTTCAACATCTCGGGATGCCCAGAAGGGGTCAGATGTACGCTGGGTGGCACCTAGACTTTGTTATCTGGGAGAGGGTGAGGATTACCGAGACATCTTTGATTTTGTCGACTTTGGGCAAGAAGCAAATTTCTTTCTCATGGCGGTTGGCTCCAAGAGGGAGCCAACCAAGATCGAGATCGCCCGCATGCTAGTCAAAGAACCAGCAAGGATTTCTTCGACATTCCAGAGCGCAGATAAGTATCTTAAACTCCTGAGAATGCTCGCGGAGAACCTCCTTGTCTTAAAAAGGGATCGGGAACTTTTCAACGAGATGAAAAGATCTCCGTTCCTCTTAGCCAGCAAAGACATCACGTCTCTTTCCCAGGAGAAAAATGAGAAACACAATCTCATCAACCTAGACTCCGACTCGGATTCGGATGGAGAACAGAGCATCAAGGAATGGACGCTGGTCGTTGCAAAAGATGCAGTCATTGTCGATGATTTCCAAAGCTTCAATCTTTTCCGAGAACACATGCTGGTGGCACCGCAGGAAGAGTTGCTCGAGAATTTTTATCTCGCCCTGGGGGCAGCTCCGCTGAGCGCACTCGTGGAGGAACGGGCTCACTGGGGTGCCGTTGCTGCTGATCAACGCCCAGCGGCGAAATTACAGAAGTTGATCAGCGAACGCTCGCGGCTTTTTCTACATGACCAGGCCACCGATGCTATAAAACACGATGTCCGATGGCTTGAGAAATTCCTCCAGGTGCAGGTGGTGCAGTCAATTTCCCTCACAAGGTCTCTTAGGGGACGGCGAATCTCGCATACTCAAAAGCGAAGCGCCATCATCACGCAACAGCAATCTAAGTCATGGGTTTTGTGGATTTGCCCCGGCAAGTATGATCTTTATGAGATCAGTCAAGCTCTTGTCCATCTCATCCTTGTCCGGCCAAAGCTTCACTCTACTCTTACCTTAGAGATGCTGTTGAAGACTGATTTGTTGGAGCTAAAGACTCGTGGATATAATGTGGAGCGCATTCTCAAGGCGAAGGCCTACGAGGCCCGGATGGCAGAGGATCGGCGCCAGAAACAGCTGGAGGAGGAACGGCAACGGCTTCTCGACAGAGAAGCTGCATGGTCGAAAGAGCGGGCTCTGGCACCGGCGCCAACACCATTGCCTGAGGAGAAACAGCAGTCTGGAATGCCTGGTGATTTCCCCGACACGTCTTCTAGTAGGGATGTCGGTGCCAATACGCAGCCAACGAACCCCGAAGAGCCTCGTCCGCGCGGGCTGTTCGCCAGTCTCTCCAAGCGTCTGGGGCTGGATAATGGGCGTCCTCAAAACAATTCCCCGGGCGGTGAATCTCCTCAGTCTCCAACTGCAGACACCCCTCCCCCACCCTACTCGAACGAAGATCCCCAAAAGTCGTCTCGTCCAGAAGCTCCTGTGACAGTCAGTTCTCCTCACCAGCTACAGTCACAACTTCTCTCTGCTGTTCAGGCCTGTCGACCTCATGGCTCGAATGGGGTTTACAGTCGGCCCGAAACCAATCAAATCAGCGAGTCCAAGTCGTACTGCGACGAGAAACCCAGCCAGGACCTGGAGTTTGCCGCGACGCTCCCTTGCGGTATCAATGTGCTTTTCGTGAGGACTTTCCCCGATCGGTCCAATTTCCTCGCCCAGCACGGTGTTGCAATCAACCTGTTTGCCTCTGTGCTGCTGGACTGCGGTGCGGTCTTCTCCCTGCGTGCGAACATCCTCAGCATCTTCTACGACCCCGGCGGGAAGACCATTGCTTTCAACCGAGCGGGCAGTATCTTTTGCAACTACTTTTACTTCCAGCAACTGCATGAAAAGGAGTTGCTTCAGACGCCTGCTGGTAACAAGACCGACGCCTTGGTATATTGGTGGGTTATCTTGTGCCATGAACTGGCCCATAACCTCGTGGGAGACCACAGTTCCGCCCACAGTTTCTACACGTAAGACCCGATCCATTATCAGACTCTGCGTGCCTACACTTGCTAACTCGTATTCACCTCCAGCGAAGGATTTGTTGCTCAGTACTTCCCTAAGATAGCAGCTAAGCTCGCCACGATCAGCCAGTAGCTAGCGACCTGGTGCGACTCAAGTCATTCTACAGGCGACTGTCCACAATCAGGAGTTGTATGTAACTTCTGAATGAGTACACGCCGCGTGTTGTCCGGTTTAGATTTCGATATTAGAGTGACTAGATCTGTGATCTGTATATCTAACCCAAGATATACACAATATATAGTACTCACTAGAGCACTTTAGCCGTGTCTCCACATCACACTACCACGTCTAGCTGCATGTGGAAAGCAGCACTATTAATCTATTATCGACGATAAATGACGGTGCCTCTGAATGTCCAACTATAGCACCGATCCCATGTCAATATTATCAAACAATATTGACGGGTTCTACTGCTCCGTAGAGACACACCCCACCTGATAATACTATGTTACTGTTATTAATTTTCAAAAAGAACCCTTTTCAATAATGTATATGGTGGAACTCCAGCTAATAAGGTTATGGAAATCCATGGGTTGAAGCTGATGAATTTGCTGGGTTTCCAGACCCAGATCCAGTGATTTCCCCGGCCGATTGCAGCCTCTGCCGTTCATTTTTCTCTCTTCTTCTCCACCCGTTCTTCTTTGCCGCCGCCAAAACATTTCTATCCGATCATCCACTATGGACCGATGATATCCGACTTTTTATTCCAATCCCTCTCATGCTTTGATAGGCTTGTATAATATAATATTGGCCTTTTATTATGGAACCCCATGCGTGATTCCGTTCCTCGTACTACTCTTGATTTAATTCTTTGTCGACGAGGATCTATTTATACGCCATCTCTTCCCTGACTCATGTTCTGATCAATATCGGATTTTGCTATTCTTCGTCCCATCACTATCCCACGACAGTCTACTCGATTCTTTTTGGATACTGTTCTTGATAGTGGCATGGCACCAGCACTGGGATATGAGTCTGTGGCCGATTTCGGCCCAAATCTGTGGTCGAAAGGTTTGACATCTCCGCCCAAAAGCATTCTATATATCGATGCCTACGATTCATTTTCCTACAATGTCGTGGCCATGCTTGAAGAGGTCTTGGGAGTCAAGGTCACGGTGATGATGATCGATTCGAAATGGCCAGACAACAACATGGCCCAATGCCTCGAGCGTTTTGACGCTGTCGTCCTGGGACCCGGACCGGGGAATCCGAGCATCCCCCGTGATGTCGGGATCATGCAGGACATCTGGCGTTTAAGCGACGACCATTTGGTGCCCGTCTTGGGGATCTGCCTTGGCTTCCAGAGCTTGTGTCTTTATCATGGTATCCCGATTGAGCGCTTGCCGGCACCTCTGCATGGTCAGATCCACCAGATCTCTACAGCTCAGACAGACATCTTTGAGAGTCTGCAGGGGGCAGGGGTGACTCTTTATCATTCGCTGTATGCTCAAGCGGACCCTAGGCGTGATCTGTCCTTTAATGGACAATCCGGGAGCGCCAGGGTCAATTCACCGGCAGCTGAAGATTTAGAATTCGTCGCCTGGTCATCTATTGAACAAGGCAGTTCGTCCGACACAGTGCATATCCCCATGGCTGTGCGGCATCGGCGAAAACCATTCTGGGGCGTTCAGTTCCACCCTGAGTCCTGCAAATCGGACCGAAAGGCCTGCACTGAGATGCTCAGGAGATGGTGGCAGACTTCACTCACGTACAATAAGAAATTTCGCCGTGCTGTCACTGAGAGCCCCTCGGTTGAACTTTCCAGCCAAATCAACGCCGTGACTCCTTTACCGGATATTGTATTGACAATGCTTGAGTGGAGCGCATCGACCTCGCATCGTTCGCACTTTCGGTCTTTTACGTCCCACAACTTTGACGCCGAAACTCTACTTGAGTATTTCAATACGCCGGGTTCTCCGGCAGTCCTATTCCAGTCCAATGGCAAGCACAGTGTCATCTCAGTGCCGAGCCCCACCAGTTGGAGATTGGAATACTATACGCAGTCGGAAGAGCTGGTCTTGGAGACATTACCGGACCCCTGGACCAGCTGCAAAGCGACAGATTCTCGACGCGACGTGTCTGCATGTTCTCTGCTGGTAGCTCAATTTTGGGATGTCCTTAGGCATGTTATGCACGCGAAGAAGGTCGACACGGGAGACCAGACAGTGCCTTTTTGGGGTGGTTTCCTGGGTTATTTTTCGTATGAAATGGGCTTGGCATGCCTCGCCCGTCCAAAGCACCATGACGATATCTCTCATCACGGCTTTCCCTCGACTAGCGAAGAGGCTTTTAGCGAAGATCCCCCTGACGTCAGTCTAATATGGACCGAGAGGAGCATTGTCATTGACAATGAGACGGGGCGTATAACAATACAGTCCACTCTTGACTCTGACGAGTCGCCCGATGGGTGGTTGAGCAAGACGTTGCAGTCTCTGGTGGCTCTATCCACGGAACCCATAGACGCCGGAAATAACGCCGGAGACGCGGATTTTCTGGATTCCATCCTCCGAAGAGGCACCGTGCGGTTCCCAGATGAAGAATCATACCAAAATCAGGTCGAGGCTTGCAAAGACGAACTTGAAGCCGGCGAGTCGTACGAACTATGTCTCACCTGCGAAACATCGATTACACTACCCTCGCCCGATACCGACAGTGGCCGACGAAATTTCCCCTGGAAACTCTACAGGCGACTACGAAAATATAACCCTGCCGCATTCAGCGCCTACGCGAGATTAGGGGATGTCAAAATCGTGAGCAGCAGTCCTGAGTGCTTTCTGAACTGGGACCGGACATCCACGCTCGAGATGAAGCCGATGAAAGGCACGGTGAGGAAATCCAGCGACATGACCTTGGAGAAGGCCAAGGAGATCCTAGGCTCAAGGAAGGAAATGGCCGAGAACCTGATGATCGCCGATCTGATCCGCCACGATCTCTACGGGATCTGCGGTTCGGGCGGTGTCTCGGTGGAAAAGCTTCTAGAAGTGGAAGACCACGGCCGAGTATACCAGATGATCACGCACGTCAAGGGCCAAGTCGATCCGAAGCGGCCCAGCCTCGCGGTGCGCGATATGCCGCAGTTGCAGTCGTCGAACATGTCGGGGTATGGGCTCGTGGCGCTCCAACGATGTCTCCCACCGGGTTCCATGACGGGGGCTCCGAAAGAACGGTCATGCATGCATCTATCTGCGATTGAAGGCCGCAACCGAGGGATCTATTCCGGCGTCATGGGCTTTTTGGATCTCGGAGGGGGCGGGAGCTTTTCGGTTCTGATCCGTACGGCGTTCACCTGCTCTGCTGACTCTCGAGCTGAGCAACGGTGGCGCATCGGGGCAGGCGGAGCTGTGACGACTCTGAGTACAGCCCAGGGTGAATGGGACGAGATGCTGACCAAGCTGAAGACCGTGTGTGGGATTTTCACACCGCATCATTGAGGGAAGGGATTATACTCTTCGCTCGTCCCTCATTATCTTCTTTCTCTCTTTTTCTTCTTCCTATTTTCTTCCTTTCTCCGTTGTTCTTTTTATTTCCATTTTTTTGGCTCACGATTTTTACGGTGCTGTACGAAGGGTCATGTCTTGATAGCGGTTTCAACAATTGCATCGATTGGAGCATGGGGTTATACGAATCTCTGAATCAACATACGGGAAACATGAGAGGGAAACGGCGTGCTATCTATTTTTTTCTATATCATCTTCTATATAGTTTAGACGATCAATACTGTATATGAGATTTAGAGCATGTGAGGATAGATATAGAAGTACATATATAGCATCCTGATACGGGTTCTGTTCGCACCCCACCTCGATACTATTTACAAATAATTCAAGCAAATAACTCCTCGATGGCCAATTCCTGTTGTTTCCTATTATCACATCATCAATCACCAGTCAAACCCCTCGATTAAAAGAGGATGTAGAAGCTTCTGACATAGAAACAACTCATAGTGCATGATTTGCCCATTCGGCGGGCGGTCAGATCGATTTCTCCGGTTCTCTTCCGCGTCGGATTCTCCAACTCTCTGAGATGCGCCGAGAATCATAACCTTCTTGTCTTACAACATCTCGAATAAATTTACTTCCTTGAGTTTGCAGTTGTCTTCCCTGTTCCACTTCCTCATAGCAATTGACCTGAGACGTGGTGGACCGATGGCGACTGGCCAAGATGCTTCAATGGAGGAGATCCTCTGGCGATCTCCCCCGCACGTCCAGATGATGGGAGGATACCTCCATTCAAACAACAGTACGCAGCCGTATAGACTGATCTCGCTAGACCTTCACGTCAACTGACATCGCTTCAATCGCGTCCTGATTAGTTCTGTTCTACTTCGCCGAGTCCCCGTTCTTCGATGCGACGTCCAACAACGCCTCCCTGGCCATCCAAGCCAACTACAATGAAGCCTTCCGCCATTTCGTGGAAACCCGGGAGGCCTTCGAAGCTCGACTGAAAACGATGCAGGGGCTGGAGTTCATAGTCGCGTATGATCCGCTGCAGGCGGCGGCACAGTCCGACACTCGCTTTGCTCACGAGCCGTCCAATATCTGGGTGATTCGGAAGCAGACGCGGCAGAAGCGAGCTGGGCAGGAGGATGAGGTCGCGGTGCTGTCTACCTATTTTGTTGTTGGGGATTGTATCTATATGGCCCCATCGGTTGCGAGCGTTGTGGGGAATCGGATTGTGAGTTTCTTGCTTCTTGTTTCTGGTGACCCCATGCTTTGTCCAGAAGGGCGACTAACGACGGCATATCTTTGATCGCACAGCTCTCTGCCGTCACGTCGTTGAGCAGTCTCCTGAAGACCGCATCCTCTCTACCTACGTTCACCGCATCGCATGGATACACCTATATGCCGTCCGCACCGAAACAGCTCGACACCGGTCAAGCGGGCGCTCAGTCCCAGCAAAGCAAGGAAAACACACCGATGCCCGACTCCGACGCCGCCGCCAAAGGGCCGCTGCTGGGGTCGCAGATGACCAATACGGGATCCGTCTTCCAGGATACAAGGACACTTGCCGAATCGTTCAATCTCCTTTCTCGATACGGAGAAGAATTTATGGATGAGAGTCCATTGGTCGGAGAACCAGGGTCATTTATCCTCTCCAGATCTGGGGATACAGAGCGAGGGCCTGGGACCAAACAGCTTGCGCCCCCGGGCGTGATACCCAGGGTCGGGACACCGCAGCTCAGAGGCGAGACGCCGGGGAGGACCACCACCCCGGCTGCGTCCGACGATGCCACATTACGGAAGGGGAAGAGTAAAGCTGGGAATTGAGTGTGCACTAAAGTTTCTATGATACCCATCGAGGCCGACCTTTTCTGGCCTCAAACACCTGATTTCAATACAGTCTAGATTCTAGAATAATGCGGCACGGTACATACCAGCAAGTTTATCACAGGATCGCCCCAGGACCTTTTTTTGTGAGGTGAGCAATTGGTTCTGGACTCATTCTTCTCGTATACAACGAAGCTTGGCGAAGGCCCCGCTCCCGCTGCCCAACCTCTGTCGATGAGTCACTTTTTCAAAGGGCGGCGACTGTCAGCACTTTGAAGGACCGTCAGCCTGTAAGATACCTGTGGTATGTTACGTTGGATGGTAGGTAGTGGACGAAGGGGCAGAGTTGGCTGTCATGTACAGTGATTTATTTAGGCTGGACCCGCCCGCTTTGATGACGCTCGGTATCCACTCTGGTTTCCTGCGCTTCTCACCTTTCCCAACTATCATCTTGCCGTACCTGCTCCCCACGAAGACTCCACTGGTATTGTTGTTTGTTTTGACACAATTATCGCCTCCATCATGGCCGACGTTCAGTCCCAAAACAAGCCCGCGGTCGTCTGCGTGTTGTAAGTTTGGCCCAACCCCGGTTCCGCGACCCCTCCCCCGCCCTCCGATGCCAAACCTACGATTCCTATACTAACACAGACGCTGTTCTTCCTCAGCTGCGGCTCCGTAGCCGGGAACAACCCGGCCCACATGGAAACAGCCCGGTCACTAGCCCGCGAATTCCACAAAAACAACGTCCAACTCGTCTACGGCGGCGGCACATCGGGGCTGATGGGCGAACTAGCCCGCACCCTCGTCACGCTTTCCGGCCCCAAAGCCGTCCACGGCGTGATCCCGCGCGCCCTCGTGAAAGTCGAACCGGGCTACGAGAACGGCTCCTCAAACGGGGGAAAGCAGCCCCCCGCTTCGACATCGTGGAACACCGAAGGCGGCAAGACGGCCGAACGCATCATCCGCGACCCGGAAGTGCTAGGCGAATCGGACTTCGGAACGACGACCGTCGTGCCGGACATGCACACGCGGAAACGCCTCATGGCCGCTAAGGTGCAGGAGGGCGGGCCCGGGTCGGGGTTCGTGGCGCTGGCGGGCGGCTTCGGGACTATCGAGGAGGTCATGGAGATGACGACGTGGAATCAGCTGGGGATTCACCATTTGGGGGTGGTGCTGTTGAATGTCAGCGGGTACTGGGATGGACTGTTGGTGTGGGTGCGCAAGGCTGTGGAAGATGGATACATTAGTCCTGCTAATGGCCATATTCTCGTTGAGGCGAAGGATGTTGCGGATGTTTGGCCGCGACTGGTGGAGTATAAGGTTAGCAATGCGAGGATGAAGCTGAACTGGGGAGAGGAGTGAGTGTGGGGGGAAGATAGATGTTGAAACTTCTGGTTGCGAGAACCTCTGCCGTCTGATTTATGAAGATACTTTATTTGATTGCGTGGTCCAACGGAGTGGGTGTTTTCGTCTCGTTTCTTGCATTTTGCATTTTGCCTTCTCCCGCCCTTCCTGTTGACCTCGTTGGAGATATAGAAATAGAAGATGACAAAGACAACACGCCTTCCGGAGTACATTGTTCGTAGAATTGACGGTGGACCAGGGGTTGAGATCATTCTCTATATCGAACACCTCGAGAGAGAGAATACTCCCGTCCCCATGGCCGAGTTCTTACGAGTGCTGGAGTATAAGAGATGCGAATAACGAGAAGAAAAGAGGGAAAGAGAAAGAAAGAAACGTAATGAATTAAATCACCGGGATCCAGTTGTCAACATCAACATATTCATGTCTATGGGCATCATTTCAAAACCTATGAATCAACCTCCATCCCTTCGCCTTCTTTCGTCTCGCCCGAATCCTGCTGCTCCACCGTTTCCAGCAGCGGAAGTAGCTGCTGGCCCTCGTAGAGCTTGAAGCTCTCGATCTTCCCATTGGCGCCCTTGCCCGCCAGACCGACGACTCCAACAGAGGTGTTATCCACCGTCAATTCCTTATCCTGGGAGAGGGTCTCCTTGAGGGCGCGCAGGCCGTGGGTGATGAGCTCGTCGCGCGAGCTGGACTCGATCTCGTCCAGGTGGCGCTCGAGGTACGTGCGGGCCATCTGGGAACGGGCCCCGATGGCGCAGGCGAGCATCTCGTGGATCATGCCTGAGGGCTGGAACTCGAACAGGTGCGGGCCGGCTTCGTCGACACCGGCGACCAGCAGGCCGACGCCGTACGGCCGCTTGCCGTACTGCTGGGTGTTTGTCTGGGCGCGATCGGCGATCTGGGTCACGATGCGGTCGACGGGGATGGGACGGCCGTAGGTCATTCGGGAGCTGAGCGATTGCTGCTTCATGAAGTTGGAGACCACCCGGGCGTCGGAGGCCAGGCCGGCGATGGCAATGCCCATGTGGGAGTCGACTTCGATGATCTTCTTCTGATACGAGGAGAGCTCTTCGGCGTTTCGCTGTCGATCACCGTTAGCATTTCTCTCTCTCTCACATTCTCTCTTTGTGTTTCGAGTCTTCTGTCTGTGTCGAAGACGAATGGATAGGACCGAGATGCGCACCTTCAAGCCAACCAGAACCGAATGCGTCTTATTGACCAACCCCACGACGACAGATCCTTGCTTCACAGCCTCTTGTGCATACTCCACCTGGAATATCCGACCTTGCGGGGAGCTATACGAAAAGTCATTGATTAGTTTCTGGGGAGCTTCACATGAGTGGAGGAGTGGGGTGTGGATCATACAAGGTGACGGCATCGTTGTCGTAGTTGTTCCTGAACATGATGGATAGCTAGATTCGAGACGGATGGGAAAGGTATCGAGGTTCTGATGGATGACACGAGCTTTGTGTAGCGCTCAGTGTTCGATTCTGTCCGAGAAAAAGTGTGGAGTGATGAGGGAGGAGAGGAAGGATGAAAGTGAAGCCGGAGGGTCGTTGATATCGACAGGCAGAGAAGCAACTGACGCGGTGAATCTAGCTCCCGTCCAGCAGTAGTAAGCTCAGGCTGCTCAGGCTGCTCAGGCTGCCCAGCTCGGGAGCGGGCGGTGGGCGGCCTAAGCGCCTGAGGCTGCCATACCAAACCTCCAGACGTCACAACTTCCGCCGTCATCTTCTTGCCTGTTCTCTACGACTTCAACTCGCTTCTGCGGCACTCCTTTCCTTTGAAATCTTGTCGGATCTTGCATGCAGATTCGCTGCCCTCGTCGGATCGGCCTCCCGTGAACTGCATCCCCCACCACGGCCCCTCGTGCTGCTATCGACCCGCCTGCCCTGCCGATTGAGCGTGTTCCCCTCCCTCCGCTTGTCTCTCCGCAATCATGACGGCCGGACTCAAAACCATCATCGCCCTCTCCTTTGTAAGTTGTTGTCGTTCAGATTGCGGACGGATGTGCTAATCGCCGATCGTTTCGTCTCGATGTAGATCCTCGCCATTGGCTTTCTCCTGGTCATTCTCTCCTCGGCGCTCTGGCACAATTTCCTGCCTCTCGTCGTTGTCGCAACCTATGTCGTAGCACCGCTCCCCAACTGGATCTGCTCGCGATGCGCGAACCCCGATGATTTCATGGATAGTTCCGGCAATGCGGCCGCGGACTTTGGTCGCTTCATGACTGGGTTCCTGGTGTTGATGGGAATCGGTAAGTCGCTTCATCGCGCGTGCGGGCGCATTCCATCCTGGATCGTGCAGGGCACTGCCACGGCTCTCGGACGGATACTCCTCCCTTGAGTGCGGTTCTTGTGGTTCATTAGTGCTGACCACTCTTGCTCTACACAGCGCTTCCCGCGGTCCTTGCGCATAGCGGCGCCATTGAGATTCCCGCGATGGTCATGTCGATCCTCGGAGGCCTCCTGATTTACGGAACAATCATTAGTTTCTCGATGTTCTTCCAGGAACAAGAAGAGTTTTGACGGAGTCGCCATCGGTCGGGTTGGGTTGGTTCGAGGTAGTCAGCATGTCGGAGTGCCAATGTCCTCCGAAAGCCATAGTTTGGCCCGCTCTGCCTGTTCTACCTTTTGAATTTGATGGAGCAGCGTTCTGTTTTTGATATGTGTTCGGAGTCCACGCTTTTTCTGTTATCTTTCCATATATCTTCGAGATTCAGCCTTTTTGATCCCATTATTTTCCTTGTTTGGCGCTATGGTTGATGTATGATACAGCCCTCGCTACGTTCTATAGAGGGTCGCTGGGTCTTTGGCAGCAGTTTGAAGACCCTTAGGAACAATGAGCTTCCCATTCAGCACTTTCCCTTGTCTTTGGCAATGCAGGAGGCGCCCACGTATAAGATTAGTAATAAGTTGTGTTCATCCATCATATGAATCACGTGATTCCGCGCCCGCGTCTTCCATGCGCGTTTGATACAGGCAAACGACCGCCCGTCTTGTCTGTATCGCATCCCTCCACGCCTGGGATGAATGACCTTTGACGACTGAAAATGTGAGGCCGGAGTACTTCTGAGACTGTCAGGATGAATATTTGGTCCGGATCCCTCGTGCTGGAGGGGGAGTCTCAGCTGCAAGGTAAGACACGTCCAGCGGTACTCAATTCCCTCAACAATAAAGGCCCTTCTCACCGATGTGTGTACAGGTCTACAATTGGTGGAAAGATCCGCCAGCTGGCAATCGGATATTGCCAGAGACTCCATCCTTCGCGTCCGATGCTTCGTGAATCCCGCCTTGATACCACTGTATGCCCGAGCGGGCCCGAACCTTGAGTTGCACACGAGCGACGATCGAACGGCACAATGGCTGAAGAGCCGGTTGCTAGGCAATCTCTGGCTGGACGAAGAGGATCTCAATACATTGCAGACCATTCAGTGCCCGGTCGGCCTGCTCGTGCACGTCGATAATGCGACACGCGCAAAGGCTTCCGCCTCGGGAACAACAGACTTACTGGTTTACGGCGTGCTGTCAAGCGCCGCGACGTACGAACGACCGCCAACTCCACCGGTGTCTTCCTCGCCGAGCTTGGATGCGCATATTTCCGATCGGGCGGGGCAAGAACTAAGAATATATGCCGCCCCGCTCTCTACCTCCCTCATAGCCAGGGCCCAGGCGCTCCCGAGCCCGCCGAGTCCCGATGGCCTTACAGGCCACGCGCAGTCTTCCGAGTTCCTACCAGACCTCCGCTCGCCGAGTCCCAAGCGGAAGCGGGTGGCGACGCTGTTTGACTCGGTAACGGAGCACCACAAGCGGGTGAGACAGAGGGGCGGGGAAGCCGTCTCGCAGTTGATGGCACATTCACGGCCTCAATCCTCCCACCAGAGCCATACGATCCAGATCAAACGGGAGTCTGAAGAACCCAGTCTTCCGGCCCTGCACCGGGTGGCTGCCCAGCGCTCCAGGTCTCTGTCAGTCGGGGCGAGCCTCAACCCGGGAAAACAGCCATTGGACCCTCACGGTGAGCCGCATCCAACTCGCCCGGGAAGTAGTCGAGGCCACACACGGGACATGTCCCTACGAAGAGTCCAATCTCATCAGCTCCGCGAGTCGACCGTGCTGGGAGAGAGGGACGCGTCGCCCATGCTCCGGTCCCCCGATGGTGATCTGAAACCGTCTACGTCGAAAGACGCCGAGACCATCATCTCGGAAAACAAGAACATAATCACGCGTACTATCTTGACCTGCATGCGACTGTACGGCTACAACCGTCCTACAGCTCGCTCTGGGAAAAGCCTATCTGGCGCAGGCAGTGCGGACCTGGGCATTCCTCCTGGCGGCGAGGATAAGGACGGCCGACCCAGGACGATGGATGGCATTGCGTCTAATACCGACGAGGACGAATTCAAGGCCATGTATCACGCCACCTACCGTGCGTCTACGTTCGCGCTGCGGAAGTACCTGAGGGAGGCGCTGCCTCTGGAGAAGGGCAAAGCCATGACGTATATTGATGAGTTTCTGAGGCTATTCTGCGAGGACAATTGAGTTTGAATCGGGTCTGTCTGGTACAGACTATGATATGATTTACGAACGGGGAATACGGGTAGAGTTATAGAGCTAGCAATGAGCGTATATATTATTTATAAGATGGACCAATAAAGCCTGCTTATTGAATTCTTGAAGATAGCTGTCTGATGTAGACTGGACTCAATGTAGTGAGTATCCTGGGTAAGGTATGTAGTAAATAGTAAATACTATGAGGTCGGATCCCGTGATTCTTCCGAGCAGCTTGTATGGCTTACTAATCAAATATCAGCCCCATCTCCGTCCTCATCGTCATCGTCTTCTTCGCACTGCCGCCTTGCTTGCATCCAATCCAGATCCCTCCCCCGCAGAACTGACCCTGCACCTCCCCACACCTTATCGCATATCGAGAAGCCGGTCTCCAAAACAACCGCCCTCATGGATGTGTCCGGCAACCGCCTCTTCCGGTGGTCCAAGCCGGAATGGCTCAACAACTCGACCGTCCGCAACGCCGGCGTCTACACGGCGGGTGCCCTGGTGAGCCTGCCCCTTGCTCCTTGCTCCTTAGGCACAGACTAATATTCGATCTGCGACAGTTCTCGCTCGGATTCTTCTTCATAATCGACGCCGCGGCCTTCTCGCACAGCGCGCGCAACGGGTCGAACGTCCACGTGAAATTCGTGGACTGGATCCCGGGCATCTGCTCCGCGCTCGGAATGCTCGTCATCAATTCGATTGAGAAGTCCCGGCTGCAGGCGGATAGCTTCAGTTACAGCGGGAATGGAGTGGCGTGGAAGGCGCGCTTTGTGCTGTTTTTGGGGTTTGCGCTGTTGGCGGGTGGGTTGGCGGGGAGTGTGGTGAGTTTTCTCTCCCTACCTACTGGTATTTTGGTTTTATGCATCGGGGAAGTTGCTAATGGATTTGGTGTGTGTGTAGACGGTTATGGTACTCAAGTATCTTCTGCCGTCGTATCCGCTGCAGACGTTGTATTTTGGGATTGCGAACGTGATTGCCAATGCGCTGGTTATGCTTAGGTGAGTGATGACTGACAGATTCCTCGCTGCGTTGACGGGATACTGATATGTCATTAGTTCGGTGGTCTTGTGGGTGTCGCAGAACATAGAAGACGATTATACCTACAACCTTGCACTATAGCTTGATCTGCTGTCGAAGGAATGATCATTTGAAGGATCCCCGTCGCTTTTGTCCCCGTCGTGGGTCTGTTTCTAGTTTGTTTGGCTGTTGTGCTTGGGATGGCGTAGTCTTGCGATTTGGCCCATTGTTCCTGTCTGTTCTGTCTGTTTTATTCTGTTCTAGCCTTGTCTTATGGTGTGATGAATTATTTACAGCTTTATTTTGGTTCCTCCGTAGATTGATTGACTCGTTCGACTCTATCATATATTTACGCTATTTCAGGTATACAGGTCTGATGGAACGTATGGAACGACGAAACTAATGTTCTTCATGGGTATAATAATGTACAATCACGTAGTCACGATCTATAGAATTCCAAACGACACGCGGACAATCCCCGCCAAGATGAGGATTACGCACACATGCTGGATGTGTGAAAAGGAAAGATAAACAGGAGTTTCCACCCTGCGAGCCATTCCAGTTCCTCCGCATGGACGTGGTATATGGAGAGTTGGTGCCTAGATCCCGGGGGGATGACCTCGCGTTTCCTCCCACGTCGTATTAGGTATCCTCCAGACTACCATGGGATTGGGGAATGCGGCACACGACGACCATGGCGTAATGACGGTTGAATGTTTGATCAATGTGTCTGCCTGGGAAGAAAAGGCTTCACTTTAGGCAGATTGTAACACAGGCACTCTTGTCAGAAGCCCATCAAGGTTTCATGGCTGCCAACTGGTAACGCAATAATACTCGTCCTGCTGATCATATTCTCCTTTTTGTTGTTTCTTTTTTTTTTTCCCTTTCTTTTTTTATGATGTTTTTTTTAGGAAGATGACTCAACAGGGTGCGCCCTCAGTTTATCCATAATCGCATCAATAGCATCCATGTCACCCGCATCGACCTTCTCGCCTCTCGGATACTGACCCGACTCAGGCAGATGCTTCGTAAACTCATCCATAGCAGGCTGATAGTTGCGCACAGCCGACGACAGCGCATAAACACTCTTCTTCCGAGCGGCCGGATCCGCATCAGACGTAGCAATAGCAACCAGCTTCGGCACGGCATTGAACAGCACAACCTTATCCTGCGCCTTCTCGTTATTCTGCACAGCGGTGCCCACACACCAAGCTGCCATCCGGCGCATGTCGGACTCCTCGTGCTGCAGCAGCTCGACCAGCGGGGTCCACAGACCCATGGGCTCCATGTTGTTCGCGTTGTCGATGTTCTCGATCAGCTGCTCGAAGTTGTCGAATGCGACGAGCTTGTTCTCGAGGTCGACGTCGGGGGAGTGCAGGGCGGCCATGGAGGCTTTCATTAGGTCGGCGTCGCTGGGCCCGCCCAGGAGGGAGGAGAGCATCTCAGGGTTGAGGCCGCGGGCGGAGGCGTCGGCTGTTTCGGGGTTGGAGTTTTGGATGCTCCATTTGAGCATTTTGTTCATGTTGGGGTCCATTGTGTATGTTTTTGTGGTGGTGAAATTGAAGGAAGGAGGAAAATATTATGGAGAATATAGTGCGTATCGTTTTTGATATCTGAATTTTCTTTTGTAGAGGTCCTGAAGATAGAGCAACAAGTAGATTGATAGAGTAGAGACTCAGAGAGAGAGAAAAAGATTGACGTTCTCGACTGAGCGGGAAGATTCATCTGGTTCTCCAGCCTACCAGTGGCTTCCACCACTTTCCATTGACTCTGAACCCAACGACTAGTATTGACCTTCACTGCAATTGAACCCTCTATCACCACATAGCTAAACTCCCCATTATGATCAAACTAACCAGACCAGATCTCACCAACGTGGTGCTATCCAACAAAAGTCAATTAGTCACCGACTACCCCGCCATGCTGGGTTGAACCATTTCGACCCCACCATGTCACCCGTCACAACCATACAAGACGAACGGTCATTCGTGGTATTGCCACATATTACAGTACTTCAGCTCTAGGCTGGAATCCTCACCCATCAGGAGTCCACCCATTGGGGAAATGAACTGAACGTGTTCGACCGGATTCGTCCCGTGGCGGTCATGACAGGCTGGGCCGATGTCGATCCAAACAAAAGGCGGTAAAGGGGGTAAGAAACTAGAAAACGAAGAAGGAGCAGAAGAAGGTGGGAATCTCCACTCGGAAGACGGATGAGGCGGCTCTTGGAAGGTGGCCACTGGGCTAGTTTACCTCATTTAGGGGGGGGATTCTAGAATGGATATGGATCATGGATCCGATCATGAATGATTGGATCCCGGGCCGGAAGGGAACGTTCAACCTTCAGACAATGGACAATGGGGACCAAGACAAGAATCTGGAAGCCTGGGGGAAGGGAAGAAAAGGAAGCAGCAAAGGAAAGCAAATCGTCGTCATCTGCGTCCGACATGGATATGGTCCAAGGGAAAGGCAACCCTGGATTCTGGATGAGCCCCACGAGGATGCGCAAGCCTGGCCATGATTCTCTATCATACGTATTTCCCTTTTCTTTTCTTACTATGGTTTGCCATCGAAACACCTCCGCCACGATTACAGCAGATTAGGTACCGCCGTTACAGTCACTACGAATGGTATTCGACTGTGGTGGTTTTGAGGAAAGGATTGGATGATATTTCTTCTGCCTGAGAGGGCAACCATTGGGGCAGATAGGGGAAGGAGTAATGGATACGTATACCGTTAGAATAAGAGTCGAGGGAGATCAGATCATATTGATGGATCCCATGAATTAACTACTTGACTACGGAGTACGGAGTTCTGTTTCTTATTATAACCAGAGATCCAGGGGGGAACGTCTTACCTAAGAGACTATTGGCTATGGCATACGGGGGAGTTACTGTAATATATATCCCTTTTCCTCTGTTCTTCGCTGTCCCCGGGAGGATACCGTCCCCGTACATACGATACATACGATACATACATAGAATACGGTACATACCGTATGGTACTAGCCGCCTCCCTTTTCCCTCCCTTTTCCCTCCTTCTTTCCCTCTTTTTCCCACCTTAACTAACCAACTTTCCACCACCAAAACATCTCCATCCCTACATCCATCTCTCTCCTTCTCTCCTCTTCTTTCCTTCCTCTCTCCTCCCTCTTACCTCTCTCTCGACCTTCCACCACTCCATCTACTCCTTCAATTCTCCCATTCCATTCTCTTTTTCTTCGTCCTTCTTTCTCCCTTTCTCCCCGTAGTTTTTAATCTCCATTTCCGTCATCATGGAAGGTAAGCTAGCTTCCGGCCACCTCAGCGCCTTGCTTCCCCATCCTCGCTTGCTTCCCTACCCCTCCTCCCCCAGCTCGTCCCCTCCCCCTCGACTCCGTCCACTGTCATTAACCATCTCGTTTTCATCCCTACAGAAGAAGTCGCTGCTCTCGTTATCGACAATGGGTATGTCTTGATCCATTTCTGATGGTTCCATCCGACGATCGTCGTCGGATTCCCCTCCTGGATCGGACGGGAAAATTGCCCACACAACCATCGACTCCGTGTCGATGAGACCGTTCCTCGCTCTAAAACACGTGCACAATGCGAATCCAGTCTTTGGATTTGCAGTGGGAGCTCGAATGTGTGGCATCGTGATAGACGGATATGCTGACGTTGATACCCTTTAGTTCGGGTATGTGCAAGGCCGGTTTCGCCGGTGACGATGCTCCCCGTGCTGTCTTCCGTAAGTTGTCCCCCATCAAGTCTTGTGTGACCAGAGCCTAGTCCCCATGCAGCCCTTGCATCGGGTGGCTCTGGGAACCGTCAACCTTAAATCCCCCCCTCCCCCGTCCATAAGTTCCAGTCACTAACCAAAAGTACAGCCTCCATTGTCGGTCGTCCCCGTCATCATGGGTAATTATCGTCCTTTCCCCCTAGTCTCCGGGCGGTCAGCTGACCCTCGCAGTATCATGATTGGTATGGGCCAGAAGGACTCGTACGTCGGTGACGAGGCTCAGTCCAAGCGTGGTATCCTCACCCTGAGATACCCCATCGAGCACGGTGTCGTCACCAACTGGGATGACATGGAGAAGATCTGGCATCACACCTTCTACAACGAGCTCCGTGTCGCCCCCGAGGAGCACCCCGTCCTCTTGACTGAGGCCCCCATCAACCCCAAGTCCAACCGTGAGAAGATGACCCAGATCGTCTTCGAGACCTTCAACGCCCCCGCCTTCTACGTCTCCATCCAGGCCGTCCTGTCCCTGTACGCCTCCGGTCGTACCACCGGTATCGTCCTGGATTCCGGTGACGGTGTCACGCACGTGGTCCCCATCTACGAGGGTTTCGCCCTGCCCCACGCCATCTCGCGTGTCGACATGGCCGGCCGTGACTTGACCGACTACCTGATGAAGATCCTGGCCGAGCGTGGCTACACCTTCTCCACCACCGCCGAGCGCGAAATCGTCCGTGACATCAAGGAGAAGCTCTGCTACGTCGCCCTCGACTTCGAGCAGGAGATCCAGACCGCCGCCCAGAGCTCCGGCCTCGAGAAGTCGTACGAGCTGCCCGACGGACAGGTCATCACCATCGGCAACGAGCGCTTCCGTGCCCCCGAGGCCCTCTTCCAGCCCAGCGTTCTGGGTCTGGAGAGCGGTGGCATCCACGTCACCACCTTCAACTCCATCATGAAGTGTGATGTTGATGTCCGTAAGGATCTGTACGGCAACATCGTCATGGTATGCATCCTTTGAGCCTGTGTGGAAGGACTGTCGCTAACGAAAACCAGTCTGGTGGTACCACCATGTACCCCGGTATCTCCGACCGTATGCAGAAGGAGATCACCGCCCTGGCGCCCTCGTCCATGAAGGTCAAGATCATCGCGCCTCCGGAGCGCAAGTACTCCGTGTGGATCGGTGGTTCCATTCTGGCCTCTCTGTCCACCTTCCAGCAGATGTGGATCTCCAAGCAGGAGTACGACGAGAGCGGACCCTCGATCGTCCACCGCAAGTGCTTCTAAGGTATTTCTCCCTGATACCCTTCAGCATATGAGTCTATCCTGTCAGATGACTGACTTGTACAGCTCTTGCGCGTGATTCGTTCGTACTTCCCTGTATTAAAAGACCGGAGCTGTGGTGACTGGCGGGCCTTCTCTGGACTCGCACTAGGGAGATTGTCTGAAAAAGGGCATTGTTTTCGGCTGTGGAATAGAGATGGGTCGATTTGGGAGACGCTGTGTCACGCGGTGCAGGGGCAACTCTGCCGGCAGCAAGGCGGGAAGAGGAGAGTTCGGAGGAGTAACGGTGCGACGGACCGCGGAGATGGACATGGGAACCGTGTGGTGAAAGCTGGAGACCCCGACCCCGTTTCACGTTTCATATAGTTCGACACTTCCTGTGTGAATCCCGGTTTTTTCTTTTTTTTTTTTTTTTAACCATGTCGTGCCGTTTCTTGCGATCTTCTCGCCTACGGGCTGGGTTACATATCCTATCTTCTTACCATGCTGCTGAGAATGTTGATTTCCGTGGAGTGATTAGCAAGGTTTCTTTATCTCTTATGATAACTTTTTTTTTCTTCACCTTTGTTTGGTTGAGTGTATGACCATTCGCATATATAGTCGTATTAGATGAGGTGGTCTACTGTAGTTATAGATCAATGATCTAAGATTTACTGGTGACTTGGATAGTAGATGAGTATTTAGTAGGACAAGATAAAGCATCACAAGTGATGCATCTCATTTGAAGGGGCCTACATTCAATCTAAGATCATATCTGTCTGTATCCATCTGTGTCTCTACCTGTCTATCCACCTCTCTCTACTACTTCTCTGTGTATCTCTGTGTATCCATCTCTCTGTAAATATCATATTCAAGTATATCTCATCTAAACAAACACATCAAGTAAACCAGTATAAACCAACCAGCCAACCAACCAACAAATCAAACCCCTCCCTCATCAACTAAAACCATAAACAACATTTATTTTAAAATAAAAAACAAAATCACAAGAGAAAAAAAGGGCCAAGACACACGGCGAAGGAAAGGACGAAAAAAAAAAAAAAAAAAAAAAAGAAAAAGGGAAATCAATCCCAGCTCTCCAACCCACTCAACACACACCCTTCCTTGTCTTGCTCATCACCCTTCTTCGCCTCCAACGTGCCAATGACATAGACCGCCTCGCCCTCCGCCTGGAGAAGGTCCTTGACGGCATCGGCCGCATCGGCACCAACAGCGATAAGCATACCCACGCCGCAGTTGAACGCGCGGGCCATCTCGGTAGCGGAGACGTTACCGGTCTGCTTGAGCCATTTGAATACCGGGGGCAGAGACCAGGCGGTGACGTCGATGTGGGCTGCGAGGTGAGCGGGCAGCATGCGGGGGACGTTGTCCGTGAGGCCGCCGCCGGTGATGTGGGCGAGGCCTTTGATCTGGGAGGAGGTGGGGGCGGGGGCGGAGAGGGCTTTGAGGAGGGGTTTGACGTAGATTTTGGTGGGGGTTAGGAGGGCGGCGCCGAGGGTCTGGGGTTGGTTTTGAGGGGCGGAGGGCATGGGGAAGGGGGAGGGGTCGGTGTAGGAGAGGCCGGAGCGGTCGACGATCTTGCGGACGAGGGAGTAGCCGTTGGAGTGGGGGCCGGAGGAGGCGAGTGCGAGGAGGACGTCGCCGGGTTGCATGGCGGCGGTGTTGGGGAGGATGGGGCGGGCGTGGTCGCCGGAGGTGTTGATGGCGCCGACGGCGGCGCCGACGGCGTCGTAGGCGTCGTCTGTGAAGAGGCCCGGCATTTCGGCGGTTTCGCCGCCGATGAGGGCGCAGCCGGCTTGGACGCAGCCGGTTGCGACGCCCTTGACGAAGGCCGCGGCGGTGGGGACGTCGAGCTTGCCGCAGGAGTAGCAGTCGAGGAAGAAGAGGGGCTCGGCGCCTTGGACGACGAGGTCGTTGACGTTCATGGCGACGAGGTCGATGCCGACTGTGTTGTGGATGCCGACTGCGTGGGCGACCTTGAGCTTGGTGCCGACGCCGTCGATGGCGCCGATGAGGGTGGGCGAGTGCGGGTGGTAGGTTTTGTTGGCGGCTGCGAGGGAGAAGAGGCCGCCGAAGCCGCCGATGACGGCGTCGGTGCCGGGGCGTTTGGTCTGGGAGACGGAGGATTTGATCTGTTGGACGAGGTCGTTGCCTGCGTCGATGGAGACGCCCGCGGCGGCGTAGGTAAGGGAGGAGGAGGAGGCGGCGGCGGCGGCGTCGCGTTGGCGGAAGGCGCGGTGGGCGATGTCTTTGCGGTAGAACATGCCGTCGAAGTGGATCGTGGCGATGCCGGCGTAGCTGCGGCGGACGGCCTCTTCGAGGCTGGTGGCTGTGGCGGTCGCTGCGATGACACGGCCGCCGGCGGTTTGGAGCTGGCCGCCGGCGAGGCTGGTGCCCGCGTGGAAGATGAGGGTGTCCGCCGGGGCCGCGTCGAGGGTGATGGGCTGGCCCTTGGCGTAGGCGTTGGGGTAGCCGCCGGCGACGGCGACGACGGTGGTGGAGAAGTCGGGCTTGACGCGGATGGTGACACCGTCGAGCCAGTGCTCGGTACAGGCGACCATGATCTCGGCGAGATCGGTGTCGTCCGTGAGCAGGGGCAGCAGGGTCTGGGTCTCGGGGTCGCCGCCGCGGACGTTGTACTCGAGGACCTTGGGCCCGTTGCGGGTCATCATCAGGCCGGTGAAGAGGATGCCGACGAAGGGGAAGCCGTCGCGGCGCATGCCGTCGACGGAGGGCTGGACGATGGTGCGGTCGATCTCGGCGAGGATCTCCGGGGAGGAGATCGGGGTCGGCGCGTAGCAGCCCATGCCGCCGGTGTTGGGGCCCTGGTCGCCGTCGAAGATGCGCTTGTGGTCCTGGGCGGGGGGCAGGGAGCGGATGGTGTAGCCGTCGCTGAAGGTGAGGACGCTCAGCTCGTCGCCCTCGAGGTACTCCTCGATGACGACCTCGTTGCCGGCGGCGCCGAACTGGTGGTCGAGCATCATCTCGCGGAGGGCCTGGTGGGCCTCCTCCTTGGTGGCGGGGATGATGACGCCCTTGCCGCCGGCGAGACCGTCGGCCTTGATGACGACGTTGTGGGAGACCGAGTCGAGGTACTGGCGGGCGGGTTCGTACTCGGAGAAGTTCTCATAGACGGCGGTGGGGATATTGTGACGTTTCATGAAATCCTTGGAGAAAGTCTTGGAGCCTTCCATGCGGGCGGCGGCCTTGGAGGGACCGAAGCAACGAATGCCGACTATTTCAATCAGCCTGTCTGCAATTGTAATAGCCGGTCTGATAGGGAAGAGAGGTAAACATACCAGCCTGGAAATAACCCTGAATACCCTCCACAAGCGGCGCCTCGGGACCAGGCACCACCAGATTAACACCATTCTGCTGCGCAAACTTCACCAGACCCGGATAATCATCGCCCTTGACATCGGCACTGGCGATCTTGCCATTGTCACCCAGACCGGTGCCACCGTTTCCGGGAGCGACGTAGACGGCGTCGACGCGGGGCGACTGACTCAGTTTCCAGGCGAGGGCATGTTCGCGGCCGCCGTTGCCGACGATGAGGACGCGCAATTGATCTTGATCTTGCGAGGGCATGGTTGCGCAGTGTTCGAGTGACCTATATGTGTATTGTGATTAGAGATGGGATGAGTTTATATAGGTGGAGGAAGGGAAAGATGATGACCCCGCGGGTTCTGCTTTTCTGCATGATGGTTGGAAGTGGGGCAGACGGAAGAGAAGAGTGACTCACCTCGGACGAGAGTCTCCTGGAGACCAGACTGCGAGGGGCAGATAATAAAACAAAGGTAGAGGAAGTTGGGGAGGGATGGATAGTGAGAAGAAGAAGAAGAGAAGAAGAAATCAAGACGAAGATCAAGAATTGACTTTTTTTTTTTTTTTTTTT